AATATTGATTATATAAATTGATATTTATTTATAAATGTTGTTGCAAATAAAAATAATGATTTAATAATTGTTTTTTATCATGTAATGGATGGTAAATGGAAAGAAATCTCTCAATTTGCAAAATGAAAAATATTAGTCCAAATTGTAATCATCCAATAGTTATGCATACATATCGATTATTTGATAAATGAAAATTTACATTTTCTTTCATGATGACAATTTTGATAATGATGGATTTTGGAATAGAATGAGAGTGAATTGATAATATAATTAAATAATTCAAATATAGAATGGATTTAAATTCAGATGAATTCTTTTTTGGAATAAATAAGTCTTTGTATTTTAAGACAGAAGAGTAAAAGAATGAAATAAAAAAAATGGATCCAGAGTATATAACTCGAACGTATTTAATAATAAAATGTTAAGTGGAACTGATTTTGTATTATTACCAAATTCACCTGAATTCATAAATCACAATGAACCATTTGAACCAATGTATATTCCAAAGTAAACAATATTGGAGGAAAGTTTAAGAAGAGAAATAGAAAGGATATGTTTTGCAGATACTTTATTAAATAAAGTGGTTTTTGATTGTGCAGATCCTAGTCCATTTAATAAGGTATAAATAGTTAAATGTATTAATTATATAGGATAGTGATCCAAGTGTATATGGTTTAGAGGTTTTACCATATTATATACCTTAAACAAAAGAAGACTCAACTTTAGTATTTGAAAGTAGATTTGAAAGTGGGAATTTAAGAAGAGCAATTCAAATGTAAGGATATAAAAAGTATGATAGATGTGATTATGAATACAATTTGATACTGAAACCAGATTATTATACTACAATGAATACTTAATGGTTTTATTTCTCATTATCAAATACAAGAAAGGATGTTGAATATCGATTCAATATAATAAATATGATGAAACCTGATTCATTATATAATTCTGGTATGAAACCATTAATGTATTCTGATTTAGGAGCAAAACATAAAAGTAGTAATTAAAATAAATATAGAAATTGGATGGTTTAGAGATGGACATGAAATATGTTATTATTAAAACAATATGAAAAGAAAGAATGGTGGGTTTTATTACACTTTAACATTTGCAGTTAAATTCTAATATGATTTTGATTGTATTTATATAGCACATTGTTACCCTTATACATATACACATTTATGTAGATATCTTAAATAATTGGAATGTGATCCATCAAAGAAAAATAGAGTTAAAAGAAAATAATTATGTTAAACAATAGCTGGAAATACTTGTGATTTTTTAATTATTGGTGATTTTAATAATGGAAAAGAGAAAAAGGGAATTGTAATAACATCTAGAGTTCATCCAGGTGAAACTATGGCTAGTTATGTAATGGAATATATGATAGATTTTTTAACTGGAAATACACATGAAGCTAGAATTCTAAGAGAGAATTTTATATTTAAAATAGTTCCTATGCTTAATATAGATGGAGTAGTAAATGGAAATTATAGATGTAATTTAGCAGGTGTTGATTTAAATAGATAATGGATTGATCCTAATAAAAAATAACATCCTACTATTTATCATACTAAATAATTAGTTAAAAAAACAAAAGAAGAAAGAGATTTAGTATTATTTTGTGATATTCATGGTCATTCAAGAAAAAAGAATATATTTATGTATGGATGTTAAGGAAAAGATCCAAATAGAAAAGAATTAGTATTTCCTATGCTTAATAGAAATAATTGTAGCGTATTCTCATTTAAAGATTGCTGTTTCTTACTTTAAAAAGATAGAGAAGGTTCTGCAAGAGTAATAATATTATTATTAAATATAACAAGATTGCTTTATGGAGAGAACTTTCAATAATTAATTGTTTTACATTAGAAATGTCATTTTGTGGAGCTGATTTTGGTAAATATGAATATTTTCATTTTAATTTGGATATCTATAAAGAAATTGCTTAATCTTTTTGTTTATCAATAATAGATTGTTATGAACCAGAATAAATAAAGGTTAAGTAAGTGATGGAAGAGATAGAATAGAATAGTTTAAAGAATTAATAAAAAGATGATAAGAATAATTCAGGAGATGAAGGATCAGATTATTCTAATGATGATCCAAAAGATTAAGCAATGCCTTAATAAATTTAACTATAACAAAATGATTAATGTAAAAATAATAAAAATATAAATAAATATAGAACTAGGTTCATAGACTAAAAAACTTAAGAAAATACCACTTCTACCTCCAAAGAAAAAAAAAGGTTAATGAATATACATTAAGAATAATTAACTGATTATTTAATTTAAATTTTATGAATTATCCAGCATGGGGAACAGTTATGGGTTAACCTTTTGGTGTACCTGCTTATTCTAATACATATTTTGTATTTGATAGAAATAAGATTCATGAATACTAGAGTTATTGGCCAAAAGAGGAAACTGGATTAGCAACAGATGTTTATATTGGATTTAAGTAAATCTCAAATCTTAAAAAAGATACCAATGTGTCGAATATGCTAGAAGATTTCTTACTTAATATTTTAAAGCTGCTTTTTAAGATGTTCCACATGCTCATCATATTTGGGCTTTAGAAACTATTGAAGATTGCACTAAGGAAGAAGGAACATTCCCATTTATTAATTATCCTAATGGCTCTAAAGAGTTTTTTGTTTATTAAATTTTAGACCACCTAAACTTGGAGATCTTATTATATATCCTTATTCAAAAGAACAAAGATTTGGTCATGTTGCAGTTGTTATTAATGTTAATTTACAAGAAATGATTGTTGATATTGCTGAATAAAATTATGAAGAAGAAGGATGGGAATGTCCTCAATATGCAAGAAGATTAGTTTTATAAATTGAAAATGGATCATATTTACTTACTAATAAAAGAATCGGGTAACTATTTCAAATTTTTATCCTTTAGAAGGCCTTATGACAATTGGGACATTAATGAATAAATTTTAGGATGGAAGAGAATAGATTTCAATTCAAAATTATGATTTCTAATTCATATTTAACATTTTAAATTCAAATTTTTTTATTATTTTATTTTAATTCTTTTTCCTTATTTTCTTTAAAAAAAAAAGATTAATAATATTCTTAAAATTAATACATTATTCAAATTAACAATCTTTTCTCAAAAATACTTATCCCATATATTATTCGATTACTGTGGTATATTTATTAATTATTAAGGATCTTTATCAAAAATTATAGAAAATTTCTATTCATATTAACTGATTTCTTAATTCATACTCTATTTTAATTAATTATTCCGAAACCTAGAAATTCCTGAATTTATAATCCTTATTGGCATATATTTTAAATCATAATATAGATTTGAAAATTAATTATCTGTTCTTTTTATATTGAATTTAATAAGATTATTTAAAATTTGACATAGGAAGAATTTAATAATAAAATCAATAACAGTTCTAATAGTTCTATTTTTTTGGATATTCTAGTTTAATTTCATTTTATATATATAAAAATTATTATTTATTTGGATAGATTTTCTCTATTACGCTGCCATTGAATCCTAAAAACATAATAATTTAAATGAAATATACTTGATGATATCATTAATCCTGTAATTATTTAGTTGATTGTAGATTATTAACTATATCTTTTCAGAACTTAGGAATAAAAGAAGATTGGATATAGGACTATGAAAATAATCTAAGCATCGTAGTTATTTTGGAAAGTGTTAGAGTGAGTATTTCCCTACATGCACTAAGAGTTCCATTTATATTTTTGACCTATTAAAACACAAACATGGATTCTCATTTATTAAAAAATACAAGCTAAGGAAAATAAAATAAATTTAAATAATTTTAATAAAACTTCAATCAAATTAAATCGCAATATAAGCTTAGTAAGAATAAATTCAATTCTGATTAATAATCTTCAATAATATATCTTTGAGAATTCTCTATTGTTTTTTAATACTAGCTTTCTATTATATCTTTTATTTTAGACATTGAATCTTGTTAAAAATTAGCAAGATCAACTATTTATTTAAAAACATTGATTTCAAAATCTTCATTTAAATTACTATAATCATCAAAAGTAATATCTAATTTATATTTCTATTTGATTTAATCATTTAATAAATTACAAAAATTTCTTATTTCCTATTAATATTAAATTTAATGTGTTTCAATTATTGAACAGATATCTTCGAAATCTTATACTAATTTATCAAAATTATTTGGATTTAAATAACAATTTTATAATAAAATTGCTTTTAAAACTGGAAGTGTCATTATTTTCTGATTCATATTTTTAGATAATAAGAGACCATCTAACTTTTAAATTTCTTAATCACTAAATTAGATCTTAAATATTTATTCCTTATTTTTTTCTATATTTTTAAACCTTTCTCTAAGTTTCTATAGACANAAAATTTCTATTCATATTAACTGATTTCTTAATTCATACTCTATTTTAATTAATTATTCCGAAACCTAGAAATTCCTGAATTTATAATCCTTATTGGCATATATTTTAAATCATAATATAGATTTGAAAATTAATTATCTGTTCTTTTTATATTGAATTTAATAAGATTATTTAAAATTTGACATAGGAAGAATTTAATAATAAAATCAATAACAGTTCTAATAGTTCTATTTTTTTGGATATTCTAGTTTAATTTCATTTTATATATATAAAAATTATTATTTATTTGGATAGATTTTCTCTATTACGCTGCCATTGAATCCTAAAAACATAATAATTTAAATGAAATATACTTGATGATATCATTAATCCTGTAATTATTTAGTTGATTGTAGATTATTAACTATATCTTTTCAGAACTTAGGAATAAAAGAAGATTGGATATAGGACTATGAAAATAATCTAAGCATCGTAGTTATTTTGGAAAGTGTTAGAGTGAGTATTTCCCTACATGCACTAAGAGTTCCATTTATATTTTTGACCTATTAAAACACAAACATGGATTCTCATTTATTAAAAAATACAAGCTAAGGAAAATAAAATAAATTTAAATAATTTTAATAAAACTTCAATCAAATTAAATCGCAATATAAGCTTAGTAAGAATAAATTCAATTCTGATTAATAATCTTCAATAATATATCTTTGAGAATTCTCTATTGTTTTTTAATACTAGCTTTCTATTATATCTTTTATTTTAGACATTGAATCTTGTTAAAAATTAGCAAGATCAACTATTTATTTAAAAACATTGATTTCAAAATCTTCATTTAAATTACTATAATCATCAAAAGTAATATCTAATTTATATTTCTATTTGATTTAATCATTTAATAAATTACAAAAATTTCTTATTTCCTATTAATATTAAATTTAATGTGTTTCAATTATTGAACAGATATCTTCGAAATCTTATACTAATTTATCAAAATTATTTGGATTTAAATAACAATTTTATAATAAAATTGCTTTTAAAACTGGAAGTGTCATTATTTTCTGATTCATATTTTTAGATAATAAGAGACCATCTAACTTTTAAATTTCTTAATCACTAAATTAGATCTTAAATATTTATTCCTTATTTTTTTCTATATTTTTAAACCTTTCTCTAAGTTTCTATAGACATTCAGAGAAGTTTCCAATTAATTACTTAAGTGAAGATTTATCTTCTAAGTGACTTGGATCTACCTTTTAATTCATAAAGTATAGCAACTCTTCTATAATCTGCTTTATATCTTTAATATCTTTAGAATTTTTTTCTTCGAACGATCGATTGAAAAATTCATTACTTACATCAAAATTAATAAAAATCACATCTATTGATGAAAAATTATCTTATAAATACATTTATTCTTTAGTTGAAGTTATTAATATATTTTCTAAGCAAATTCTATTATGAAATAATTAATAACGATTTAAATTGCAATAATATTCGTTCACAATACTCCAAATCAGTACTTTTAAAATCAACTCGAAAAGTTAATTTTAATTGCTAAGCTTATTTTAAAGCTTTTCAATAAAAATCTTAAGAGGTAGTATTCTCAAATGATTAAATTAGTAATATTCATTATGGATTTATTATGAATTATTATGAATTAAATTATCCTGCTCTTCATTTCGTTTAAGGTCATGTTGCGTCGAAAATGTGTTTCTTCTCTTAAAATATTGATCAATTTTTCCAATATAATTTGATTAATCTTAATTTATCTATTTTTTAACATAGTAAATAATCTCCGTTTTTTCCACCATCTGTTTTTAGTTAATGGTTTATTTTTCTTCAAAATTTTTATGGATAAATGATTGGGATTATGACATTAAATTTTGAAAAAAATTTTATTTATTTATAAAATGTATATTAATTTATTTATTTATAAGAAAATTATTAAATAATGTTCATTTTATATGTTCATTATTTAACAAAATTTAGTATAAAATGGATTGATTTCAATATTTCATAAAGGAATAATTGAAATTTTTGCATCCAATACAAATCCAATATTGTAGTAGTTTATTTTACATTTCTATTGAATAAATATATAAATTTATTTATTTATTTATTAAATGACAAAACATTTCATTCACATGCAATTTTGTAGTCAAAACTTGTTAATGCAATTTAAAATGCCTATAAAGGAGAAATAGGATATTAAAAATCTAAATTAAATAGATCCTCCCCAACTCTTCCAAATTATAATAAAATATTGTCTTCTTTATTTTCTAAAATAAGTTGAAAATTTTTAACACTAGGTTTATCTACTCTTTAATAGAAATTAAGAACAAAAGCCTTATATTTACTATTCCATTAAGGTGGTCTATTAACATAAGTTACAATATGATCTCTATTATTATTTACAAATTCTTTAAGCATTCCATCCTTAGAATTGATAGGTTTGAAAACATAGAGTTATTCTCTTTCATCTAATTTTGGTAATAAAACCTTAATAAAAATAATATAATACCACCATTTTTCTGGGACCTTTTGATCCTAGAATATTACTTTCATATTAAACAATTCCTAATTATTATCTAATTTTAGATTAATCTTTAGTTTTATCAGGATTAAATCCTGCATCATATAAAATAAATTCAGTTCCCATGAAATTGCTTCTTACTTTTCCAATAAAATTATCACCTTTTTCTAAATCTTCCCTTGACATAGAAATAATATAATTGCTAGTATTATTACAAGCTCTCTTTTTTGCACTCATTAAATACTAAAAGCCATTAGATAAATGAATATGATATTTAGGATAAAATCTACTCATTCCACTTTTGTCTCTTTTTATCGTACATTAAATCATACCTCCTTTAGGTGATGGATTTAATAGAAAATATTTCTTTCCATGTAGCATCTCTATAGAAATTAAAGCAGGGGGATATGGACATGTTTATTTTGGTTATTCTTAAAACATTTATTAGATTTCGGAGTTTTTGTCTTTTTATTCTATTATTTCTGGTGTTTCATGATTTAAGTCTGTTTATATTTTATCATGTTATTATTTCAATTCTTTTCTTATCTCTTATTCTTTTTATTATTATGATAATAATTCTTCATCATTTTCTTGAACTATAATTTCTTATAACTCCTGATAATTATTATTATTTTATATTATATTCTCTTCATTTTAAACTATCTACTATTAAATTATAATCTAATCTTCTTCAACTTCTATTTCTTATTTTTTACTTTCTTTTATTTTACTATCTACAAATTTTATTTTATTATCTTATTTCAAAAGTTAAGGTAAAGAATCATCTTTATTTAATTTTTATCCAGGCTCATAATATTAATTATGATTATTTCCAATTATAGAAAACTTATATTAATTTTAATACTTACTTTCTCAATTTCTAATTCAAAATCTTAACCATATGTGGATTCATTTTGACCAAGTTTTTTTTTATATTATTGATTACTCTATAATACACTTAACTATTTGAATTCTACTGTCTCTTTTGGTTTTGTATATTTTTTAGGCTACTTATAATTTCATTTTTTAATACTTTAGTTTCTTCCTATATAATTTAATTATCCATTAATGGATTAGTATATTTTTTTGTATTATCTAATTCTGGATCTGAATCAAATTAAACTAAACTTTCATAAATTTCATCATTTTGTATTATTTAAGATTCTAATTATTTCTTCTATTATTATTCAATCTCTTTCTGAAACCTTTATTAAAATTTTTACTTATTAAATTCTACTCAAAGGTTTATTTTCTTATTTTTGCTCCTCTGTTTTTTTAACTTAAAATTTAGTTACGTTTGATCGTCCTTTTTGTTATGATTTTTAATTAACATAAGAATTTTGATTAGCACTTTCTTGAGCTTCCTCTATTAATTAAGAATTGATGAACATTAAAAAAACTTTATTAATTTATAATGTCTATATTAATTATTAATTCAATCTGATGCTCTTGATACGAAACATGACATTGCTATTTAAAAAGCCTACAAAGGTAAAATTGGCCATTAAAAGTCGAGATTATATAATCCTTTTTCAATTTTTCCCAAAAGAAAGAAAACCTAATTTTTACCTTATTGACATAATTATAAATTTTTAGATGATGCTATCAAAGCTCTATTGTAAAATGGTAAAACGAAAGATTTTGCTTGTGGACTATATTCTGGTTCTCTATTTTAAAATTCTTAAAAATTTTTTGGTTAACCATCAAAGTATTTACATTTTTCTAATCGATATTCATACATTTCATTATTTGAGTTTAATTCTGGCAAGTATACCTATTTTTAATCATTAAATTACTCTAATTTTATGTGGTTTCTTCTTTCCTGTTTTTTAATAATTAGCTCCACCTATACATAATCTTTACATATTAATTGAAGAACATTTTTTTGGACTTACTTTATTATCAAGAAAAATAAAATTTTTTCCATAATTATCCCACTTTAATTTCCCAGCAAAGTAATTTGAACCTGACTATTTAATTACAATTTTCCGTTTAAAAAAAGTATGAAATTTTTCAGCAATTAAAATTGGTAAATCAAACATTGTCAACTCATATTTTGCATTTTCTTTTGGAGATTAGTTTGTTATCTTACGAATTTAACATTGTAAAATTCCATTTCTTTAAAGAGGCTACAAAATAAATTAAATCTTATCAAATGGAATTCTTAACTCTTTAAATGGATTAGGATAAATTAAACATTTTTAATCATCTTAGTTCTATCCAATTTTATTCTCATTTTCAAATAATTCATGTTTAATTGAAAATAAGACATTCTCAGATTCTTCATTTTTGGTTTAATCTTAGTTGATTTCTTTTAATGGAGATTCTGCTTCCATAGATTCAAGTTTTGAAATTGAAACCTCTTCTTAAGGTATTAGTAATCCATTTTTTTATTTACTACTTCCAAAAAGTATATTTGATTTATTCATAATAAAAATATTAGAGTTAATTGTTAACAAAGTAAATATTATTGTAAAAAATTTTGCAATAAAATAAACAAAATAATTTCATTATAATTATTCCTAATATTTATTTTGAACTTAAACTTAATTTATTTAATAATCTAATAGTGGTATTTATTCCTTCTAATCAGAAAGTAAAATTTATGGTTCTACATTTTTCTCTTTAGATTAATCTTCTTCTATTTGAGAATTTTCATTCTATACTTCTAATATCTCTTGATTATTTAAAAAAAATTAAGCTAATAAATAACTCCACAAACAAATCATTATTTAAGCATTTCTCTATCTAAGATTATCAATTTTATTTTCCAATTCAGGATAATTAAAAAGCATATTTGTATAAAATATTAGGAATTCATAGTCGCATCTTAATAAAATTTATTCAATTTCTTATCCTGGTGATTAATGAAAAATTATTTTGTGATCAAGATTACCAAAATTTAATTTTTTATGACTACAAATTATTATAAGTCTTTTTAATTAACCTTCATCTTTTTTAAGTGTTTCATCTATGATAGCCATATATCCATGTTAAAAGTTATCTTTAATATCATTAATGGTATCTATATTTAGATGATATTATTCCATAAAAGTAATAATAATCTCACTCATTTGATTCTTTAATTTATATTTTTGCTATTAATCATATCTTTTTTTAAATCTCGTTGAATTTCTAGTACATTCAATTGTATTAGATCCAATAGTTTTTAAGGATATCAAAAGATCAAATATAAATTTACTTTATTAACCATATATATTAATTGTCCTTCCTGTAGATTTATTACAGATCATTAGATTAAGTATTGGAATTAATAAAGGTGTTAAGCATTTAATAAACTAAATATATGATTGACAGAAATTGTTTCCTGCATTAATTAATTATTATAACATCTAACATCCACTAAATTTAACACTTGGAAAAAATAGATCTTATTTTATTGAAAATCTAAAAATGTAATTTTCTTAAAGATAAGGCATTCTTCTAATATCAACTATTATATTTGTCTACTCATTAATATTTTCTTATAAAAATAATCGAATGGGTAAATATTCTAAATATAATTATATAATCTCTAAATTTAAACAAGAATCATCTTTAATATTTTGCCATCTTTTTGGCCATTATCTTTTTATTAATTGAGAGATTAAATCATTTTGATTCATATAAAATTATCCAAAAAGCTTGTCTCTAATAACTCTACCATATGTCTTATCATTTATTAAATCATATGCAATCTTAATCCAAAATTCCATTGTTGTCCATCTTTTTTTTTTAAATTCACATAAACAAATCTTGAGAGTTTCTGATTAAATAACAGCACTGATAATATAATTTAAATTCTTTTATTTATAATTATTCCATTCCTTCAATAATTTTCCCTCCCTCTTAAGTAGTCCATCATCATTTACTTTCTAAATGTTTAATCTTTTAAATTTCTATAAGTCATCTTCATAATATTAATCCAATTAAATCGTTATTTCTCTAAATGAATGAATTTTCATATACATTTTTCCTCTACTTTAAATATTCTAAATTATAGTATTTTCAAATAAACATAATACTATTCCAAAAATCATTCGTAATATTGTCTAATTATTTCTTAGCTCATGATTTTATTTATAAACAATCTATTATTATAAAATCTTTAGTTACTTTATAATTTTAATTCGTAATTATTGATATTTGTTAAAATTTATTATATAAAATAATTGTTATGAGCAAAAAAACTAATTCTTATTTAGATTTTACAAAGTAATATAGAAATCTAAGTTACAAGCCAGTATAAGAGGCTTATGATAAAATAGATAATCCAGCAACTAAATTTGATAATTTTTTAAAGACATCCATTTTTTCTAAAAGACTTGAAAAATCATCATTAAATTAATCAGAATTATATCCTAAAATGAGAGGACCTACAAAACCTGATTACTTTTTTATTGAACATTATCCAAGATTTAAAGAAGATTTGAATTGCAATTAAAAGATTTTTGGATAGAAGTAAACTCAGTTTCATAGTGATATTTTCGAAAATATTAGAAATGATTTTAAATAGAAGAATTATTCTTTTCAATATAACTCTGAGAAGTTAGATTATTCTAAAGATTTAGGATTACCAATAGAACCATAATAAAGAATAAAAGAATTATAATTAATTAAAAAAGAATAAGAATTATATAAATCTTTAAGATAAGATGTAAATTTCTTAAATCGAAAAAAAAGGATTTTAGAAAATTTGCATAAGAGTGAAACTTCAAGTTAATCTAAACATAGAAATTTAAGTATAATATTAATATATATAATGTTAGGTTATGATAAATATCGTAATTAGAATGAATGTCTTGAATTTAATAATACAAATGGTTTTATTGGTGATCAAATGAATTTATCCTTCCATCTTTCTAAAGATTGGAATATTAAAAAAAGATGTGATACATAAAGATTAAATACTTTTGATAGAGTCATAAGCTAAAAGCCAACAAATATTAAAATAAATACAGAGAGAATGAATTATTTGAAATTTAGAGAAAACTGTGGAAGAGATTATAAAATTGTGAATTTAACAAAAGATGAATGATTTTTTTTTACTGAATGCAAAATTTATTCACTACATCTTCGAATAAGTTTAGTATATTTTAGCTTAAAATTGTGTTAAGGAATCAATCTATTTAATTAATTTCGTTTGTTCATAATTAACTTGTTACCTAATTAATAAACATAGAAATACAAGTATTTTTCTGATTCTTAAATACTTCTCTATTTAAGAAGATCAATTCTTTCTAAGCTTTATAATTATGCTTTTAATTATTATGTTAATTTCTTATTCTCATTATCTTTATTTGTTTTTTCTAACTTTTTAAGAAATTGATGCATATTTTCTGTATCTTTAGATTCACAATTTAATTCTGGAATAATTAATCCTGGCTTACATAATAATGTATTCCAAGAAATACCGTTTAGATTAAATAAATAAATACCTTTAAAAAAGTGATGATTTTTAATTTCTTCTATAGATTTATGTCCTATTCGATTATAAAAATTAGGTTCTAATAATTTAATCATTAGATCATAAGCTTATTAAGAAATACAATCATCTCCTTCACCAATTTATGGCCATTCAATTTTCATATTAAGAATGTTATCAAATATTTTTTCAACTGTATCATCATTAAATGGAGCAATTCCGCATAATAATTCATACATAATAATTCCTAAGCTCCAATAATCACAACTGAAATTACTAGCAGATGTTCCTTATATTATTTCTGGTGCAATATAATCAGGAGTTCCAACAATTCTAAATTCTAAAAAAATTAATTTACTTTTTAGTTCTGCTTCCTGGTTTATCTACTAAAATAGATTCTACTTTTTTTAATTGTTTATATACTGTTTAATAACCTTATTTATCAATCATTTATTCTACACATGATGGTATTTCAATAGTATTGAATGAATTTAGACTATCCTTTAATTTTAACCTACTATTAACTCCTTATTCAGATAAACCAAAATCAGCTAATTTAGCATGACCTTAACTATCTAACAGAATATTCTCTGGTTTTAAATCTCTATGAACTATATTCTATTATCTTAAATAATCTAATGCTAAAATTATTTCTGCCATATAATGACGAACATAAAATTCATCTAAAGCCTAAAAATATAAATATATAACAATTACTGTATAAGTTTTAAGAATACTAGCAAGATCTCCTCCCATCATATATTCTTATACAAAACATAAATATTGTTCATGAACAAATGAAAAATAAGCTTTAACTACAAAACTACTATTAAGAATTTCAAATATATTTCTTTCCGCCTTAAGTTATTCAAGAAATGCCTCTAAGTTCTAAATATTAAAAATCAATACCCTTTAAGCACAATCAATAATTTTCAATGCATATAAATCTCCAGATCCTTTTTTTTTAACCAAATATACCCATCCATATGCACCTTATCCTAATGGCTTTATGAATTCAAAATCTTTAATTCCAACTTATGTTATTTAATTTTAAGATGGTATTACTGTTTTAATTAAATTTGAATCTGAATGATAACCTTTATCAATTTATATTTCATCTAATCCATAATCAGGTAAAATTGTTGGAGATTTACATATCTTATTTTCATAAAATCTACTTTTTCTGGGTTATATTTTATAACTTTATTACATTTTCTCAATCTCTTAAGAATGAAAGTTTTACTTTTTTTTTGATCTTTTCTTAAAATATTTGTTTTACAAACCTAACATATTTGAGTCATTATTAGTTGCTTAATTAGATATTTATACAGATTCATTTGATGAATTATCTCCATCTTTTATTGATGAATTTATATTATCCTAATTAGGGCTAATTTCTTCTAATGATGGTTATTTTTATTGAAAATTCAATGGTTCCATATTTGCTTTAAATTAAGATAGTTTTTATTAAATAGGAGATTACTATTCTCGTTCATTTCTATATTCACCATTAAAATTTTTCTAAATTTAATCAACCCTATTATCAATATTGGTTGAATTTAATGATTAATTCATATCACCATTATAAAAACTTATTTATTTTTATTAATTTTATTGTATTTAAATATTTTTTAAGGATTTTGGTGATTCAGATCCATCACTGACTTTAAAGATAGAAGAATTCATTCTAAAACCTCTTCTTTATGATATAATTTTTTATGATGATTTCACCTAAGGTTAAGTTGGTGAATCATCTTCTTCTTAAATTGGATCAGTTGATATTCTTTAGGAAGGAGAAGAGAGGCTACTTTAGAATTTAGGTAATCTAAAAGAAATGGTATTCGATTTAGTAAAGGCTCTCCTTATTTTATAGATACAATCATCGGATTAATCTTATGATTATTAAATTTTAACATTCTAATAACCTTCTTACTTTTTATGATATTCAAGTCTTTCTAATAAACATTTATGAGTTGAATTAATTATGATTAATGCATCTTAATTTTCAATATATTCAGTAGAACTTACTAAATCATTCATTAAAATAAGAGTCACTAAATATTTAAGAATTATTATTTGTTACATTTCATATCTTCAATCTCAATTTCATTGCGAAGTGTTTTTTCAGCAAAATTAATAATTAAAGTCATTATATTTGCAATGTAATTTTATTCTTATTGGTATTCACCTTTTTCATCATCTTCTTCATCTTAATAATCTAAGGTTTATACTCTTCTAAAGTTATATTAAGTGTTCCCACACATCCTTTATCTATTTTTATCTTTCATTCTATGAATATTATTTAAAATTCTTACTTTTTTATTGCTAATTTAACTTAAACATTTCGTTTTTCTTAATATGCTTATTCGCATAAGTTGGCTAATTCTAAATTCAACTCAATAAATCTTTTTTTGCTTTATGCTTTTTTTTCACATAAGATACAATGTTGAGTCATATCCTTTGCCTAAACTTATTATTCACAAATTCTACAGATAAACATTTTTAGTTGGTTTTTTGCTACTCTATCTACATCTTTATTCAATTAACTTTTTTTAAAAGAAGATATACTTTTATATATTTTTAATACATTAACAAGACCATCTTAGTTGGTTCAGATAGATTTATTTATTGATCCAATTTTCACTGATAACATTAAAACTTATTCTTAATTTTAAAGATAACAATTTAAAAGATCTTATTATGTTTTAAAATAAAAATAAATTACTTTGCTAATGATTTTCTAGGGACTGAACGTCGAAATATAATTTTTTTGATAGTGTTGTCATCAATTTTTGAAATTTCGTCAAGTAAAATATTTATTTTGTTATAAATGTCAGATGATCCTTCAAATTAATCAAGTTAAAAAAACTAATAAATATTAAGTAGTGATGATTGCAAACGTATAATGGATTCTTTCTATAAATATAATAATGTAAATTATTACTGCTTATAATTAATAGTAGTTTTATAAAATGTCGGTAGCAAATTTAATAGCCATAGGATGAGGTTTTAATATTTTTATTTATTTTTGGATATAAAAATTAGTCACAAATGGTTCACTTGTCTGCATTAAGTAATATATTTAATAATAATAAAAAATTGTATTAAATTATTGGATATATTTAATATATTATGTACCATCAATATGGTTTAACAAATCCTGTTGGGAATTCAGTAGCAGTCTTGAATTCCAACATTTCTGGGAATCTATATCCTTTATGATATAATTCTCTACTTAAAACAGACCATAATCCAGGTTTCATTACAGATAATTAAGTTCTAAATCGATAAATAATTTGATACCTAATGTATTATCCATCAATAGTAGGATCTGCAACGATTTTAGTAAACAATTTATTAGGAATTGGAGCAGTATATGCTCTCCATAATACTAACATATGAACAGATGCAAGGATTGGTCCATAAGCCTTATTTGCACCTTTTCTATTAGCTCCAGCAAACAACCATTATGTTCCTAAAAGTGAAAATGGCAAAAAGGCTAAAGGTGCAGAAACTACGATATCATTCAATACTTGACTGCAGTTTTTGAAATTGAACAACATCTACATATATTAAATGCTATTTATTACTTCTCTACTTAAATATTAATCTAAAAGGACCTCCATTACTTCAAAGTATGATTCAATACTCATTGCAATGTCTGATCTTGTACCACCAACATATGAATAAAAGTTGTTCTTGAACATTACTTTATTTTTATTTTAATAATCTCTATTATATGTTTATTTTATCTCTCTTTTTAAAGTATTTATTACTTTCTTTAACACCAATACATTTTCCTCTTACATGTAATTGTTTCTTGTTCATATTCATTATTATAGTAATCATAACATGCTCTTAAATTATGTAAGAGAGAATTTATCATTACATTATATAAGGTATATGAAAATTCTATATTTTTTTGAATTATCGTAGAATTTATTAGACTTCTTTTTAATATATCTGAGAGAAAATTAAATATATATATATGAATTTATTTTTATTAATGTAGATAGATACATAGTATCAATATTTTACATTTTTAACTTGCTTTGTTATAATTTAAGATAATTTGATTAACTCTTAAACATAATTAGCTGATAATTAATGAACCTCTGATTATGTACTATTATCTACTTTACTACGTAGTTCTATCAATTCTTTTAAAGATAATTTATCTAAAAGTGATTTTCCAGAGCCCTTATTAAAAACAGGTTTTTCTGTTATACTACTAGAGAAGGTGGTTCTTTTTTGTGAAGATTTTGTAGATTTATAAATTGGCTAATTACTTATAAATCTAAAATTTATATAAGCATTACGGTTGTGATGATTTTGTTAGCTAATTTATTTCATTGTTACCAAAACATTCTATTTTATTTTATAGTCCACTCATTTTTCGTGATGAATCATTTATACTTTTTTTTTGATTAGATCCATTTAATTATTATGTTAATCCACTATTAGTATTCATAGTTTTAAGTAATTCATCAAATGATGGAGCACTATTTATAAATATTTAACCCACCTTTTTCTATGTTAAAAATCATTTAATAAAGAGGATTTTGAGGATTTTTTAACTGAATTATCCTCTTTACATGTGCTATTCACTTTTAATGTATTTGGACTGGACATTCTAAGATATAAAGAATCACGAAATTTATTCAAATTGAAATCTTCCTCCATTCCTAATAATTCTTTCTAAGGTAACATTAACGATATAATAAAAATTTAATAATTTTATATAAAACATTTAATCAATCTAAATTTTTTTATATCATATTAATAACTTATTATCCAATATTTGTAGTGCGTCTAAATTAATTATATTTTTATTACTTTAAATAATATTCCCAATATGTTATTTTATTAGTATTTAATAAATCCAATTCTTAAAAGTATAATCTAGCAATATTTTTATTAGATTATTAACTTAATTCTAATTCATCAAAATATCCTTTGTTATTTTTATCAATATGATTATAAATTTATCTATCTTATTTAGGACAAACATTATCTAAGAATTATCCCATTTCATTAACATCAACAAATCCATCTTTTAAGATATCAACTTAATAGAACATTTCATCTAATTCTTCTTAAGATGGATCATTATTTAATTATTAAAAAACAACTTCCATTTTAAATCTAAAAAATGCTTTACTTATTTTCTATAAAGATGATTCAGGAAAAATCTCATCAAAGATTTATTCAGCTGTTAATTACGATAATAATTAATATTTTCCTTTTTTACTTGTATCAATATCCTAACAAACCATACTTTGACAAGGTACTATAAAATTAAGACTTCTACTATCTGCAAATGAACCAAGTGTTTTTTAAGTTTAACAAGTTGCTCTACATTATTTTAAAAAATCAGGTGCTGTAAATAAATCTGCATATTTCTTCATTATATCATCCTCAGTTATCACAGGTTTATATAAGTCTTCATCATTTGTAACAACAAACTATTAAGTTTATTACCTTTCATTTTAATTATTTTAAAATTAAACATATTCATCTTCTTCATATTTATCTAATAATTAAGATTTACAAATATTATCATTTTTTTATTCAAATCTTTATTTTTATTCTTATTCATTTTATTCTTATTGAGTATTTTAAATTGAATTCAATACATCTTAATTATATTTTACAAAATGATATTTTTAATTATCTTGAGATCCTTATACATCAATCTCCATATCTTAATAAGAGTTCTCTTATTATGGTTCTTATTTTGATTATGTTGATAATTTTATTTCTATTATTTCAGTATTATGATGTTAATGAATCACAATATCTTTAGGCATCGACATATAAGAATATTATCTTCTATGAAGATTCTAATGTTATAAATCCTCCTCTCTATCTCTATTCTAATCTTTATCAAGTTCAGAATGTTAAACAGTAAACTAATAATTAAAATTTATTATACATTTTAAAAACTTGCTAGAACAACCTCGTCTCTTTTTTTAGTATATTCTTATTGATCAAATAATTTTTAGAAATTATCTCCTTAAGTATATTGTTTTAGTTTTTATTCAAATTATTCTAACTATTATCTTTGTTATTCAATTTTGTTTGGTGATACGCTTATATTTTATACTAACATATTTACAAATGGAATTCAGGAGAATTAGGACTGTTCTATTTTACATCTTCATTAAATCTAGGAGAATTTTCTTATTTTTGTATTATTTACTATTTTGTTTATCTACTTAAAGATCTTTTTGGTGGACTTACAAAATTTCGATTTTTTTACATACTTGTTGTTTATCTTGAAGGTGTTCGTGATGTTTTTGATTAAGATATATTTACTTAATTCTCTTTTGGTATTTTACTATTAAATTAAATCTAAGTTTATTATTATTATTATTATTATTTTCCTTTAACCTTATTCAATAATTTTCTTAGTTCTTATTATAACAATCTTAAATCTGAAATATTTATTTATAATAAATACCATTTTTCTTTTTATAAGTTGTAACTAATGAAATTATTTCTGTATTATTGTCCTTAATCATCTGTCTAAGAGTCAACCTGTCTTCTTTCATAATTTCTAACTTCAAATTATATCATACATGCACATCTATCTATAATAGCCAGCAATTCAGCATTATCATGTTTAATGCGATTTTGAATCCTGAGCATTCTAAATTAATCAATTTTTCTGTTATTAATTATAATGTTAAATATAAATTTAATATATTAATATTAGAATTTTTATAATAACTGTTCTTTCTATATATTCTAAGATAATCTTTCTTAAAAATTACGAAAAACTAATTTAGATAGAGATGTATCCTTATATTCTATAAGATGAACATCAAAATAAATTATAAAAAAACATAAAATATAGATTATATCTATTACGAAGGATTCTATTGATTTAATAAAATTAACTTGTTTGAATTTATTAAAACAAATATTTATTAATAGATTTACACATTTTACTATTACTATATATAATTAAAATTTAGAGTGCTTAAATAAGGTTCTATCCAAAAGATATCAAAAAAAACTTGGTTTACAAAAATAATATTAATGAAAATATTTAAAGAAATTATTCTTACTTTTATGAGATTCTAAATCAAAATGACATTTTATGGAAAAGGTAGATAGAATTTTTATTTCATTAATTGAAATAATACATTCACATCAGCAATTATTGTCTATACACCAAAGACAAGCATTCATTAGAAAATAATTTTGAAGATGAGCATATATTTTTACAATTAGATCGATAGCATATAAATATTGAGGAAACATGAGACATTACAATTTTCATTAGTAAAAAACGAAATTGAATTATATTATATCTTAATTTTTTAATCTCCCTTTGAAATAATATATCACTTTCAGACAGTGTAAAATCAAAGATAATCTAATCATCCTGAATCATATTTAAGATAAGTTTAAGAGTTAAGTTGGTTATAAATAACAATTAGAATTGCGATAAAATAGAATTCAATTTATATTAAATTATTCAGTTGTTTATGAGAGAAAAATAAAAGGAAATAAAATGATAAATAGTTCAAATAGTATAAAGTAAATAAAGGAAACTTATACAAGAATTCTTAATTTTATAAGGTGGGTAATTTTTTGAATAAATGGAAATATATGAAAATATTGAATAATTTAAAAATATATTTAAACTTATTGAGTATTCATTCAGAAGGCAAAATGAATAAAAAAATTTTAAACTAGAATACTTGATTTTAAATGATTTCAGCTATTTCAGTGATTTTGCAATTGTAGATTTTGAACTGGCAGAGTTATGAAATAGGATTTTGAATTCTAAAAAAAAAGTGATAATATTGTTATATTGAAAAAGAATATTATTAAGAAATTATAATAAAAAATGAGACATATACATATATTCAATAGGAGTAAATAAATTTAAATTAGGTGGCAATTTAGAGGCAAAATTTACATTGAAATTTATTAAAATAAGTTATAAACATATATGAATATATAATAATTAATAATTAAATATAACTTAGAACGCAAAATAACTTGTTATCAGCTTTTAAAATAAAGAGTAAATGCTTTCTATTGATAAAGAGATTTTAAAAAGGAATGACTCTTATTACTTCAAAATTGGAAAAATAATTTAATTATTTAAAAGATAATTGTGATGGCAAATAAGAAATTAGACATTTAAAAATGTAAATTTGATTGATACATCACAAGATTAGAATAAATCAAAATTTAAAGAGTAAAAATCTTAAGAGACAATTTTGGTTTTAATTGAGGAATAAGTATTAAAGTATTATGAATAGTTTTGTATAAAATGGAGATTAGGATGTGATGTTTGAGTTATGGAATTATTTAAATAACATTAAATTATATGTACTAAAAATGTGAATATATAATATATTTTCAATATGATTTAATGAGATTTGATTTGGTAAGATTTATTTTGAATAGATATATTAAAAGTGGTTTAGAATTCGATACAATTTAAAAATAAATCAGTTAATTTAGAGATACATCTATAAATTTAGAAATCATTTATAAAAAATATTGAGTTTTTTGATTTAAGTTTGATTATGAATGTAATTGCTCATTCGTCTTAAATAAATTAATTATAATTATGGCATTCATATCTAAATGATGTTATGTTAATCATAAATTAATAAAATATCTAAAATGGATTCAGATTCGTATATTTAAGATGCCCTTTCTTAATTTGTAATGTTAAGAAGTCCAAAAGAACTATTGTAAGCATTTGGGACTTAATTTTTGACATTAGAATAGATAAGATAACTGGTTGAGGTTTTTGATCCTGCCATTCCGAATGAGAAAATAAAACATTTTTATTTAAAGATGATTACAAAATATAAAAGTCCTTAAGGAATAACAGCAGATATTTATAGATAAATAGTGGAAGATGAAGAATTTACATTAAGAGCTGGTGCATCAAATTCATATGAATGTTTACCACTATTAAAAAATATAATAAGAGGAGTGAGAGAGAAGAAGGTACCTATATAAAGGCTATTTAATTATTATGACAAAAATTAAGATAAAGAACTGTAGGACCCTGAATTTAGAAATTTATTAGAATTTTTCTATGTGTAAATAACAGATGAATAATTTAAAAATTTGAGAAAAGAATTTCCAGATCATCCTCTTAGTGAAAAGGTAATTGTAAGTCTTTTTTAAAAATGGTAAGAAATCGTTTTTGAAAATACTTAAGCTGCTCCAGAAATAATATTAGAAGCCCCATCAAGTATAAATATAATTTATTGATTTTAGAAACATAAAATTTATTAACAGTACCAAAATAAAAAACAATAAGTTTAGAATTAACAAGAGAAGAAGATGAAAAATTTTAAGATTTTATGGGAGTTGATTTTAAGATTCCAGGAGTTAAAGAATTAGCAGACATTTTAAAAAGATGTTAATAAACTTAAGAAGTGTTTACAGATCCTGATTTTCCACCAAGTGTTAAAAGTTTAGGAGTTAAATTTAGTGGAAATAATTGGTAACGTTTATAAGACTTTTTCAAAGGAGAATAGAGAGTATTTTCATTGGATACTTAACATGATAAAAGTAATACTGGTTTGAATAAATGGATATCTCATAGAGATATATGTTAAGGTGATTTAGGTGATTGTTATTTTATGTCAACTTTAAGTTCAATAGCTTGTAAATGGTATGATAATAATTATATTAATTTAGGCCTAATTAAATATTGGATCTATTTCCAATATAGAGGGCTAACAAATTTGGTGTTTATGGTGTTAAATTTTGTGTAAATGGAGAATGGAAGATTATTCCAGTTGATGATAATATTCCAGTTAGAAATGGCAAAATAGCCTTTACAAAAAATACAGATTAAGAGATATGGGTATCATTGTTAGAAAAAGCTTGGGCAAAAGTAAATGGATCATATACTAATATTGATGCTGGAGATCCAAGAGAAGTTATTAAGACTTTAACTGGTGGTCCTGTTTGGTTATTAACAACAAATAAACCAAATTTCAAAGAAAATTTTATTACTTGTGTAAAATAGAAATGTGTTATGGTTACTGGTACTTATAGTAAGAATGCTGATTATTCTGCTATTGGATTAGAAGCAGGACATGCTTATTCTATTTTAAATGTTAAAACTGTTAATCATCCTAAAAGAGGATTAGTTTATTTATTAAAAATTAGAAATCCATGGGCTCGTAAAGAATGGAATGGTGATTGGAGTGATGATTCAGATTTATGGACTCCTGAATTAAGAGAACAAGCTGGAAATACAGGTAAAGAAAATGATGGAATCTTTTTTATGTCATTAGATGATTATGCTAAATATTTCTATTCAGTTTTCTGTGGATATTTTAAACCTGAATACATTTATCATTCTACGAGATTAAATGTCAAAAGGAATAAAGGAATGTATTTTTCATTTGAAATTAAAAAAGAAGGAGAATATTTCTTTGCTATTCATTAAGAATCTACTAGAATGTATAGATCTTAACCAGAATTAAAATATGATTATTCATATGTTAGACTCTTATTGGCAAAAGAATTAAAAAGCGGCTATGAATATTTAGAAGGTAAATTTTATAAAGATATTGAAACACATGTTGGAAGAGTTGGAGTCAATTTTGTTCCTGGTAAATATATTTTATTCCTTAAAATTAAATGGCATGTAAAATCTTGGAAAGAACATCCTACTATTTTAAGCACTTATGGAGAATAATTTGTACAATTGAAAGAAGTTGGTAGAGATCCAAATCTTGTTCCTTAAGCTATGATGTATCAAGTCAGAACAAATAATAAAGTTGAAGAAGTCTTACCAGGAGTCATGATGAAAATGGATAATAATGGAACTTTAGGGTGAATTATTATTTATTATTTTTAGAATTGGTTACATTTATTACAAGAATGAATCCAAATAGTAAATTAACTTTGAAACTAACTTAATTAACTAAGGAGGATGCAAATTAAGTAAACCTGAAAGAGGTCTTTATTTCAAAAGCTTTATTCCACCTTAAGGTGAAAGATTGGTAACATTTACAATCACACCTCCAATAACTGAGTTATCTTTACCAACATTAAGCCATAAATAATTATGAAAGTTATTAAATTTAATCCAAAAATAATTTTTTTTATTTCTTTTTCTATATATCAAATAACTAATACTTAATTATGTCATATACTGTAATTATAATATATCAGATTTCAAATTAATTAGTAAATGATAATTATTAACAAATTTAAATTGTGATTTTATCAATTTGAAATTTAATAAATATATATTTTTATATATTAACATCCCAAATATGGACTTCAATCAACACTTTTTACATAATAAATCAACCTTTACTCCATCTTCACCATTAAAAACAAGGTATTATTTTCATATTTATTTTAGACCTTTACCCAATCCATCACCAGAAATTTTTGAAGATTTCAAACTAAATGATGTAGAATCAGACTCAGAAAGCTCAAGAAAGTCTTCTGGTTAAAAATTTGATCAACAAGTTTTAGTAATAGAATATTTGGTTGAAAAACTTAAAGGTTTTGAATGAAAGCACCATAATAAAAACACTCAGCAAAATAAAAATAAAAAAACGAGAGAAAAATTTAATTACTAAAATTTGTATTAAAAATCATTTTTTTCCATCGTTGTTATCATATTACAAATAAATTAAGACTTTTTCTTCTTTTCACAAAAGTTGATTTCTCTTATTTAAGTAATAAAGGTAATTATAGTTAGTTCTATTATTATGATTTTATTTTCTATTATTTAATTTGAAGTATTGGTTTGAGCTTCTTTTGTTTAATAAATTTATTGAAATCTATTTCTACATTGTAACATTTTGGAAGTTCAAAATTTGAACGATTACTTGGCGGGTGAGATGAACATTAAGATTTTGTTTAATGTAATTATCTAAATTATCTCATTCTTAAATCATCTTGATAAATTGTCGATCCTTATAGATATTTAATATTTAAATTCATTCAATATTCATTTTATTAGATAAAAATTATTTTTTCTGTTAAACATATGCATTTATCTTTTTACATATTGGCATTTTAAATATTTTATTTATTTATTACTTTTTATTCTCATTCCAATGCTTTTCTACTTCAAGATCCAGAAATTCTAGCTAAAGTAAATTATTACTTTGTTATTATAATTCTATCACCATTGATCTTGATTATTCAATATCATTGATAGTTGGAAATGGTTCTAATTTACAAATTGATATAGCATTCTTTATTTTCTCCAAAATTCGTTCCAAAACTAAAACATGCTAAAATAAATAAATAAATAAAATATACTTTTTTTCTTAGTTCATCCATTTAAGAATCAATCAAACTTCCATTTTCACAACCATATTTATTACATCTTTTCATTTAATTCAAAAATATTTCATTTAAAGTATATTATTTATTGCAAATGCTACAATACCTACTAGTTTAATTCAGCTCTTGTTTTTCAACCTCAGTTTTTTCAAATTTCCACTTTTCTTATAAAATTTAACATTATCTATCTAAACAATCTACAAAATCTTAATTAATTTGCATTGTTTAAAAATGGTTGTCTCTTTAAAAATTATTGTTTTTTCTTTCATCTAGCTTTAAAATTCCAAAACTTTGTAAATTCCTAAAAAATGATTTAATTTCATTATTACATAGCAGATTGCCTCATATCAGCTAAACCCATTCTATCATATTCTTAAATCACAGCTTAAAGTTCTGAATCTTTTATCAACCATTTCCTTTTTTAAAGGTAAATCATCAATACTGTAAAATCATTATCATCCATGAATGCCTCACACCACATTAAAGCTAATTCCCCAAATGGACCCCAAATTTTTATATTTTCTTCAAGCATTATAAAAATATTAATATATTGGATTATAATTATGATCTTCTATAATTGTCACTTAATTTTGATGACTTAAATATTTCTATTAGAAAAATATTTTTATAAGCCATATTAGAATTCAATCGAATCATACTTCTGTAAAAAAAATTAGTTCTTATTTTAGTATTCTTTAATACTAAAAAAATTATACTTTTAATATTAAGATTCCATTACTCCTTTAAATTAAAATCCTCTCTATCGTTCAAATTAATTAAAGGTTTTGCTATAGAGTTATTTTTATAAATTAAAATCTCTTCATACAAATTATATTTTTAAACTGTATAATAAAAATTTATAATAATTAGACTTTATTTATAAAGCATGTCTATTAAACATATAATTAAAATTAAAAAATCATGTATAAATATCTATTGCCTAATTAACTGATACAAGCAATTCATTTATTTTCTAAACTTCTTTATTTACATAATAATCTTCAACTTGTTAAATCCAAATGTATGAAAGAGTTTTTTAAAAACTTATTTTAAATATAATATTTTATAGAAGAGTTACTTGGAGTAATAATAATGTTCTAATTGTAATCACTGTAATAGCTTATTTTATGTATTTTTCTGTTCAAATGATTAAATGTAAAACTATAGGTATAATTTAGAGAATTGTATTTATTTATTTCTCAACTCTGTGACATTAGTGCATTTAAAATATATAATATTTAAAAGATTTTATATATTTGTATATATATATGATAATGATATTTGATTTTTATTCAAAGGAAATTAAATCAAAGCTTTCGATATCAATAATATAATTAATTATGAAAATTATTATTCTTTGTTTATTGTCTTTTGGTGTTTTATCTCAATTGTCAAAATAGACAGTTACACATAAAATTAAGATTGGAGTTACAATCGATGGCAAGTAGGAAGGAGAAATCACTTTGGGTTTGTTTGGAAAAGTTGTACCAAAGACAGTAGAAAATTTCAGAGCCTTATGTACTGGCGAAAAGAAAGGCAAAAGCTATGCAGGTTCACCATTTCACAGAATAATTCCTAATTTTATGATATAAGGAGGTGATTTTACAAATGGAAATGGTACTGGCGGAGAATCAATCTATGGAAATAAATTTAATGATGAAAATTTTAATTTGAAACATGAAACAGGATGTATTTCAATGGCTAATGCAGGACCAAATACAAATGGTAGTTAATTCTTTATTACAACTGCTGATACTCATTGGGTATTAAATTAATATTATTCTTTTAGTTAAATGGAAAACACGTAGTATTTGGAAGAGTCATAGAAAATATGGAATTAGTAAAAAAGATTGAAGCTTAAGGTTCATAAAGTGGATAGACTAAATCAAAAGTAGTATTTGCCACATGTAGTGCTGAAGTTGTTACAGATGAATTATGATCAATTATTTCAAAGATTAACAAATTTCTTCATTTTTGGGAATATTAGAATTTCTATTTTTTTATCTAGAAAATAATTATAATTTGTTAATCTATCTCTCACTCAGAATTAATGTGATACAATCAATAATATTGGTATTATAATGGTTCAAACAATAAGTTGAAATGATAAATTGTGTTATTTAGACTTATTTAAAATAATGTAGTTGGAGGTTTTTTAATTTATTAGACAAATTAATCATAAATTATTGATTATATAAGTAACTTTTTATTTTGAAAAAAGATTATTTTGAATATAAATAAATAATGTTTTAATCAATAAGAATAATAAGCTTTGACTCCGATTATGAAATTCTTCAAGAATTCAGAAGTTCTCCTACTGAAAACAAACCCTACTATAAGTATTAGATTGTTAAAAAAAAAAATGATTAAGAATCAAAAACAAAATATATAGCAGCTTATTATTCTGTAGGAAGAGAATAAAAAGACACAGTTAAATTATTTTATTTGGTTAAAAAAATAAAAATACTTAATCTTATAAATAAAGAAAGCTTTTATCATGAAGATGATGGATTTATAATAGTTTATCCATATTTATAAAATTATTAACTAAGTTTATAATAAATGCAAAAATTGGATAAACCTACTAAGATTTAAATAATTGTTTAATTAAGCATAAGTAATATTGGTATTAAATATAGCCCTCTTGGAAATGACAAAAAGAAAAATTTCTTTCAATATCACAAATCTCAATTAACTAATACTAATTGATAGTTTAATTTTTATCAATATGCAAGAGTTTCATTATTTTTAACAATCAACTGATACTTAATCTCTAAATCACTTAAAATAATTTAGTAATAATATACATCATATTAAGTTAATCAAAATTTTATACTGGCTGAAATTTAAGAAATCGAACTTTTTAATTTTGATGCTAAAACTATGGAATCATTTACAGAATCTATTTTATAAGCATTTAATTTACAAACTAAAGAGCATGTAGAAGCATAATTTTTTAGAGTTTTTTGTAAGATTTTAAATATAACAAAATACTAATAATTAGCTGCATTCTAGGCCAATTCTCATATTTATAAAATTTAAAAATTGCCTGTGTTTGAAAAGATTTTCAGTTTTCCTTTGACAGAAGAAATCATAGCTAAATCAACAAAAATATAAGGAGATGATGATTAATTGATTGAAGATGTTAAGCTCAATATTACAAGAGAAATTGAATTAATGGAATTATTTGAAGTTAACCATGAAATTGCAGCTTGTTTTAAATATATAAGGATATTAGAGCAATCTTATTTATTTATGAGATATTATTGTAAAAATTTGAGAGAGTACTTTGATTTAATGGATTTAAATCCAACAGTTTATTTTACAAAATTAATTGTCTATACAATTGCTTATTAATTTATCAAAGGATTAGCTTTGTTACATCGAGCAGGAATCAAACATAGGGATTTAAAACCAGAAAATTTATTTTTGACTAATGAAAATATTGTTTCAGGTTAAATTCATATAGCTGATTTTGATAGATCAAAAATTCATTCTCTTGATATTGATATTGATCCTCTTGATTAAACTAATACACCAGAATACAATCCTCCAGAATAATAAATACGAAGAGATCCTACATAAAACTATAATGAATATTCTGTTGATATGTGGCAGTATGGACTAACAATATTTGAAGCTGCAAATAAGGGTCAATATCCTGGAAAGAAATATTGTGATAATTTTGATAAATATTATTCTCCATAAGTAATCGAGGCCAAACTAGCATAATATAAGTATGATAAGGAATTTGTTGATGCAATCAAATTATGTTTAAAAGAAGATCCATAACAAAGGCCAGAAGCTAGAGTTATTGAAAACATTATGTAAAGTATATACGAAAAAGAATTATCAAAACAGGCTAAAGGACCTAAACTTTAATCAAGCTAAAGCTTTAAATGGTAAAAGAGTCAATAAGTTGAGTAATAAATAGAATCAATAGATGATAATTGAATTAAAATATTATTAATTTTATTATTATAAAATAAATTTTTTATATAATCTTAATATAAAATTAATTCAAACAAAGTTACTTTCTTTAATTTATGAAATCATTCATATACGTTTTATTAAAAAGTTTACATTTTAAATAACTCACTTTTATATAGTTTTATCATTAATTAGTTGCTTATTATAAAAGATTTAATAATAATTTGTTATTTGAAATCATTTAAAAAATTGATTTTAATTTAATGAATAAAAAATTTCAAAATTTGAAACATCATTCGTTCAAGCATGGTAAAAAATAAACCAAAATGAGTCATAATTGAATAAAATATAAATTAATTCATGTAAATATTTTTTGTTGTTTTTTATGTTGTTATATTTTATTATATCTTTATTTAATAAAAAATAATTTAAGCATTTCTATATTCAAAATATGAATAATAAAAAATTCATTGCTATTGTTTTTAATTTATCTTCGAAAAATTTTATTGGACTGTTAATTTCTTAGTTTCACTTGGAAAATCTTTTGCGCCATGCAATATTTGGATAAAACTTAATTTTTTTAGATCACTTGATTAAATGGTTTAAATCTTTAAAGTTTCAATCAAAGATATGATAAATGATTTAGGCAGTCTTGATGTAGAAGCTTCAATTTTTTCATGCTATTTGTGAGATATTGGATTAAATTTATCATATTTGAGATATAATTCTATTTTATGCATTCAATTTCTCTTAAAATTGCATCAATTTCAATTTATTTTTATTAATTGCATTTGTCTAAAATTTTGACAGCATTTTTGCTTTTATTTTATTTTTGAATAACTTTGTAGACCTTTGAAATAGAAATATACAATACTTTCCATAAGTTGCTTCTCCTATAAAATTCCAATCATAAAGTTGTTTGAAAAATCAACTTAAATGCAATGTAGTTTCAAAGATTACGAATTTCTTTATTCCATTTTTATTTTGATAATGATGAATTTCTATTGATATTAAATTTTTAAAATCTTAATATTCGATTTTGTTCATAAGATTTAAGGAGTAATTTTACATTTTTATATTGCTTCAGTATTAGTGAGCCAGTTTTTAATAATGCTTTAAATTAATAATATTCTTTCTTTTTATTAGAAAAAACATATTATTACAAAGTATTAAATACATTTAAAGATTTCTTATTCATTTATTCCCATTTAAAATTATGATTAAATAAAGAATTCTGATAGAAATTCATATGAATTAAAATTATATAAATTAAAACAACATTTATCAAGGGAATGGTTCGAATTTTGTTTAAGATTATAATGGGGACAATTATGGAGATCTATGAGAAAATGTTTGTAATTTTTAAAATCCTCTTCTTATGGCTTCCTATTTCATATTATTTTAAGGTTTTTGTGGTATATTTTATAATTTTGGTGATAATTATAAATATTTATCCAAATTGTTATTTGTATTTATGATTAATCTTGGATGAGAAATTTTATCAATACTTTTTGGAGTTTTTTTAATGAGAATAGTACACTTACTGCCTCTTTGATTTCTAAAAACTTAATGATTTAAGGCAGCTTTTGCTGATATTCTTTTAGTACTATCAGGTTCAAGCATACTTTATAATAGATTATAAGTTGCTTCAGAGGTATTAGAAACCAATGAATAATCAATTTAACTTTTATAATTTTGAAACAACTTTTCTTCTGGATCTGTTTTATTAAAAGGAGATTTTCCACCACTTAGCATCATAAAAAGAATGACACCTGCACTATAAATATCTATTTTATAGTCATATATTTTATCTTATAGTATTTCTGGTGCAACATATCCTGGTGTTCCACATCTAGTATAAATATATTTTCCATCAACTCTATAGAATTCTGCTAATCCAAAATCTGCTATTGCTACTGATAAAGTGTTTCTATCTCTCAATAAAAGATTTGAAGGCTTTAAATCTCTATGTAAAATTCCCTTTGAGTGAATATAAAGGACTGCTTATAATAATTATTTGATTATTAATAAGGATTCATCTTCTGAAAGATATCTTTCTTTTATTAAAGCATACAATTCGCCTTATTCAACCATTTCATAAATTAAAAAAATGTGATCATCATTTTCATATGTTTCAAAAAATTTAATTATTCCAGGATGATTAAGGTTTCTAATTATTTGTAGCTCTTTTATTATTAATTAATAATCTTGATATTTACAAATAGCTTTCTTATCAAATACTTTAACAGCAAAGTCTTATTATGTAATTCTAGATTTTATCTTGTACACCTAAGATTTTATAAAATAATTTAATACTTTTCCAAATGTTCCTTTACCAAGTAACCTTATGATAGAGTATTTGCTTGCAAAATCTTGCTGAATACAAAAAAACCTTAACTATTGAAGCCAAATTATAGTCATGCCATATATTTCAATAGTTTAACCTGATTTTGTGATTCTAATTCCAGCACCATAATTTGGTTGTTCAACCTCACAAATAGTTGCATTAAGAATATCAGCTATTTGATTTTAACCCTTTTAATTGAATGAAATATTATTACATTCTTTTTTCTTTTAAAAATAAAATGATTTTACAAGTGCAATGTTTTTACTTTAAAGATTTTATGTTTGTTAGAAAACATAAAAAAATTTTCTTAAATAGATTCATTGATTTTGCGTGAAGCTGTTGTGTTTAGCCATAAAGGTCCTTTTTAAATATCAAAGAAAGAAGTTGAAGGCACTTATCTCTATATATTCATAATATTAATCAAAATTACTCCATTATTAATTCTAATTTATATCATCAGTTATTTTAATATCTTCCAAAGATAATTATAAATAATTGATTTTTTGTTGGAATATTTTAACACTTTTTTTTAACTTAAATTATACAAAATTATTTAATATTCTCTAGTTTGAGTAAAGATTTTGAATTATTGTTCAATTTTTATATTGAATCAATACAAATTGATAAAATACAAAATTATTATATATTATCATTTTTTAATAACTCGATATATAGATTATTTATTCATATTTATATAGGTATCCTTTGTAAATTTTAAATTTTCCCTAATTGAGCTGATAAAGGAGAGTAATTTCTTGTATTTAATCTCATTGGTGATTGTATAGATGACACTTAAGAATTTTCATATTTGTTCTTCAGATCGCTGGGGAATTTCTTTTATTCTAAAATTGGACTTTATAATGGAGAATTAGTTATAGAGTCCCCTTATGATTGAATACTTCCTAAACTACTTTAACTTGTATTTTATTAGAAAACTGTTGAATATTTTCTAAAGAATGAGCTTTATTGAATTTATTCAATTGTAAATCTTCTAATTGAATTTGGATCTAACATTCCTCTTAATAATTCTAGACATTCAATAGAAAATTGAAATTTTGTTAAATCAACCCAACCATTAAAATTACCCATAACTGTTTAATCATAATTATTTGAATCGAATGGACCTTTACCTAATAATAAATAATAGAAAAGTATTCCACAACTATATATATCAACTTTATAATCATATATTTTATCTTATAATAATTCTGGTGCTACAAATCCAGGAGTACCACATCTTGTAAACATATATTTACAATCTTTTCTAAAATAATCTGCCAATCCAAAATCAGCTAAAACCACCTATTCTATCATTCCTTATTCTCTCATAATTATGTTTTCAGGTTTTATGTCTCTATGAATAATTCCATGAGAATGAATATAATTTAATGCTTCAATCACTTATTAAATAATTATGAAAGCCCCATATTCAGAAAATGTTTTAGTTTTTTTCAATTCTTGATGAAGTTCACCCCCATTAAACAACTCTTAAATTATAAATATATATTGCTCGTTTTCATATGTTTCAAGAATTGTAACAACATTTTTATGGTTCATTATTCTCATTAACTCAATTTCTTTTAGCAAAGCTGGCCTATCTTAACATTTAAAAGTGGTTTTATCAAATAGCTTAACTGCAAACTCTTTTTTATCACTTAGTCTTTAAATTTTGTAAACCTAATTATTATTTATTCTATATACTTTTGCAAAGCTACCTTTTCCAATTAGTTTAATCATGCAATACTCTTTCTAAAAGTTTAGTTATATGCACCATTTCCTCAAATTGGAATAGCAATTCTCTACCAGACCAAAGAATGTAATATTTTCTCCGTTTTTCGTTATTGAAATTCCTGTCCCCATTAGTGGATGATGAACAAATTCAAGTAAGGAATTAGTAATGTTATAAAACTACTGCTTTGGTTTCTTTATATTTTTATATTATATGATACCTTTGAACTAAATTTGATCAAGTAATTCCGTTGAAGTACAAAAGTCTTCAATTTAAACTTGTCCTATTTTAGAACGTAAAATTGATCCTTTTAGGATTTTTAAAATATTTCTATTGGCCTTTTCAACTTAAAAGGGGATGTGAAATCAAAAAAAGACTTGTTATCTTAACTCATTTCTCAATTTATTTATAATAAATCTTACCATTAAAACTTATTTGAATTTTAAAGCAAGCGAATAAACGCAACAATCCTAAAATACAAAACCATTAAAAATATTAATATATACTTTAAAATACTCTAAAATACTAAAAAAATTAATTTCTAAAATTATTATCATTTTAGTATTGATATTTCCATAATCAATTAATATTTATTTTCAACTATTTTTATAAAATTTGGATCATAAGAGTTTTAAATTTATTATTCTTCTCTCTTTTTATTCAATAAATCATCTCTACGAATTATTGTTTTTTTTATAATTTTTGTCTAATTTCTTAAATAACTAATAAATAATTTATGGTTATTTTAACAAATTTGTCAAATTCGAGGTAGCTTAAAAAAATAAATTCTTTATTTTGTTTTTAACTACAAGCCAAACGATAAATATTTTTTTGAAGCACAAATAAAATGAAGTCTAGTTTAAACATATTTTTCTCTTTATTTTGATTTATTTTACAAACTAAGATGAAATTTTTCCATTGATTAAGGTTATATTGTTTTATATAAAATATAAGAATAACAATATATATATATTCATAATTAAAATGTTAAAAATTGATATTGTCAATAAAATTTACCAAAATTATTAGTTTTTTATATAGATTTTTTTGAGTAATGTTTGAGTTAATTTTGATTGGGAAATTGTAAAAGCTGTTTTTGATATTTTATTAAAATAAAGTAGTATAAAGGATTATATAATATTTTTAAAATAAAATTATAATATTCAAATAAATTAGAAGATAAAACAAGAAAACTATAGTTGAATGTAAGAATAGAAGATTATAATGATATATATCTATAAATGCTGATTATTTAAATCTTTCATTGAAGGAATGATGATGATGATGCTTCATCTAAGGAAGGCATCTCAATATCTGGGTTGTATTGAGGTTCTTCATCAGAGTTCTAAACTTCCTCTAAAGTGCCATCTCCTTCTGTAATAATTGGAATATAGTAGGATTCATTGACATCATCTTAAGCTACATCAGAAGCTTAATAGTTTGATTCTGCTTGCATTTCAATATTTGGGACATTATTGAAATCTTCAGCGGTTAATAAAGCTTATTGAATTTATTATTCTGTCATTAATTCAGAGGAGAGCTAAATAAAAAAATCTATGTACATCTTGGTCTTGGTTCATAAGAATTAATTGATCTGTTTCTTGTTAAATTTGAACAAATCCAGCTGATTATTGGCTGTGAAGAATAGCTCTTTTTAGGCTGCTGTCTTATCTTTTCTAGGCAGTCTTAAGTTACTCACTTCTAGGACTTGTAAATGAATCAACATCATATTCAATTTTTGCATGTTATTTTTTATATGCCTAGTTGTCAACATGAATTAAATTGGTAGTTGTTCTAATTAAAAAATGATAAGTAAATTACTTTTTCTTTTTTTGAGCAGCCATTACTGTGAGGGCCAATACTACGATAACTAGTATTCTCATTATCGTTTTTAGAATAATATATTAATTAAATGGATTCTCATTCATATAACAATGAAACAGCAATTAAAAAATGGGGTCTCGTAACAGTAAGACCTCCTGCTCATTAAATGAATGGTACATCTAAAATAATTATATATTAGACAGATCAATAGTATCTAATGTTCCAGATCTGGCTGTACCTGACAATTAGATTACAACATCAAAGTATTCCTCGATAATTACTTTTATACCATTAAATTTGATGGAGTAATTTTCAAAGTTAGCAAATGTTTACTTTTTGATTATTGCAATAATGCAGATGATTTCAACAATTAGCATAACAAATGGCTAACCTGTGATTATGGGTCCATTATCAATAGTTGTTTGCATTTCAATGATTAAAGATTTTATCGAAGATTATCAGAGAAGGAGATCAGATGAAGCTGAAAATGCTCGTAAAACATATTTAATTCGAACAAATGAACCTCCAAGAGAAGCTTAATGGAGAGAGTTAAGAATAGGAGATTTAATTAAAGTTTAAAAAGATGAATAAATACCTGCAGATATCTTATTAATGTAGACATCAGATAAAAAAGGAAATGCATTTATTGAAACTAAAAATTTAGATGGTGAAACTAATTTGAAATGTAAAAATATTCAAAAAAATCTAAAATAACTGTAAGAACAAAGCGAAGATTCATTATTGGCTTTGAGAATGACTATAAAATATGAAAGACCAAATCCGTATTTGTATTAATTCACTGGATCTGCTGAAATCAATAATTAATAAATTCCTTTAAGCGAGAAGAATTTCATATTACGAGGTTGTGTTTTAAGAAATGTAAATTTTATATATGGTGTGGTTTGTTACAATGGTCATGATTCAAAGATTATGCTTAATTCAGTAAAGGCAATACCAAAGAGAAGTCATTTAGAGAGAACAATGAATTTGTTCATAATAGTAATATTTTTATTATAAGTAAAAATACAGTATAATAAGTTTTTAGATGATTATGTGTTGCTTTGGTGGATTTTTAAATTCTTAATGGCAATAGATTCATAATTCTGAATTATCATATTTAGATATATTAAATACAGATCCTGAACATAATTTTGTGAAAAATTTATTTGTAAGTATTAAAAATAAAATTTTAGATAAAATGGGGGAATTGGATTTTGATTTTTACAAATTTTGTTCCAATATCATTGCTTGTTTCTTTAGAGATGGTAAAATATTTTTAAGGAATGTTGATAACAATAGATTAAGGTACATACTCAGCTGAATATGACATAAAGACAACAGTATAGTCTTCAAATTTGAATGAAGAACTTGGTTAGGTTGATTACATATTTTCAGATAAGACAGGAACATTGACAAAGAATTAGATGGATTTCAAATGTTTAACAGTGAATAAGAAATCATATGGAAAGGAAGTAACATTAAATAATGAAGAAATATCAAAATTGGCATAAGTAACGAATGTAGATTTCAGAGATAAAGCATTCTTTAATGATTTAAATTAAACTCCAGGAAAGGGACCATTACACGAATTTTTATTATGTTTATCTTTATGTCACACAATAGTAACTGAGAATAAAAATGGTTAATTACTTTATTAAGCATCATCTCCAGATGAATTAGCACTAGTAAATTTTGCTAGATTTTGTGGATATACATTTGAAGGTTTGGATGCTTCAAATAGCATGGTTGTCAATATAAAAGGTGACAATAAAATTTATTAATTGTTACATGTATTGGAATTCAACAGTACTAGAAAGAGGGTTTCAGTAATTGTTTAAGACTAATAAAATTAAATCATATTATATACAAAGGGTGCTGATTCAGTGATTGAACCTTTAATGAAACCAGTTGTACCTTAACTTAAAGAGAAGACATGGAATGATTTATAAGAATTTGCATCCATTGGTTTAAGAACTCTTTTGCTGACAAGGAGAATTCTACCTTTATAAACTTATAAAGATTGGGAAAAGACTTATTTATAAGCATGTTCTGCTATATAAAACAGAGATAATTTAATGATGGAAGCTTAAGCTAAAATAGAATAAGAACTAGAACTTATAGGAGGTACAGCAATTGAAGATAAGTTACAAGAAGATGTTGGCCCTACTATTTAATATTTAAAAGATGCAGGCATTAAAGTATGGGTACTTACAGGAGATAAAATAGAAACAGCAATAAATATTGGTTATTCTTGTTAATTATTAAATGACTCATTATAGTAAATAATAGTTGATGCAAATAATGAGTAAAGTGTTAATAATGAATTAGAAAAGGCTCTTTAAAAAAGTTAAAATAATAATAAGAATGCATTAGTAATATCTGGCAATGCTTTGATAATAGCAATGAAACCAGAATATTCAAGAAAAGTAATGGAAATAGCTGAAAGATGTGAAGCTGTTGTAGCTTGTAGAGTTTCACCAAAATAAAAATAAGAAGTAGTTTCATTAGTTAGAAGCAATAAACCTAATGTTACTACTTTAGCTATAGGAGATGGTGCAAATGATGTTAATATGATTACAGCTGCTCATATTGGAATTGGAATCAAAGGAGTAGAAGGATAATAAGCTGCTAGAGCTTCTGATTATGCTGTTGGGGAATTCAGAATACTTAAAAGATTGACACTTTATCATGGTAGAGAAAGCTATAGAAAAAATTCAACTCTTGTTAATTACAATTTCTATAAAAATATGCTTTTAGTCTTACCCTAATATTGGTGGGCCTTAAACAATGGGTTTTCAGCTGTTATGTTTTATGATTAGTTGCTTTATTAAAGCTACAATTTATTTTTTACTAGTCTTCCTATTGTTTTGTATGCCATTTTCGATGAAGAATTCTCGGGAGATATTCTAAGTTCAAGTAAACATATCTTTCAATAATAGATCCTAGTCTTTATGATATTGGTATCAAACACAAACTCTTTAATGTTAAAATATTTTTATTTTGGATTATTAATGGCACAATCTAAGCTGGCATTTTGTCATACTTAACATTTCAAACTTTTGAAGCGTCCTCTATATATAACGGAATGATGGCTGGCTTATGGACTACTGGTGCCATTGTTTTAGGCTATTCAGTATTAAATAGTAACATTAAAGTAACCAATACTATTTCCACATTAGATTATCTTATTTAGTAATACTTATTCTATAGGAGTCGTCTTTGCGCTTTTAGGATCTGTACTCTTTTATCTCTTTTTATTTTTCATCGTTTCAGAAAAAATGCCTAAATCTGATATGTCAAACAGTCAAGGTGCCACTTTCATTCATTTCAGATTTTACTTCATTTCACTCCTTGTCGTTGGAGCTACCTCCATTTTAGATTTAGCTCTTACTAAATTTACTTAGTGGTCTTAGTATGCTTAAATTGGAATCTAACATGATAAAGTTTTTATGCTAATTTAAAAATAGCACATTGAATTACAAGATGAACAATAAATGCATTAACCATCACCTAATACGCAATTTTAATTGAATAACTCCTAAGTTCCAAAAAGTCCAATCAAACGAGGTTACACTGGTTTTGCATTTTCTTAAGAGGAACATTGATATTCAAATAAATGTTTTATTTTATAAAATTTAATTATTCTTTATCATTCTAAAATCTCTTTCCACTAGAGAGTAAAAGAATTTTTAACATATTTAGAAGACCACTATTTTTTAAATAATTATCAATGCTATTTTGGCCTTTCTTTTAGTCTGATAACCTTGGGTTATTTAATTTGTTTAATAATCAAAAGAACAATTGAATAAACTTTCATCTGAAGTTTATTTTATACGTTTCAATGAGTTTCCATTATAATTCTGTTAATTTATTTAAAGGATTTTGGATAATAATAAACTTATTCAAAAATTGCCTGGCAAAAGGCTAAAATTTATCCAGTTATTTAAAATTGAAAACACTCTAAAAAAATGAAAATTTTTAATAACATAAATAATTTATATAAAATAAGCATCCATAACAAAATAAATTATCTAAAAATTCAACTAAATTGTTCTTGATTAGAATAAGACTTAACTAATATTATTTTATTATTTGTTTATGAGTATTATTACGGTTTATATGAGTTTGTGCTAGATGAAACAAGTGTTATTTTATTATTTGTTTATGGTTACTATTATAATTATGTTTATGGATCATATTAAGAGTTTGCAATAAATTAAAGTTATGGTGTGTAAATTTCTTAATTTGAGTAATTATTTGATATTAATTAATTGTTTGATGTTGATTAATTATTTTATGAGTTTGTGCTAGATGAAACAAGTATTATTTTATTATTTGTTTATGGTTACTATTATAATTATGTTTATGGATCATATTAAGAGTTTGCAATAAATTAAAGATGTGGTGTGTAAATTTCTTAATTTGAGTAATTATTTGAAATTAATTAATTGTTTGATGTTGATTAATTATTTTATGAATTTGATTTTGCTTATGGTTACTATTATAATTATGTTTATGTATGATATAAAGAGCTTGAATTCGATTAAAATTATGGTGTGAAAATTTCTTAATTTGAGTAATTATTTGATATTAATTAATTGTTTGATGTTGATTAATTATTTTATGAGTTTGTGCTAGATGAAACAAGTGTTATTTTATTATTTGTTTATGGTTACTATTATAATTATGTTTATGGATCATATTAAGAGTTTGCAATAAATTAAAGTTATGGTGTGTAAATTTCTTAATTTGAGTAATTATTTGATATTAATTAATTGTTTGATGTTGATTAATTATTTTATGAGTTTGTGCTAGATGAAACAAGTGTTATTTTATTATTTGTTTATGGTTACTATTATAATTATGTTTATGGATCATATTAAGAGTTTGCAATAAATTAAAGTTATGGTGTGTAAATTTCTTAATTTGAGTAATTATTTGATATTAATTAATTGTTTGATGTTGATTAATTATTTTATGAGTTTGTGCTAGATGAAACAAGTGTTATTTTATTATTTGTTTATGGTTACTATTATAATTATGTTTATGGATCATATTAAGAGTTTGCAATAAATTAAAGTTATGGTGTGTAAATTTCTTAATTTGAGTAATTATTTGATATTAATTAATTGTTTGATGTTGATTAATTATTTTATGAGTTTGTGCTAGATGAAACAAGTATTATTTTATTATTTGTTTATGGTTACTATTATAATTATGTTTATGGATCATATTAAGAGTTTGCAATAAATTAAAGATGTGGTGTGTAAATTTCTTAATTTGAGTAATTATTTGAAATTAATTAATTGTTTGATGTTGATTAATTATTTTATGAATTTGATTTTGCTTATGGTTACTATTATAATTATGTTTATGTATGATATAAAGAGCTTGAATTCGATTAAAATTATGGTGTGAAAATTTCTTAATTTGAGTAATTATTTGATGTTGATTAAATATTTTATGAATTTGATTTTGCTTATGGTTACTATTATAATTATGTTTATGTATGATATAAAGAGCTTGAATTCGATTAAAATTATGGTGTGAAAATTTCTTAATTTGAGTAATTATTATTTGATGTTGATTAATTATTTTATGAATTTGATTTTGCTTATGGTTGCTATTATAATTATGTTTATGTATGATATAAAGAGCTTGAATTCGATTAAAATTATGGTGTGAAAATTTCTTAATTTGAGTAATTATTATTTGATGTTGATTAATTATTTTATTAATTTGTGCTAGATGAAACAAGTATTATTTTATTATTTGTTTATGGTTACTATTATAATTATGTTTATGTATGATATAAAGAGCTTGAATTCAATTAAAATTATGGCGTGAAAATTTCTTAATTTGAGTAGTTATTTGACGTTGATTAATTATTTTATTATAGATATGTATTCGTATTAATTTAATTATTTTACTATAAATTTTAATTTTTCTGTGAGTGATCAGATTAACTCTAAAAATTTCCACCTGAAGTTTGTTAATTTGGTCTAGATGAAACAAGTATTATTTTTCTATTATTCTAGTTGTACTCTTATTCATGTTCTTATTAAGTTTAAGAATGTTTTTTTAATTCACCAGAAAGATTTGTTGAAAAAGGTACAAGGTTAAAATTATTTGATTAATCCTTTGGAGTAAAACTATTATTTGGATTTGATGGGGTATTTTGATGTCTAACAATGGCTTATTGATTTTCAAAATGATTAACCGAATTTTTGGAAAACCAATTTAGTTTCATTTTGGTATTTAATTACAATGAGTAAATTTTGTCATATATCTCTTCAATTTCAGGTCGTTCTTCAGGATTTCTTTTTAAACACTAAGCTATGACATCTAGAAAAGTTTCATCATATTTTGTATGTGCAAGTGCTTTTGCAATACTTTGTCTACTATAGTAACTTTCGTGTTCTTCTAATGTCAACTATCTAGGTCCTGAAAATTCATTTCCAATATATTAGTACTTATTCGCAATTCTTAATATTATAAGACCAAACTAAAAGTTATCATATTTAAAAGATGAAGTTGTTTCTGGAGGGTCATATTTAAGTGTATTGCAAACATTTTATTCTGTCATATTCTATCCCATTTGCCCATCTAATAATTTAGAGCGATCCAAGTCAGCAATATATATATAACCTTTTTTAAGGTCATCATAATCTAAAAACAAATTCTCGGGTTTGAGGTCTCGATGAAGAATTTTTTATTGTTTTAGCGATTTTAGAGCTTGATATAAATTGATAATTACCTAGTGCAAATCGTTTTGCTATTAAGAGTACATCTTTTATTGTCTATTCTTCATTTCTCTTTACTTAACACCATTTTTTCATAAAATCTGCTAAAGTTCCAACAAATTATTTTTGCAAAATGAAAGAGTAATCAAAAATTCTAATATAGGCAAAACATGAAGCAACATATTCTGCTTCTTAACATTATTCCATTAGTTCTATTTCTCTTTAAATTTAATTTAAAATTTAGTTTTTCAATTCTTCTTAGTGAAATCTGGAGGATTTGTAAACTATCTTATCACAAAGTTTTGAATAAACACTTTTTAAACATTCAGGTGTATCAAAACCCTTTACTACCGAATTTCCAAATTCACATATAGGTTTAAGGTCAATATTTGCATTTTATTGACAATTAAGTAGGTATAGTAAGACATTTTCATATGGTGGATTAAGATAATTGATTTTATGAAAATTTCCATTCTTCTCTAATAAATACTCAATTATTGGTTGGAAGACCTTTTGTTCCAAATGACTATTGATATCTGGTATAAGATTAGAAAAGTATTTTTTGGCAAATGTTTCGAAAATTTAAAAAGGTTTTTATTAAGTTTAAGTATTAAAAAAATCGTATTCTATTAAAGAAATATATAGAATTCCCTTTAAATAATATAATTGTGATATATTATTTAATGGCCAATTGCTTCCCCTCTTTTCAAACTCAGCGTATGCTTTAAATAAGAAATATACTTACTTAAAGCTAATTGTAATAAAATTCTATACACATCTTTTTTTAAATTATCTTCGCTCAGCTTGTGTGCTTAAAGGTCTGGGAATATTAAAATTTTCTCATTCCTTTCCTCATAATAATTCCTTGGATGGAGAATATTTAAAAATTTTAGCTATCTCAACTTTCTGAAATCGTCCTTCGAAATTTTCATATTTTATATGTGTAAGGATATGAAATTTTCTTAATCATAACAACTTTAGTCTAATAATCTCACTCTATTTATTTATATTCCTCTTGAGAATTCTATACTCGAGATAATTTAGTATTCGCTGTGCATTTTTAATATAAAAAATATTTTTCTAAAAGAAAATAGAGAAGCTTAAAAATTAATTATTTAATTTGTCTGAAAAAACAATTAATAAGTTAAACCACACCTAATCTTATGATAAAAAATATTTTTGGAAAATAGAAAAATATATTCAGATCTTGGAAAAATATTAAAATTAGTTTATAATTTTTAATTTCGAGCTTAAAAAATTCATCTAAAATTTTTTTTCATTAGCTATTCTTATTGAAACTTTAAACAAAATGTCATTTTAAAAATTTTACATAATTGAAGTTAACTTTTTTGTTTTCTTCAGATTTTCCTGATTTTATTTAAATAAATTCATGAAACTTGAAACTATAATCTTAAATTTATACATTTTAGAGTATATATTCACATTTTTTTTAATTAATGGTTATTGTAAAACTTACATTATTCAATTTTTATAAAAAGCTTTCTTAAAATCTAATAGAATTTTATTAAACTATATATAATTTAAATTAGAATACTTTTTTTCATTGAATTCAAATGGCATCACTAAGTTAAAATTACTAGACGAAGCATATAATAGTATAAGCTTAAGAAAAAATAACATAAAGAGTTTAATAGATGAATAACGAGGATCAAACTCAATATATATAAATTCAAATCAAAAATATGAATTTACTTGAATTGAAATTTATTAATCTTTTGTTTTTTAGGTTTTTGAACATTTTACTAATTGTTGATTATTAATTTTTTTAAAATCGGGAAAGAATTTTTCTTTACAAAGATTATTTTGAATTCATAAAGTTATTTTAGCAGTTAATTACTTAGATAATTGAGTTTTTGATAGACTTCCTCTCAAAATCAGAATGTTTTTCAAAAAACTTTTAGGTTTTTCAACTGAATTTTCGATATTTTTTGGAAAAAGGATAGAATAAAGAAAAATATTTTCGAAGACTTTAGTTTAACATAATTAGTTAGACGAATCGATTGCAAAAAGAATACCATTACAATAAGCTTTAAGTAAATTTAGAAATATCCATAGCACATGCGAGCGAGAGAAGAAATTATTATTGGCCTTTAATTCAATATAATAATTGTATTACTATAAAGGAATGATGTTCCTTTCTTGAATTGAGTATGATTTTATAAACTGCAATAAAAAGGAAACTAATTTAGGAACTCTGAAAGATTTCTGACTAATGCTTCGTTAATTTGATATCAGATTTAGATAAAGTCATTTAATAAAATTCCTTTGAATCAACTATTTAATTTCTCTTAAAAATAAATGGAAATCTTGATTAGAGGGATTATTTAAAGGGTCCTTATCAAAACTTATTGCAAAATCTATTTTATATTCAAAATTTTCATACTAGCTATAACATCAATCATTCTTTAGTTAAATATTTTGAAAGACCGGATAATTTTTTTTAGGTATTAAATGATTAATATATAGTTTTCAAAACTTAACGAAAATAAAATTAATAAGAAATAGTGTAATTAGAAATAAATAGGGAAATTGATTTTTAAAAAAAGTTTCATAAATGCATTTATCTGGCCAATGGACTTGCTTATTTAAGGGTATTTAAATAAACATTTTTCTTCATGAGAAAATACTATTGTAATCTTTCGAAAAAAATTTGAGTGTTTGGAAAAAAATAAAAATTCACAAAAAAATTCATATTTTGATCAATCTACAATCCTCAAAAATCTAAATGATGATTAAATGAAATTGGAACATTAAAGCAATATTTGCAAGTATGATACTCATGAAACTATTCCAACTTTTAAACATGATATTTTTTGATATGTACTTATAATTTTTTAATAAGCAACTAAAGGAAGTATTTTTGGAATGGAAATGCTGGTTGTAGATTTCTAAATGAGCAAGAGTATAATTATTACAGCTAAGACTTTAATATTCAAAACAATTTTCTTAATGATTGTTTGTAGTCCAAAATACTTTCCTTGATGTATTTTAATAGATTCTTTTTTAATTAAATTTAGAATTTTACAATTATAAATTTTTATTAATAAATTTTTTTTAAATCAATTTTTAACCTATGCTATCATAAGTAATCGTTAACGAATTAGATATAACAAACATTATATCCTTAATAGTTTATAGAAGTTATTGCTAGATGCTTAAAAATGAACCCTACTGATATAAAAAGTGTATTAAATAATTAAAAAATGGTAGATTGTATTTTTTGTTGTTGAGTATTTACTTTCTAACAATTTAATATGAAAAATAGGATATTAAAATGTAATTAATAATTTTTTTAATTTCAATTTCAACTATTACTAACCAATATTTACATTTCTTGGGTTGGTGTTAATTTCAAGTTTCTTTGCAAAAAACAAATAAACTTCATAATTAAACATATAAAGATAAAATAATTATATATAATCGTTGTTCTATTAATCTGCACTTTCTTGTATTTTAAGAAAATATCTTTTGAACAAATTATAATCTATTTCAAATATTAAGCATATATCTTAATATTTTTACAAGTAAGCATGCGTTTCCATATTATATGAGAGAGTGTAGATTTTTTAGTATTGAACTTAAACAAAAATTTGATCAAATCAGTCATCATATCCACTTTGATTAGATTTACTATTAAAATAAGATTGTTAAATTCTATTTTTTACTTTTTAATAAATTATAGGTATATAATATTCAATATAATTTTACTAAAAAGATTATTAAATTGATATAAAGCTTAGTGATGATTTATCACAATAATAAACTAAAGTTTATAAGTCAGACAGATAAAAATACTTATCAATGAAAAGTTTCTGTCATACTAACAGGTTGATTATTGATAATATCAATAATATGTTTCATTCGATCTTAAATTTTCTCTAAGGAATCATTCATTGCTTTCATCTTAATTTCAATAGCTTCTTAGATTTCATTACCTTTTTATTAATCATCCATTTCTTCCTCAGCAAACCGTGCTCTAAAATTGAATAAGATATTACCTTTTAATAGGCATCCAACTAATATCCTTAAGATCTATTTTAGATTTTATATACGATTCATTTCCATTATAATCATTTTCATCTTTGTGTTTTAAATAAGCATAATAATAAATATAATTCCACATGTAATGTTCTAATACAATATGTTCCTAAAAACCCATGCCTCCCCCTTCATCATTTTTTTCAAATTTTTCTCTTGTGATACCACATATAAAACATTTCATAGTTTAATCTTTGATTCTTTCTTGGAGTTTTTCTCTCAAAGAACCAAATGTATCAATAATAATACCTTATATCATATTGAGCATAATCATCACCAACACAATATTAACAGCGTTATCAAAAACAAAGCGACTAAAATAATTAGAATTAAATTTATGATCAACTCCATCATATTCATTTTATGAATAGATTACTCTATCCCAACCATTTTCAACCATATCATAACTTTATGATATTTCTGTAATTGTATCATAATCCATTATTGCAACACCTAAAGCACCTGTGAATTTGAATGTTAAATCAAAACTCATAAATACACATTACCACAAAGTACTACATCCCCTTTCACATATTATTTGATCATTATCTGATAATATTTTACAACTTGTTCCATCTACTATAGGATAATCATTAAAAAATATAACAAATCCAAGAATCCCTACATAGTATTCAATTACAGCCAATAATAAAAGTGCTAAACCTATTTCCTATCTTGGACCCCAAATTGCATCCAAAACAGTTTTTAATTGCTCTAATTTCAGAAAATCCATTAAATGAAATGCAAAAAAAAATGGATGTACTGTTAATCCTACAATTCCAGCAATAATATAGATACAATAATATAATATATCTGAATCTTATAATAAAATTATTAAACTTTTTATTCCTCTTATACTAACATCCCCAATCATTTTCATTATTGTTTTTGGCTTTTGATAATCTTCCCAAATATGATCTACTTTTAAAGGTGCTCTTTTTACTAAAAAGAAAAAAACTATTAAAGAACTAAACACTAACATGGTGATTCCCAATCCTTAAATTAAGATTGGTGTCCACTTAAAATCAGGATATTCCAATAATCTAGGATCTTATAATCTTTCGTATATCAAATCACCAGTCAAATCAGAACTACCTTCATTATAAAATGATTATGAGTAGCTTAATAATACAATTAGATTAATAACTAATGTTGTTACAAATGCACAATTCTCCCAGAGTTTACCAGATGTTGCAAAAAAAGCAAATATAGGATTTTTAGCAAATACTGAATTCAATTTTTCTTCATATTCCATTACCTTTATTAGAAAGTTTGCTCTTTCCATCAAATATGTTAATTTTGTCTTACTACTAGTCCTATCAACTTAATCATGAAATTCCATTCTTGCACTTTTTGGTAATTTACATATTGGTAATTTTGGAAAATAGATTGTATAAAGCTTTTAATCTCTAATCATATCAATTGAACATGTATTTTATCTAAAAAATTTTATTGCATTTTTTGTTAACTCTTTTTGTTCTAATTTCTCTTAAAGTAACTTTTCTTATCTCATTTCTTCTTCTGATTTCTATGTCAAACTTATTTATCCTATTAAGTTTCCTCCCATTTTAGCAATATTTTCTAAACCTGAAAATATATTTGCTATTGCATTATCTTCTTCTTTATCATTATTTTCTGTAAATTCATTTAATACATCATTCATTTCAGGATCTTCATATAACAATTATTTGGCTTTTTAATTTCCAAGAAATTATTAAATTAATAAAAATATACAAAATCCATTTTCTATTATAAATTCTTATTCTACTGCAGGTATATCATTTGTAATTTCCTTTTCAGCTCTTTTAAAAATCTCATCTTTATTTATTGCTCCAAATTAATTTTTAAATAATTTATAAACCCTTGTTAAATTGTTTGTTAATACACTTAACGGAATAACTCTTACTAATCTAGCAATATCAGAATTTTAAGGTTCACAACATTCCAATAAAGATACTAAACAATTTAAACATTTAAATTTTAGTCTAGCCAATTATCCTGGATGAATTGCTAATCTATATTATTTTTCACCATCGTATTTGAAAAATTCATTTGATTATTCAAAAATTTTTTCATCTTCTGATAAAATTAAGACAACATACTCTAAAAGACTGCTTTTTAGTAATGTTTATTAATTTTATTTGCATGGTCCTTGAATTAGTTCTGTAAGAGTTTCAAAACATTATAAAACACTTTCGAAATTTGCTTAGGAAATTTAAAAAGTAGATAGTAGTAAAACAATTTAAGAAACTAAATCAAAACTATTTTTCTAGTTACTTTAAGATCTCATATAATTTTAAAGATCTTAATTATGACCTTCACAAAATAACTATATTAACTTTAAAGCTTTACAAACAAATTTATTTTCTTAATAATTAAGTTTATGAGCTCTACTCATTGATAATATTTAGATATCAAAAATATTTTTAATTTATTTAAAGAACTTTTCGCATTAAGTGTTTGATAAAAAATACTCATAAGCCGTTTTTTAAACATGTTAATTTCCATTTCTGAGAAGTAAAATCATAAATGACATTATAGTCCCCATATAAACTGGTTCTAATTCAGATTCACATAACAATACAATCAATATTTAAGTCGCATTCATTCTATTAAATAATAATTATCTTTCGTATAGTTCGTTTTCTGTATCCTTTAGTATTGCTGATAATACTTTGAGAATAAAGATAATATTTTCTCTACTTGCACCATTTGTTTTCCAAAATTCTAAATAAGTTAAAATTTTAACAATAATATCAGAATTTGTTAATAAAAGATCTTTAACTTCTTATCTTCTGTCATCTTTAAACATATTTTTGATTGTCCATATTGAATTTGATAATTTTAATGATTCTTTTTTAACTAAATCTTTAACAAATTCTTATCCAAAACATTTCTTTCGAAATTAGCTGATTGATGAATTTTCTTGAGATATTATATATTAAGTTTATAAATCCACTGTTCTTTCATCTTAGAAAACATTAGGGTCTGGCTAAAAGAATTTTATAGGTATCTGTATATTGAAACATTAACCCAAATCGGATATAGTTTTTAACCTTTATTTATTATTAGTTAATTCTGCTGGAGCCAAAAAAAACATTTTATCAAGATTTTCTAAAAAGAATGATACAAATTCACTAATTTAACGTTAGTCTTTTTCGGATGATAATAACGCATTTTATAATTATTCATTGTATCTATTTACTACAGGTAATAATGAATCAAACAAATAATTTAAATTTTAAGGTATAAATTAATCCTTTTGCTTGATTGCCTTATGTTCATCAGTAAGTATTTTATTAAGGATTTCTGAATTTGAAGGAAACATAAGTTCATCAAGTGTTTCTGGTTTATGAAATACCATTGTTTTAATGATGTTCCAAAAATCATTCTAGAGTTAAGTATCTTCAGAATGAGGCCTCTCTTTTTGTTTTATACACCCTAATATTCTTTAAGTTACCATTTATGTTTATTTTAAAAGATCTTATAATTTTAAAAATTCAATAGCCTAACTTATAAGTGAAGCTCTTATTTTTTTTGACAAACATTTTGATACAATATTAATGAAATACAACTAATATTTATTTTAATTGGGACTATAGTCAAAAAATGCTGTGGATTTACAAGATTCTTAAAATGGATATAATGAATTTTAATCTTCTTATTCATTTGATAATCCTGTTAATTTTTCTATTATAATTTCAAACATATCAACTGACTTTTTGGAATATATTTCTGTAACCTCTATAATTTCTAAATAAAACTGCAGAAATTCAGGATATCTACCATGTTTTTATATTAATGTTATGAAATAATCATATTCTTATTACCCAAGCTACCCATATAAAGTAGGTTTCTTCTCAAATAAAGAACAAATTAAGCTTATTTGGCCAATATTTTAATTTTTATTCTAAATTATTTTTTTAACAACCTTTTTATAAACAGTTAAAGAATTCCTTTCATTGTCTTTTGCAAAATAAGCCATAATATTCATGGTATGTTTAACTAATATAATTAAATCTGGAGGAAACGATTTTTAATCAATAACTGTTAATGCTTTATTTATCAATTCAATTAGTACTTCATAGCCACCTATATGTTCAAATATTTATTATTTTAGTTTTAGTGAAACGCTTTCGGTTTATTAAAATATACTATCTATTTTCCATAGGCATTATAAAGTTTGATGCATAATTCTGTTATTTTCTGTAATCCATGTTTAACTTCTTTGAACATTGTTTTTTAATATTGATGTCATTTAAACCCATACATTAAACAATTGCTGAGACTCATTTGTATCTAAAATCTATATGTTGTCAAAATGCTATAAGAATTCTTTTTTTTATCTTGCAAATCTCTATATCAATTCAACAATCTGATTTTCTAATTATGGATTTCTTGAAAAATACAAAGAAATTAGTAATACTTCTATAAATGGTCTTCTTAAGACTTCATCAAAACTTTTTAGGACTGGAGCTGAAGTTCTATTTAATTTTCTTTCACTTTCCGGCTTATCCACCCATTATTATCCAGACATTAATATTTCTTCTGGAAATAGTTTAATTAAGTCTTCTTCTTTAACTTCTTCATTCAATTATTTACTTTACTAAAGAAATTTATAATACTCTAAAGCATTATCTATCCAATAATCTTGTGATACATCCATCAAATAAGAAAAAATTTAACATATCTATATTTTAATTAATACTTAAAAATCTTCTTCTTTGTTTTCTCTTAAGGTAAATGTTTTATTATTATATCTTTATAAAACCTTCCTAAGATTTTTCATTTTCTTAAATAATGAATCATTTACTACTTCAGTATCTTATTGTTTAACTTATCTAAAATTCTAATTTGATTATGATTATTCATCTTTTTCCTTATTTTCCTTTTCAAATACTTGACTTATACCTGAGATATTAAATTTCATAAATCCTTTATCTTTTTCATTTTCAATTTCCCAGTTTCTTTTAATTTAAGTTTTATCTAAACATTTAAAGTATTGATGATCATACTCCAAAATCTTTGATAATGCAGTAATTAATCTATCGATTTCTTTTAACCCTACACCATTTTCTGATATTTTATTAAAAAAAGATGCTCCCCTTTTATTTGAACTTTTTTTTTATATTGGTCCTTCAACATCTCTTTTCCAAAATAATTCAAATTTAAGCATTAATTCTAAAATCTTAATAATTTCTAATGTTTCTAAATTATAAACAGTTTCTTCTCCTAAATTTTTATTTAATTTTTCTGATTAATCTTCCAAATACTTAAGCATTTTTAATTTTAATTTTTAGATATCAAATTCTCCTTTTTCTTGTTTTTAACTAGATGTTTCATCAAATAAGAACAAAGTTTTTTATGTTGTTTTTTCTTCTAAAATTCTTACTAATTCTGGTTTTGGTGTTGTAGTGTAAGGTTCTCTATCAATATATAGAGTTCGAATCATTCTAAAGAAATATGCCCGAACTTATTCGTCTACAAAATATAATTCTCCGCTAATAATACCTTAATCATTGTTTTATTCAGCATATGATAATAAAAATGAATATGTAAATGTTTTAGATATTAATTCTCTGGCTGCTGTATTTCGATGAAAACAAATATTTGAAAAAAATGCTAATTATTCAATTAAATAATTGTATTATACTACATATAAATGATCTTAGTCTTTGTATTATCGACAATCATTTAAAAAATCATGTAACATTTTAGTTACATAAGTTTTATTTGATGTTTTATAAGTAATGTAGAATTCTGTGTAACCTCCTTCTTTTTCTTGTAATGGTTCTAAATTCATATAAACCTTTTCCTCTCCTTTATCATTTTTAACCTTTTGATTCAACAATTAAATGCTGTTTAATAAATATTCTTAATTAGAAAACACTGGTTCACCATTTGCTTCACAAGTTTCTGATAAAAAATGTAATAATTCTGGTAAAAGTTAATCACTTTTTGAAATTATATCCAGTAGTCTTGATAAAATTGTACTTTGACTTTTTTAATTTTTTTATTCTGAAACATTGAAATTATTCATTGTAGATTTCATTTCAAATAATATTTCCTATTTATTTAGTTAACTTAAGATTTGATAATTTTTGGTTATACATTAGCTAATTGTTGTACATATGTAATCATGTGTAATTTGTTTTTCAAAATGCTTAAAAAACTTCATAAGAATTTCCTAGTTCTATAGATTATTGTGGCATGCTATTTTTATAGTTTAAAATAACTTTAACTATAATAAACGTTTTCTTTTTCTATGATTATCTTCTAATTATTCTTTTAATTTTTACACTTTTTTTTCATATCCCACATCATTAGTTTTATCTAAATTTTATGAGATCATAGTTTAAACACTTAAAATGAATGAATTCTCACCACATAAATCATTAATCAAATGTTATTCTGTTCCCTCTATTTTTTCATCGGGGTTAGGGAATGTTTTACAAATTAACCAAATTAATAATGGGAATATATTTTCTTCTCTAATAATATCTTATCTATTTTATGAAACAAATGAAAAATCTTGAGTTGTTTATATATTACTTACTAATTTATTATACATAAATTAATTCAAGATTTCAAGTAGTGAATTAAGTTTTTCAAATAGATGATAAAAATCAATCCTCTCTTAAACTTCACTTTTTTTCATACATGCTATACTTGTAAGAGGTTAAAGGTTTTCAAAATAAGAGATTGCCTCTTTTAAAATAGGTACTAAAAATACTAAGAATTTTTTTTCCCAGATGTCCTCATAATCAGTTTTCCTAAATTTGATGCAATTAATTAAATTAATATCTTAGGTTGTACATACAGAATCTGTGTCTTTTCTTATATTTATATAACTTCCAGTCAAAAAATGTTTAATTAGAAAATAGGATTCCTTATCAACAAATTTAGAATTTTTCTTAATAGGTACAAATTAGAATAAAGTATTCTTTGTAACTTATTCTGTAAGTTTGGCTTACCTCATTATATTGACATCTAAATATTAGCCAGTTTAAAAATGTCTAATACGATAGCATTTTTCCCATTTAACTTCTCCTCCTGTAAAATTATCTGATTCAATTCTCCAATAAGCACTAAAAGGAATAGTAACTTTATCAGATTTAAATCCAATAAAATTACTAAAATATAACTTAAGTTCTGAATATAGAGCTTTATCAATTTCTTTAATGTTTTTTGATGGTTGAATGACTTGAGAGGAACGAGATTACATTGATCTCTACTTTTCAATAATATTACTATTTTATGAATCTGATTTAAAATTCTTTGATTCATTCTTTCCTACTTCTTCACTAACTTATCTTGAAATAACAGCTTATTATCCTGGAAAAAGTGTCTATTATTTGTTATAAATGAATTTATCTGTAATAATATTACTAATATCATCAACAGTATTGCGATCTAAAATTTCTTTAACTTTTTCTTATATATCTTATGTTTTTTTAGCATTTAAGTATAACTATTGATATTTAATTTTTTACATTCAATTCTGGTAAATGAAATATGGCTACATCACCTACAAATAATGCTTCATCATTTTCTTATTGATTTTAAAATATTTTAATTCTCCATTAAGTTTAATCTTCAACTGAGGCTATAACTTTTGCTTTCTGAACTTCCTCCTCATATTTTTAAGGTTCATCTTACAATTCATAATAATTTAATCCCCAATAATCAGTAAATAAATTTGCTGTTCTATTACATACTTATTTATTTGCTGAAATACACACTACATCTCCACTGTATACTTAATTAGTTCTTAATTTTTAAAAATTTAAACAAGGATTAAATTTTAATAATGTATTATTGTTTGGAAAGTCAATCAATTTGAATTATAAGGCTTCTAAATTTTGATCATCTAATGATAAGAATTTTAATGAAGAAACATGAACTAAATGAAATATAGATGAACTGAAAACTAATGGTGTACCTGCTAATTTTTTTGTTAAGGAAATATTTGAGGTGAGTTCATTTTCTAAATTAAGCAATATGGTTTAAATTTTATGTTTTCTTTAACTTTATTCATATCCTTCTAGATCATTAAAATTTGAATGCTTAAATTGATTTAGAAGATCATCGTGAGCCTTGTAATTCAAAACAGGAAGTATTCTAAATACACAATTCTAATAATCTTGATCTAAATCACCTCTCAATTGGTGAAAGGATCTCAATTCAAAATTCTATGTACTGAATCCATTTGAATAAAGTGATAAGTTTGGAAATGCGCTCATATTTAATACAATTAAAGATGAATAAGTAATAGGTTCTGGATTCATAAATTTAATTATTAGATAACTCAAGTATAATTATGAGAAAATCATTATTTTATCTTCCTTTAACATTCTAAAAAAAAGAAATTATTTTATTTATGCGTCATTAATGGATCATATACAAATAAATTTATAGAAATAAAACTAAAACATAACAGATCATTAAATTAGATATAATTTTAGTTTAGATTTTATTAATTAAATTATATATATGATTATATTAAGGGCTAGTTTTTAATTTGCAAGGAGAGTCAAATAATTAAAAACATCTTTGATAAATGATGAAAAAAAATAGGATATTGACAAAATATCTGAAGGATTTAAAGAATCAAAGAAAGGAGATGACAAAGAGGAAATCAAATAAAATTAATAAAATTTAGATAATGTATAAAAGAAGGTGTTTGAGAAAAAGTTTATAAAATCTTCAGAATTTTTAATGGCATGTAGTCATTAACCAGCTCTTTCTTTACCAGAAGAGATTTTAAAGAAAGCTAGAAAAGTATTTTCAAAATATCCACCTGATGAATTAAGAGAGGCCTCATATAAATATATGAGAATGTATTAATTATTACACGCTTTAGAGAAACCTTTATCTATAACAATAAAAAGAAATAATTTATTTGAGAATCCAGAAAATTTATAAAAATTAACAGAAAAAAAAGTCATACATTTATATAAAAAAGGAACAAGTGAATAAGAATTATTGGATAAGATATTTGAGAGAAGATAAAAAAAAGATTTAAGTTTAGATAGATTAAATAGCGCTGAATAAAAATTAGAAGAATTTCATAATTTTGCATCAGCAATAGATTATGATTAAATATTGACAGTTTCTTACTTCTTAAGAAAAGTACCAGGATCTTTTGCAGTAAGTTAAAAAATAATGCAAGAAATATAAAAGAGAAATCCAAATTTTAATCCATAATCAATGCTTGATTATGGAAGTGGAATAGGAACTTGGGCATGGAGTTTTAAAAAATTATATCCAGATGTTAAAAATATAGTTTGTGTTGAACCAAATTTGTATATGAGAAAATTAGGAAAATTTGTTTCATAAGATTATATAAAAGATATAAAATTTTATGAAAGTTTATCACATACATTGGAACTCAGTTATGATTATTTTGATTTTATAAGTATAGCATTTGTATTAGAGGAAATAAATCATCCAGAAGCAAGATTTTTAGCATTATAATCTTTATGGGCTAAATTATCAGAAAATGGAATTATGATTTTAGCATGTCCTGGATCTCCAACAGGATTTCGTTTTATTAATGATTTCAGAGAATGGATTTTAAAGTAAAAAGGTTTTATTGTTGCACCTTGTTAACATTAATAAACATGTCCTATGGCAAAAGAAGGATTTTAATGGTGCCACTTTAAATAAATGTTTACTGCTTGGCCTAAAGATGGTATTCTTATTATATAATTAAGAGTATTTCCAAAGTATATTTATGAAAATACTGCAGTGACAGAAAAATTTTCATATTTAGCTGTTTCCAAGAAAAATTGGATTTAAGAAGGATAAGAATGGCCAAGAATTACATTTGATCCTTTAAAAAGAGGAAAACATTTAATACTTGATATGTGTACAGAATAAGGAAAATTAGAAAGGTATCAAATTAATTTATTAATTTAGACGTATTATAGCTAAATCACATGGAAAAGAAGGTGGATATTATGAAGCAAAACATTTAAATGGAGGAGATTTATGGAGATTTCCTAAATTACCTCCATCAAAGGTGGGAAAAAAGAGAAGAAAGCAACCAGTTAAAATCCTATGAAGAATTCTTATGTAGATATGTATAATAATATTATTAAAACTATTTCATATTTATATGATGATTAAAAAATCACAAAATTGCTCTAAGAGATTCTATTGTTTCTAATACCCTAGCTAGCATGGCTATTATAAATACAAATGTATAGGATATTTTTGGTTAAGGTTTAGATGTCTTTTTAAAATGTATCATATGAGTCAAAACAGGGAAACAAAACATTATTAAATATAATTAATTTACTTATAATAAAGATCCAAAAATGCTTCCCATGAAATTTAAAAAATGAAATGCTGAACATAGTATGCGGTTAAGTATATACATATCATAGCTAGAGTTCTTATTACAATTTGAATTTTTGTATCTGCAAACATAGCACTTTTGTTATATATATAAAATAAAATTTCTGTAAAAAACATTAAAAAACTAACACATATACATAAACATAGCTAAATTTTCATATTTATATCAATCAGTCTCTGAATTAACTTTTGACATTTCAACTTATTAGAATGATTTATCTTCCTTTAACTTGAGAATAGGCTAAGAAAACAATCTTTTATTTAAATAAATCATTTATTTTGGCACATGACTAAATAATATGTTAAAGATATTTTTTGAGATTGAACCCCTAATAAATGTATTAATTCTGCTTACTTATAGTATGGATTACCACTATCCAAAGTCCAAGTATGTTTTAAGTGTTCATTTGTAGTTTAGTTTTTACAAATAAGAAAAGTGTGATAACAAAATAAAATAAAAAGAAGAATTGTTATCAAGCCTATAATAACACTCATAGCCAGACAGTATAAACAAATAGATGATTAATTAATCGAGAGCTTAACTATTTCTAAAATAAATAAAGTATTAAGGGTGAGTAATAAAAAATAAAAAGATCTTACATTTCTTCTTCCTATACATGTGCCAATCCAATTACAATGATGATCAAATCTTAAAACACAATTATTACAGAATCCACAATGAGATAGTCTAGAGGATCTGTATATTTTACAAGTTGGACAATATTTTAATCTTATTGTATGAGTTTCTAAAATGACAATAACATGTTAAATTTCTTTTTTCTTAGTTGATTATGGTATTTATAACTTTTCTATATCATCTTCATATTTATAAAACTATCTACATACATATTAGAATGTTACAATTTTAGGCATTATTCCAGGATCTGTGCAATAAGTTGTAATCAATAAATATATAGATAAGACAGATAGAATTAATTCATAATATTGTATCTTCATCTAAGAATAAATCTTTATCTTACATATATTAGCTAATATAGAATGGCTTAAATAAACAGTAAAGATAGAACTATGATAAATTTAGTACTTTGATTAGTATAAAATATTTTATCATTACAACAAGTTTTATTTCTTCCTGTCCATTTCAATCTAAATGGAGTTGAATTCTCATCAATCGATATTTCTAATTACTAAATCCAAATTTTAATACTTCTTAATGATAATTCATATTTTTCTTTATTTTAAAATAAAAGTATAAATTATAGAATAATATAATAAAATATCAAACTTCAGAATCGTTTACTATTTTGAAATGGTGTTATTATGTAAGTAAATTATTAATAGGAAGATATTGATGATTCAGGCTCAATCATATCTTATTCAATATTGTCATAATCTTTTTCTCTTGCTTTTAGCTTCTTTACGAATCTCATTTTCTATAAACATTCATAATTAATCATGTTTGGAATGTTTGACTTTATTATTATCTTATCATATCGTCCAAAACTAGTATTAATCCAATAATAAATCTAATCATTCAATTAAAATATAGATTCAGCATAGTTGACAATATCATAGATAAGATTATTGCTCAATCTTTATCTCAATTCATTTATTGTTGTTAAATCTTTCACAAGTAAATCTTAATGTAGCAAAGGATTCTAACAAACAAGTTACATTTTTTCTATATGAAACTAAATTTTAGAAGTTTCATTTCTTGATTGATCTTTCACTAAATTAATCAATTCTTTTATCATTTTAGCTATTTTAAGATATTTTCATACATTTCTAATCTGTTGGAATTCCTTTAAATTGAAATTCGCTTAAAGTTAAATTTAGGCTGTTTCTTAAATAAGTTTGCATTTCCACTTTTTAATATTTCATCTTAAATTAAATCACCTGGATATAGTCTTTATATTTTAATCTTTCTGATAATGGAAGCATATCACTTAATAATGCATATTTAAGTTTTTAAAGGGCAACTTCATAATTATGATTTCTTAAAAGTTTCTATATTTCAGGCAAATGATCTGCAAAATCAGTTGTATCTAAAGTAGACATATTTTATTTTTCTAATTGCATTCTTGTAATTTCTTTATTAGCTAATCTTTAAAATATTGGAGCAGATTCACTAGCTATATCTTTAATAGAACTTTCACTAGCTATTCTTAAAGAGTTTTCATCTATATCAAAATTATCATCATCATTTTCAATCAATTTCTAAGCTATATTTAGATGCTTCTTATTCATATTTTTTTCAATCTAATTTTTCATTTGATAAACATTTTTCTCTGTTTATGAGACTGAAACAGAATCATGTAACACATTTCGAATAACCCATCTTTTTTCTAATTTTCTCATATTTTTGAGCATGGTTAAACTTTGAATTGCTAAATGTCTTGGCAATCTATTACACTTACTAACTTAAAATAAATCTATATTGATCTACTATATTTAGAATGAATACCTAACTAAGTAATTCTAATATTTCAATATTTCCAACACTAGCAGCAACATGAGCCAATGACCATTCACTTATACCTGATTTTTTTTAGAAATCGAATAATTATTGATGTGATTTCTATTAATATATTTATTTATTATATTCTGCTGCAAATTAAATAGCAGTGATTTATCCTTTTCTAACAGCTAAATCTAAAGGAGTCCATCCTTCATTATTTTCATTGTTTGGATCAGCACCAAATAATAATAGTAGATTAGCCATTTCTTTAGCATCTGGGCTCTTTGAATAATTCATAAATAATTAATGTAGTGGCGTATTGCCATCTATATTTCTAAAGTTAATTAAATTTAGATCTGTATGTTATGTGATTTAATTATCTTCTTCATTTAGATTTAAAATTATTTTGAAAAACAATAAATCTACTCTTTAACAAATAACATGGATTGATTGAGGAGCAAATTTTCCACCCAAGCTCCTTAATATTTTGACTGATCTTTATAACAATATAATTTTACCTTGTTTTACCTTCATTATAACAAGCACTCAATGGAGTATTTTAATCAAAATCTAAACTGTTTATTTGTTCAGGTATTATTTAAATTAAACTATATAGAATTCCAATCTCATTTGATGAACCTGCTTAAAAAAATAAATTTCTATATCTATAAATTAGTAATTAAAATACTTATAATCTGTTTGATAGAAATTTGGTTCAGATATACTCAAAAGCTTAATAAAAGATTCAAAAGTGAGACTAGAAGATTGCAAAATAGATATCAATTTATCCTTTATGTGCTAATACTTTTCAAAATTAATCTTTATAGGTAAAGCAGGTTTGCAATATTTAAACCAATCAAATTCAAAATATTGCATTCCATACAGTACTTTATGAAATCCTTTAGGTATAAGGGTGAAACAGTTCATTTAAATACATAAATGTTCTAGATTAGGAAAAAAGAGTTATTCAATATAGTTATTCGATAAATTTAAGTATTTGAGTTCAGGTGGGTTTATATTGAAGACTTTGATTAAATTATCTTACATGTCTAAATATTCTAAAAATTTTAATGTTTGCAAAAATATTGGCAAGACATTAATTTGATTGCTGCTCAAAATCAATTTTTGTAAATTATTCATACGCCTACAATTAGGATTAAATAAAAATTACATTATTTGAGGAGGAACAGTTGTTAATTAGTTTTAAGATAAGTTTAATAACTTTAAGTTAACGAAATTTTATTGTAATTTAGGAATTTGTCTCAGTTGTTATGAAGGTAATTCTAATTTTTCTTCAGTATATAATAAATCCTAAATCTATAATATTTTTAGATTGTACTGTCTCATAAGGTTATTTTTATTTGTGTTAGTTATTTTTACTATTAACATTTAAGTTGGCTTCTCCATTTTAATCTTTTGCTTCTTAAAAACTAAAAAATGGCTTTTCTTTTAATTGATGTATACTAAGATTCCCATCATGTTCATCTTGAATGGCATATGAGTCAAATGAAGAATAACTTTGAATTAATGATTTCTGTTCTGATTATCTATTATCCATTATAATATTTAATAATAATATTTATGTATTTTCAATCATAATCGTACTTATATTAAGAATTCTAATCACATACATAACTTTTGACATAAAATTATTGAATAGAGTCCTAATCTTGATAATCGTCATCTTTTTGAGGTTATTAAACTTGTTCAAGTTTTAAAGTAATTTTGTTTACTTTTTTCTCTTGTTTACTTTATTTTATTGGGCGACTAGATATGAAATTTAATGGATCTTTTGCTCCAGCTAAATATTATTCTATAAATTTAATATATTTTTCTGGATCTTCAATTCTATTAGAATTAATCAAATCTAAAAATGAAAAATTTTAGATGTAAAATTGAAACCAGGTATTTGAAAACTAGTTATGAAAAATATCTCTAAAATCTTAAATAGTATAATTAGCTTATTTTCCAGTCTCTTTCTTATTTAAAAAATTTATCAATTCTTTTGGAGGAGGGTTCTTCAAGAAATAATCTTTATATTATTCTAATTAAGCATCCATAAACTTTTTAAAATTGTTCCCAAATGTTTTTGGAATATTTTTAGTATCTGAATCTAATTCCATCAAAGTAATATATCTATCAACTTGAACTTAAGTATTTAATTTTGGGTTTTCTGTATTTGGAAATCGTTCTATTGATATAAATGAATTATTATAATCATCATCTTCTTCGATGTAATCATAATTTTAAAAGCCATGATCAGATTCAGAATCGCCACCTTATTATAACATTTTAAATATTAAAAATATTAGAAATGAATTATATTTTGTAATTTTAAGTACATATATTTTTAGGCATTCGATCAGAATATTGTATCCATTAGTACAATCGTTTAAAGTGTTAAAAAATAAAGACAAAGAAGGATAAAAAACACTTTTAAAATATTGGTGTATAAATTGGATGATATCACTTTTTGATTTTGTTCTTCAAATAGTTTTGAATGAGTAATCTAATAATTTAAATTTAGTATGTTAGTTGACATAGTGTTAATAGCTTTAGCAATAGGGTTGATATATAATAACTTTATTTTTTCAACTGCAATTTTCAATCATTTGATACAACCATTTATCTATCAGCATGAAAAGAAGATTGATAAATTCTTTTCTTTTGTAAGAATGAATATTAATTATAATATTTAGATAGATGACAAAATAAAAGGATTATGGGATAGGTCATCTAATAAAATTGAGGAAGCGGCAAAAGAGAAATTTGCAGAAGTAGTTTCTGATCAATTTAAAAAAAAATGAATTATGTTATATATAGAAATATCAAAAATATCATTATCTAAGAATATTTAACATCATTTAATATGTTTTAGCACTGATTGGTTTTGATTAATAATTTGGAGGTGCATTTTTTGGAAGTATAGTCTTACAAAATTTTCGAAATTTCATTTCTGGAGTAGCTTTGGGTTATTGATAAAATAAATCGATGAGATTAAAGTCACTTTATTAAATCAATTACTATTTTTAGATTTCTAAGTCTGGTTAAGATAGATCTGCTTTAACGGGAGTTTTATAAATGAATTATTTTGATCTAACATTAGTGAATGAATTCTATGGTTTTGGTGAATTATCTATTCTTCTATATTTCTTAGGTGTACTATAGAATGCTCTTTCTCTATCCTTTAAAATTTAAGAAGGATGAAAAGGTTTGATGACATAATTAAATTCCACAATAGAAATTTTATTATCTTCATCTCGATCAGAAGCATGAAAGAAAGCACTAATATCTTATTTATCGTATTGGATGAAATTGGTTTTAAAATAATTTTCTAAACTATGAGGTGTATAAATTGATAAATACTGTTGGGCAGTGAAATAGCCAAGTTAATAATGGTCTATCATTTAGAAAGTTTATTAGGCAGATTCTTTACATAATTCTTTAATAACTTTAAGATGTTTAAAATTAGATAATTCTTAATGGAGTATTTTGTATAAACCCCATTCAACTTCATTAGGTAAAGTTTTATTGGCTAAAACAAAGTAAGAATCTCTAGCAGCAGCTGTTTCTTTCAGTATAAGATCAGTTTTAGGTAGTATTTGTTTAGCAAAACTAGATGAAAATATTTATTTATACTCTGTATAAGTAACTCTTCCATCTCTATTGAAATCCAAATACTAAAGTAAATAGGATGCTTCTAAACTTGTGAGACTACAATTATTATCAAGCATAAAATCAATTATATCTTAGTATGAGATTTCACCACATCTACTTTTGTCCATTCTTTTGAATGCTCTAACTTGATAAAATAAGTTACCAGCATAAGGTTCAAATTAAGATAATTGTGAAAGCAATTTTCTAACAGTTTCAGTTCTTCTTTCACATTCACAAATTTCTATAATAAGTTCTGTTAACATTTATTAATAAAATAATAATAAATTCAATATTAATATTATGAAATCAACAATCATCTGGTCTGAAATAGAGAGGAGGTTAACTTGGACATCTCTCATTCATATGTTCATAAGGATCAATAGTATTATATCCATCAAGTTCCATTCTATGTGTACCCATAATTTAACAATATGGCAAATCAGGATCATTTTTTTTACATTTTTCAGGAACAACGTAATTCTTATCGAAGAAATTCAATTAATAAACATCTTTAGGAGTAAATCTATAAAATACTAAAATTAAATTACTCTGTCGCTTCTACATGATATTATCCAAATAAACCAGCTGCTTTATATAATCCAATAACAAAAGAAGAACAAACTTAACTTGGTCCATCACTATAAATCCATTCATCTTTCTCTACCATTGCATATAATTCAGCCTTATTTTATATATAATTAATATACAATTTCTATTCCTCTTTTTGCTGCTTCTATTGTAATTTCAGGAATTGTTAAACCTTCAGTTCCTAATCTTTTATTTAATCCTTCTCCAATCATTTTAGATGATATACTTGGAGCAAATTTCTCTATAAATGAAAATATATATGTAGCTAATTCAGCACTTAATAATGTTGGATAATTATCTCTTGGTGTATCTATCCATCCAAATATAAAATTATGATAACCATATGGTTATCCTTCCATAAAATTCCAAAACTTTAATGCTCCTTCTTAATCCCATTATGCTCTCTTTTCTGGACTTAATGGTAATATTGCTACATTAAATCCTGCATTTTTAGCATATACTTTCCAATCTTCCCATTTATTCTTTTAAATATTCTTTTTAGGCCAATACCATGCATCTTATGATTCTACTACCCATTTTTCACCATCTATCTCAAATATTACTGCGCTATGTCCTGATCTACCACCTGTTCCCCATTCTATTATTTAATCTAATCCATCAAATCTTGTAATTGCCAAAAAATCTCCTTAATGGACTTCTTCTTCTGACCAATCAACATCAACATTTGGTCTCTCTTTCCATCTATATCCTGTTGCTTTCTCAATAAATTCAATATTTGATCTTATCATCCAATTTGGAGGATAACTACCAAATACCGATCCTAAATAAGGATTTGCTGAAAATCCACCAAAAAATAATTCAATTGTTGTTAATAAATCTCCTATCCAATAATCAAAATGATCACATGTTCTAAAGATATACGCTCCAGCCAATCTAAATGCTTACTTTTGTTATTCATTCTTAAAATGGAAATAAACTCTATGATCTTATTCTATATAAATTTATATAATATATTATATACCTTTCTTAACTTTTACTATATTATAATTCAAAGTTGTTCCAATCATATAGAATTCTGAGCATTCTTTTCCATTTTTATATTTCCCTGGATAGAATGTCACTTAAACACTATTTTCAGCATCATTAAACTCATAACTCACTTTCATCTATGTGTAACAATCATCATCAAATTATTTAAGTTTTATATTCCTTATATCATTGTTAATTCTTCCTACATTTTGGAATGACATACCAAAAAATTCATGACTATCGCTCTTTTTACAAGTTAAAAGTTGTGTTTGATCTTAATTAAATTAATACTTACTTAAACTCAACAAATTGTTCATTAATTGTTCATATTTTTATTTTGGGTCTTCATTCTCATAATAATGAATATTATATATAGTTTCATCCTCTCGTTCTTCAACAACTTAAGTGCCCTACAATCTATCAATTACTGTTCTTTATTAACAGAGACTTACACCAAGAATCAAACCTATAATAAAGATTTTATTCATATTATTATTACGTCATTAATATACTGTTAATATCTAGAGATTTAATTATTCCCTATATAACTTAACAATTATTATTATAAAATAAATTATGGCTTAATAAGAAATTCAAAGAAAAGCAAAAGCCTATCTTGATAAACACTAAATCGAAGAAATATTGGGAGATTTGGTAACCACATTATCCTATCATTAAATGAAAAATCCCATAATTTATATTGTACATCATTAAATTAATTGCATATTAGATAAAATATTTATGTACAGTTCATTGTACGCCTAAAGAATTGTAAGAAGCAGGAATATAAATTGATAGTAGAGAAAAAGTAGAATAGCCAATCCTTTGTTTGCCATTTCCAAATCTATCTTAACATTAAGGTTAAATCAAAAAATTAACAAAAGAGTAATTTTATTCTTGCAAAAATAAAATTACTGATTAAGGAAATAACTTTAGATCTATTTGTAAATTAATTTAAGATAATCCAAAATCAAAACCAGGACTTTTTGCTGTTGATCCAAGTTCATATCTCATTTATAGTGATCTTTTTGATCCTATTGTTAAAGAAAAAGGCTATCTAGGTACACCTATTAAAGATATGTCTTATACTCTTACATCTTCAATTCTAGAAGATGTTAAACCATTTTTAGAAGAATCTATATTTGTTCTTAGAAGAAATATACCAAAATAGAGATTTGGTTCAACTATATAAAATAGATAAGCTTTAACTAAAGAATTACTTTAAGTTCTATCAAAATAATCTATTATTAATTATTCCTTACATAATGATTTATCGATCATGGCTTAAGAAGATGTTAGGAAATTATAAATTAATGATAAATTGTTTAAGAAAAAAGATCCAAATCAAGCTATTATAAATCAAATTTTTAAAGGTCTACGTCATCCTGATTGGCCATCTGATAGAATGGTACTCTAATCTAATGATAAATAAAATATTGTATGGATTAATAGAGAAGATCATCTCAAATTCAAATTCCTTAACACCGAAAAATCATCCATCACTGAAGCTTTAGACACTTGTTGTAAAATGAACTAATACTTAGACTCTAAAGATTTAGTTAGTTTCGATGATAAATTTGGATATCATACTGTCAAACCCTAATTTAGTGGTTTAGGACTTACTTTTACATTAAAATTTAAATTAGATTCATAATCAATTAATAAAATTAAATCAAATAATAATAATTTGAGTTCAAAAATACAAAACAAAGTATTTAATGTTCAAACTAAAGAAAAAGATAAATACTTTACAATAAAGTCGGAAAGATGCACAGGATTAACTATGAAATAATATGTTGAATAACTTTGTTAAATTCTCTCTATATTATTCGAAGGTGTAATTAAGAAGTCTGAAAATATTTCAATTGAAAAGTTATTCAAAAATGAAACATAAAATTAACAATAATAATAACTACAAATTTAACCAAATGTTAAAATTGTTGAAGAAAACCATTCTAATTCTCCTTCAAAACCAGCTTCATCACCATCTCATGTAGCTATTGATATTATTTAAAATTAATCAGATGAATAGGATTATTCAACATTTCATAAAAAAAGATTAGAAGGTTTTTAGAAAAAATAAAAAGAAATGAATAAAACAAAATTCAATAAAATTTGTGAATTAAAAGAATTAGTAGAATTGTTAAAGGATGATACTTTTTATTTTTAAAATTCTAATCATAAATTTATAATTGTTAGAAGAAATTTAAAAATTAGAAGAAGAAATATTGAAGAGATTATTGGATTAAAGAATCAATAAGCATCAGATTAAATTCTAAAAGAATGTAATTTGATTGGCAATTGTGAAAAGGGAATATTTTAGTATAAATATAAAGGTTATGATTATTATGTTGCGATAGAATTAGATGATGATTTGACGTTTATATTTCCAATAACAAAAATCTCAATATCTCAACAATTACATAAAATTTAAAGAATAGTTGATACTTTTATTCCTAAAGATTATCAATATGCTTGGGATAATTAATATGGATATTTAACTAATAATAACATTTATTTAGGTAGTGGAATCAGCATAACTTGTGATTTCCCTTAATTTATTCAAAATGACATTCCTAGCATTTTAAAAGAATTGATATTAGACGATTCAATATAAAACTCGAATAATTAATTTTTAACTCTTGTTTCTTTAAATGAATATAATCTTTAAATTTATAGAAATGCTGTCAATGAAATATTGCTCAAATAAAAATTGTTTAATAAAACAATAAAAAAAGCAGCAGATAACTAAATATGTGAGAGCGATTGTTATCTAAATAATTTATTGTGGGCTCCTTCCAAAAAGTGCTTTGAAGATTTCGAAGGATTATATACTTAATATATTTCGAATGTAGGTAAAAATAAATTTATAACTAAGCAATAGCATATTTTAATGGAAAAAATGTTGCCCCATTTAAAAATTATGATAAAATTAAATTTGATGAGTATAAAATTCATATACCTTAAAATCCTGCAATTACTAATATTAAATGCACATTCTATAGAAACTTTGAATCATTAAAATACAAACATGAGATGTCTATACAAGATAAAGTTAAAATGAAAGTAAAAATAATAAAAAAAATTCAAGACTAAATACAATGAGTTAATAAAGAATAATGGTTGGAAATTTGGAAAAATCCATCATTTGGAAATTATTTTCGACAGCTCCCCTCAAGATTTTATTTAAAATTTTTGCCATCATTGGAATTAAATTATTGAATAAGGCAAAGAATTTTAAAAAAACGGTAATATGGGATTTTAAGGACCAATTTTAAATGATAGTTTATTAGAAGGATTTTAATTAGAAATAAAAACAAATAAACCAATAAATCCAGAATTAATAAAGATTTATAATTATAAACCTTCTAATCAAAGAAATGGTTTCTTAAACTAAGAAGAGACAATAACCACAATTATTAGTAATAGACCATGTGTTTTAGAATTTGAATTAAATTTGATTTAAGAATTATTGTGAATATTATTTCAAATATTAAAACAAAAAAAATAAAATATACTTTATTCTAAGAATACTTAAATTGCCTCATTTTTAATTGTTAGTATATTTAGTTAAATAGGGCAATTAAAAAGTAAATTCTAAATTAAGTAAGTGAAATTTTAAAGAATATTAAAAACAAGTACTAAGTTTAATAAAGAAAAGGATGGATCAGAGTAATTAGCAATATGTAAAAAATATGTATATTTCAAACTAGGATTATTGATATTTATATTAAGAAATTAATATTATATTTAGAAAAAACGGATGATTGATCGTGTGATTATAAGTTTGGCAATATTGTTGATGGTTGGAAATAACTATGCCTTTGACATACCTTAAGCACTTGAGATCCCGATCGAAAAAGAGTTTAAATTAACATAAACATAATTCAATTTGTTATACAGCATATTTGCAGTTCCAAATATAGGATTGTCTATAGGAGGAGGTATCATGATAGATAGAATGGGGGGAAGATGGGGAGTAAAGAATATAGAATAAATAGGTATTTACATTTTCATTAATGCTTGGATTGTCATAATTATTTATAGCATTTGGTGGATGTTATTAAAAATACTACATGATGTTAGTAGGGAGAGCAATATTTGGAATTGCAAGTGATTTATTGCATATAGCAGTGTTTAAAGTGATAGCAAGAAGGATGCCACATTGTTTAGGGACAGCAATGGGATTAATTTTAACAGTTCCAGAATTAGCTGCAGCTTTAAATTCAATTTTATCGCCGTATTTATTTGAAAAAACTCATTCATTAGAGTTGCCTCTACTATTTGGATTATCATTATGCATTTTGGTAGAGTTTAGGATTATATAATTAGTCATTTTTATCAGGATTATTAATGATATATTTAGATACAAAATATGATTAAAGTGTTGGAAAAGAACCAGATGAAGAAGTTTCATTATCTTAATGTAATTTTAAATAATCTAAATTAGTTAAGCTTAGCAAACCATTTGTAAAAATGAGTTTAATTACAACATTAATGTTGGCTGCGTATGTTCCATTTTTAGATAATGCAAATAAATTTTATCATGAGAGATTTGGGTTTAGTATTATGCATGCTGGTAGAATTGTTACTGTAGGATATATTGTAGCAGGTAATCAATATTAATATTGAATAATTTAGCTATATCCTCTCCAATAATTGGTAAAATTAGTGATTCTTTTTCTCATAAACGCCAGACCCTAATCATCATTTCAACTTTCATGTTCTTTTTANAAATAGGGCAATTAAAAAGTAAATTCTAAATTAAGTAAGTGAAATTTTAAAGAATATTAAAAACAAGTACTAAGTTTAATAAAGAAAAGGATGGATCAGAGTAATTAGCAATATGTAAAAAATATGTATATTTCAAACTAGGATTATTGATATTTATATTAAGAAATTAATATTATATTTAGAAAAAACGGATGATTGATCGTGTGATTATAAGTTTGGCAATATTGTTGATGGTTGGAAATAACTATGCCTTTGACATACCTTAAGCACTTGAGATCCCGATCGAAAAAGAGTTTAAATTAACATAAACATAATTCAATTTGTTATACAGCATATTTGCAGTTCCAAATATAGGATTGTCTATAGGAGGAGGTATCATGATAGATAGAATGGGGGGAAGATGGGGAGTAAAGAATATAGAATAAATAGGTATTTACATTTTCATTAATGCTTGGATTGTCATAATTATTTATAGCATTTGGTGGATGTTATTAAAAATACTACATGATGTTAGTAGGGAGAGCAATATTTGGAATTGCAAGTGATTTATTGCATATAGCAGTGTTTAAAGTGATAGCAAGAAGGATGCCACATTGTTTAGGGACAGCAATGGGATTAATTTTAACAGTTCCAGAATTAGCTGCAGCTTTAAATTCAATTTTATCGCCGTATTTATTTGAAAAAACTCATTCATTAGAGTTGCCTCTACTATTTGGATTATCATTATGCATTTTGGTAGAGTTTAGGATTATATAATTAGTCATTTTTATCAGGATTATTAATGATATATTTAGATACAAAATATGATTAAAGTGTTGGAAAAGAACCAGATGAAGAAGTTTCATTATCTTAATGTAATTTTAAATAATCTAAATTAGTTAAGCTTAGCAAACCATTTGTAAAAATGAGTTTAATTACAACATTAATGTTGGCTGCGTATGTTCCATTTTTAGATAATGCAAATAAATTTTATCATGAGAGATTTGGGTTTAGTATTATGCATGCTGGTAGAATTGTTACTGTAGGATATATTGTAGCAGGTAATCAATATTAATATTGAATAATTTAGCTATATCCTCTCCAATAATTGGTAAAATTAGTGATTCTTTTTCTCATAAACGCCAGACCCTAATCATCATTTCAACTTTCATGTTCTTTTTATCCCATTTACAACTCTATTATATGCCTCATTCTACACATCCCAATTACATGTCTGTTTTCGCGTAATTTATATTTTCTAAATATGTGAAGTTTGATAACTTTGGGATTATCTTATGCTTGTTATTCTAGTATTCTTATGCCTGCATTATAATCTACAGTACCTGAAAATATGTTAGGTATTTTAACTGTTTTATTAAGAGCTACTGCTTTGGGAATATTAGGAATCATAGAAAATATATGCATGGCAACCGTTCCTATGCTTTCAGGATTTGTTTACACTTTTTTAAAGGGACAAAAAGATAGAATGAGAGATGTTGATATTATTTATTTAGTATTAGCAGGTATTGGAGTTTGTTTATCCATTAATGCATTACCTTCTTAAGAAAAAAACTTTAAAAATCAAAAAGATGCAATCAAACACTTGCATTAAAAATCTGAAGAAAATTAAAATTTCATTTGATTTACAATAAATACAATTCATTTCTAATATATTTCTATTCCAGAACTTTATAAGCTTCGAATTACTAAATCTTCAAATTCTTCTAAACTTATAAGTCCGTCTCCATTTGTATCTGTCATATTCATCCATTCTTTCAAATCTTAATCTGTTGGTTCATAATTCTTTACACCAGCCTACTTATATGTCTCTATTAATAATCCTCGAACTTCATCTGAAGTTATTGAACCAGAATTATCTGAATCAAATTTACGGAATATTTTTCTTGCTATTTCTAATTTTGCACTAGCTAATTTTGAGTATTTTGGTTTCTTTTGTAAACTCACTATGGGAATAGTATTACAAAAATATCTTATGCATAATTATTCAAAATCTTTTTTTTAACCATTTCCTATTATTTACTTGTATTCTTCTACATCTTCTTATTAAATCTAACATTATTTCCCCATCATTTTATAATTATTGATCATCATAGATTAAACTATATTAAATATAAGTCACACTTACTATCTAAACTTCCTTTTTTTGTATAATAATCATATAACTATCCTGCAATTTAAACTGCTTATTCTCTTTGCATAAATTTATATTTATTAATTAAATACAAAAAAGTAAGGTAAATTATAATCATCATCTATCAAATAAACTTAGAATATTAAATAGAAATAGTTAAAATAATAATTTAGATACATATATTTAATTCATTACAAATTAATCATTTTAATTTGTTTTTTTACATTTGAAAATGTCATGTTAAAAGAACTTAAAATAGATTGATATAATTTGATACTTGATTTATGTATGAGATTGTTAAATGGAATTAATTATTGTATTTAGTGGATCTAATTTATGGTAAATTAGATTTGAAATTAGAGAAAATTTCAAATGTATAACTGTTAAATTTCTTACTGAGATTTTTAGAGATTTAATAATTATTATTAAAATTTTTAGAAGATCTAAATAACTTAAATTCCTTATTCGAGAGTAGTGTTCAATATGATTTCTTTTAGGAATTAATTAATCAGATTTCTTTTTAATTATTATGAGCTAAGGATTGAACTTGAATAAAAAAAGAAGTTGGAAAGACAGATGATTCATTTATAAATAATAATGATTTGTCTTTGGGAGAAGTTTTAAATAGTTAAGTTTTCAATTATTAATTAAATAATATGCATGTCTCATTAAAAGACATAATGCCACCTCAGCATTCACAACATAATCCACTATCAAAGATAAAGTTTAAGATTAGTAAGAAGGTGGAATCTCTTTGTCAATGTAATTAGAAAAGTTGTTTAATTTGTGCTCGAAAAAGATCATCCTCTATGTTAAATATAAAAAATTCGTTGGTGGTTGATGAAAGTTCTCCTGTTTCTAAGAGAACAGTTGATCAGAAAGCCATTTTAGTGTAATAAGCTGTAGTCTCAAAATAAATATCAAGATAACAATCAAATCATGTCATACATCACAGTTATTATAGTGGGAAATAAATCAATAATACTACTTCAACTACAATGGTTAATAATTCTCGGACAAGAAAGACATCTCTTGAATCTTCACCTCCTAAAGAAAATGGTAAAGTAATTAAAATATATATAGTAATCGGAAGACATTCTTTCAAATTTCTATATGTAATTGGAAAAGGTGGATTTGGAAAAGTTTGGAGAGTTGAAATGAAAGCTAATCGATAAGAATATGCACTAAAAGAAATGCTAAAATCAAAGTAACTTCAATATTTAATTATTATTAGAATCATCTCAAAAAGGTCTGTTAATTCTGTGATGAATGAAAAATATTTACTCGAACATCTCAAACATCCTTTTATTGTTAATATGCATTATGCATATTAAGATAGAGAGAACCTATATCTTGTATTAGATTTATTAAGAGGAGGAGATCTAAGATATCATATAGGTAGAAATACTAAATTCTCTGAAGAATAAACAAGTATCTTTTAATTATTATTTTTTAGAATTTTTTGTATGTTGTATTTTATTAGCACTTTAATATTTACATTAAAATGGCATAATTCATAGAGATGTAAAGCCTGAAAATCTTGTCTTTGATAAGGATGGATTTTTAAGATTAACAGATTTAGGAGTTGCTAGATTAAATAAAGATTCTACTGCTAGTGATACTTCTGGAACTCCTGGTTATATGGCTCCAGAAGTTATGTGTAGATTAGATCATTCATTCCCTGTTGATTATTATGCATTAGGAGTTATTGCATATGAATTATTACTTGGCAAAAGACCATATAATGGAAAGAATAGATAAGAAATTAGAGATCAGATCTTAGCTAAATAAGTTTAAATTAAAGATGAAAGATTCTCTCATAAGGCCTAAGATTTTATTAATAGAGTAACATTTATTGTATATTTAATTTTAGCTACTTATCAGAAAACCCTAATAAAGATTAGGTCATAATGGTATTGAAGAAATTTTTGAACATTAATGGCTCAAAGGATATCCTTGGGGCAAATTAATCAACAAGGAAATTAAGTCATAATATGTTCCTGGAGTATATATTTTTTTTAGTCTTTTTTTAAGAGTATAGATGGAAATTTCGATTTTCAAAGTTAGATCTCTGCTGATAGTGAACCCCAAGAAGATGCAGCTTCTCTTATCAGACGAAAAAGTGTTTAATGCTTATTTGAAGGATACAAATTTCAATGAATAATCTTTATATTACAATCAAAACTAATCCCCTCTCTTTCCAATTAGCAAATCATTTTTTATTTTACATTTGTCATTAATTCAATCATATCATGCATTCAAAAGCTTAAATTAACTAGCATTTAAGATTTATACAATTTTAAAATTATTTTCTCATCAATTATTCCAATTCATATTAGCATTATTTTAATATTAATGCCTCTGAATTGTATTTCTTTCCTTTTTCACAATTTACTTTCTCTCAATAATTATTTCAATTAATTATACAATAATACAATCTAAAAATTAATATGATTTAGAACTGGAAAAGTTAGGATTATATTCATATTTTTTTTTCCGATCAATTTTCTTATACATATATTTATATCTCTATACTATCTTCAAAAAAGGAAAGATATGATAAAATACCTTTTAAATATGTTGATATGATAATTTAAGTTTATAAATTACATCCAAATAGTTCTATGTTAAGAATTTATTTTATGTCTTCACACAAAAATTAAAAAAACTGGTTCTACTACATAAAAAAGGAATGACATGAAAAGAAAGTTCAATAATTTTTTACTAATAATTAAAAATAAACAGTAAAAAATCGATTGAACTAAAAGATTATAATTAAAACAAAAGAAAAAAAATAAAAATATAGTTTCTCCTTAATAATAGTAAAATCTTAAACAGAATTGTTATTTTATCATATTAGCTGTGACAGCAGCGATAAATTACTAAATGTTTTTATAATTATTATGAAAAGATACTAAGATATTTCAATTAAAAATTGTTTTTATCAACATTTTTGCTACAATCAATAATATATGAAAAAAAATGGCTTATGTAATGTAATTAATAAATTCAACAAAAAGGCAAATATTTTAATAATGCAGAGAATGAAATTTACAAAACAATATAAAAATTATAAAAATTCTATTTTTTTCTCAAAACTAAATAATTCAATGATTTATATTAAAAAATTTTAAACTTAATTATTATTAATCCAACATATAATTTCTATATTATGAGGCTTTATCTTTAAATAAATCTAACTGAGTTAATCTGTGTCAATCTTAAATAATAATCTTTGCAATTTCAAATTTCATTATTATTATTAATATAAATGTATGAGGATATAGATAGGTAATAAAATTTAATTTACAGAAAATAGTATTCTAAAATATTATCAATAAAAAATATTAGTTTCTTTTTTCAATATTTATTACTTTTAAAGTTTTTAAATATTTTTTTAAAACATATAAAATATTAGTTTATGTATGCTATTAATCTAATACTTTTTCATTTACTAGTGAATGTTGAATAGATTTTTGATCTTCGAAAATTGCCATTTTACTGATACTAATGAATTAAAAAGATAGTTTAGAAAATTAAGAATAAATTTAAGATATTGAAATCTCATAAATTTTAACAGTAGAAGAAGTTTTTGTCTTAAAAGAAATGGAAATTTTTGAGAAATTTAAATCATATTAGAGGAATTTATATTGTTAAGGTTGTCATTTTTATGAATCTCTAAAATATTTCTACGTCATTTGATATAAATTAAGGTTCAGGGGGAATGAGTAATTTTTAATAAATATTTTGTATTTAAGTATGGATACTTAAGAGCCAATAAATCCTAATTATGATGTCGTAGTATGCGGAACTGGATTAATTGAATGCATTCTAAGTGGATTGCTAAGTATGGAAGGAAAGAGAGTGTTTCATATGGATCGTAACCCATATTATGGAGGAGAGGGTGCATCTTTAAATCTAACTAACCTTTGGAAACTGTTTAAAGCTGGATAACAATTTCCATAATAATTAGGTATACATAATTAGCTAATATGATAAGGTTAGAATAGAGATTGGAATATTGATTTGATTCCAAAGTTTGTAATGGCTAATGGATAGCTTGTTAAGATATTGTTAAAGACTAAGGTGGCTCGTTATTTGGAATGGAAAGCTATTGATGGAACATATGTATTTCAAATGAAAGAAGCAGGTTTATTTAGTAAGGGAGGTGGTAAAATTGAGAAAGTAAATATTTTAATTATAAGATTAGGTTCCAGCAACAGCTTCTGAAGCTCTTAAATCTGATTTAATGGGTATGTTTGAAAAGAGAAGATGCTAGAAATTTCTATCATATGTGTCCAATTATGAAGTCAGCAATCCAAAGACTCATGAAGGTAATAAGCGATTAAATATCACAATAGGATTAAATTTGAATCAAATGACCTGTGCTTAATTATTAAAGAAATTTGAATTAGAGCCAAATACAATAGATTTCATTGGGCATGCTGTTGCATTATATTCAAATGATTAATTCTTAGAAAAGCCAGCAATTTAAACAATTGAAAAGATTAAATTGTATATGGATAGTATTGGCAGATATGGAGATAGTCCTTTCATTTATCCAATTTATGGATTAGGTGGTATTCCAGAAGGATTCTCTAGAATGGCTGCTGTTAATGGTGGTACATTTATGTTGAATGCAGATTTAGATGAAGTATTATTTGATGGGGATGGAAAAGTAATTATTATTATTAATTTAGGTATGTGGATTAAAATCAGAGAAAGTTAAGGAATTAATGGGAATAGAATAAATTAATTGTAAAATGATTATTGCTGATCCATCATATGCATTAAAAGCTAAATTATCAAATAAAGTTAAATCCGTAGGAAAGATAGTTAGATGCATTTGTATACTCAATCATCCTATTCCTAATACAAAGAATCTACCTTCAGTCTAAGTTATCATTCCATAAAGATAAACAGGCAGAAAGAATGGTATATACATTATATATATATAGATATTTATGTTATGATGGTTAGTGATGTTCATAATGTTTGCAAAAAAGGATTCTTCATTGCCATCTTAAGTACTAATGTTGAAACTAACAATCCAGAAAAAGAATTAGAACCTGGATTTGAAATTGTTGGAACAATATTAGAGAAATTTATTACTGTATTTACCTTATTTTATATTATAGGTTTCTGATGTTTATGTACCAACAGATGATGGATCTAAGGATAATATTTTCATTTCAAGCTCATTTGATCCATAATCCCATTTTGAAGGTGAAACTTAATAAGTCTTAAATGCCTACAAAAGAATTACAGGAAAAGATCTAGATTTAACCAATTTACCAGTCGATTAGGATGATTAATGATATATAAATAAAAAATAAAACATAAATAGATTTAATAATGCCATTCGAAATAATTTACAATATCAACAAAGACTTAGCTTTTTCATATATAATAAAAATTCAAATGCTACCATATTTGCTTTCTTAATTATCAACTAATCTTCCTATTTTGAATTCAGACTCTATGTCTTCATCTTTTCCTGTTGATTTATAATTGAATTTCTATCTTTGTGAAAATATTTTTCTAATATCACTTAAACTCATATTATGCACATCGAATGTATAAAACAGGAATCCTACGACTCCAAAACAGATTAAATAAAATAAAATTGATAGTATCGAACTAAATATATAAACAGAAATATTTACAATGAACTTTATGGTGAAACTACACATTGCTTTTAAAATACCATAGTAATATCTTAGAAGTATTATAAAGGTATATTTAATTCTATAGTTGTATTTCCATTTTCAACACAATTATACTCTACAATTAATGTGGATGGTTCATTTGTAACTACTCCACCTTTAAATAAATCTCCTCGAATTATTGGTTTTGTAATAGTATGATCTGCATCAACATATGGAGGAGAGATGTGTACCTCTGGAATTAATTTCAAAATTGCTTCCAAAACTTAAAATTCTTCTTAAGTGGTTTCGGTTTCTGCTTATTAATCAACTGCATTAAAGAAATCTTTAGTTTCCTCCTTATTTAAAATGTTTTCTTCATCACTATTTTTTGTTAAATTCATATAAACATAAAAGATGGAGTAATTCAGATTTGCTGGAACAGTGAATACAAAATTATCAAAGTCTTTATCCCAATAAGCTTTGTTTACTAATTCCCCATCTTTTACTACTGTTTAATTATATTATTTAACAAGAGCATCTACATTTAAACCATGTCGTTTTATCAAAGGGCTACCACATAATTTTTACCAATATATCTTAGCAGATCCACATGATGGTATATTAAATAAGACTTCATATTGAATCAATCTACCACCATATTATTTACATCTATAATCAATTCTTAATGAATAAACATTGTTTTAATGATGCTCTATTTTAAGGGTACTGTTTGCAAAATAATGATCATCAAATTCTAATTGTACCATATCTTATGTTAATTAGATCTTATTATCTATAGTGACATACAAATAATCCATTTAAACAGAGTTATTCACCAATTGAAATGTGTCTATTTATATGATAAAATTATTATACCTGCTTCTAATACCCATTATCTGGCTGGTACACCTGCTTTGATTATGTCATCTCTGCTTTTATCAATATCTGTAGAAACGTGTAAATATTTGCAAGTCGATTCAAAACATTTGACAAACGAGATCAGAAACACGTATATTAATAAATTCATGATTATTTATTATTTTAAATCAAATTCTTCTTTAGGCAACTAATTTATTAATAGTAAATGCATCATTTTCTTTAAGAATGGCTTCTACTTACATGAAAGATTCATTGGATTCGCCTAATAGATTATAAATATTAAAATTACTATCATCATATTGTAAACAGAAACATACTCTTGATGGATTAATACCTAATTCTGGAACATGGCCAGATGCCAATTATGCTAAATACTCTGAAATAGCACATAAAATATCAGCAGCATTTTCTTTAGTGACATCAATAGTTGCCTCACATCTATAAAATGTTAAAAAATAATTAAATACTCTTTGACAACTGGAACTTAAGGTTCAGAAGGGGGAGGAGTTGGTTTAGGTGCTGGAGAAGGTTCAGGTTATGGTTAAGGTTCAGGTTCAGGTAATGGTTCTGGTTTTATTTCATCAGGAATAACAGGAGGTTCAGGTTCAGGAGGAGGAGGAACGAATTCTTCTTCTTCTGGCTCAACTGATTCTTCAGGACTCTCTTCTGGTTCAACAGGAATAAATTCTTCTTCTTCTTCTGAACAAACTGATTCTTCTTCAGGGAAATCTTCAGGAATATTCTCTTCTGGTTGAATAGGAATATATTCTTCTTCTTCTGACCAAACTGGTTCTTCTTCAGGAACTACAATTGGATCATTCGGAGTTTCACTTGGAGGTTAAGGATTATAACCAAAAATAATATCTTTTGGTGGGTTTACAACATCAATATCAACATCTCCAATACAAAGATTAACTCTCCAATTATAGAATTAACCATTGAAAGCAGGATATAAACCATCATTACCGATGTATAGTCTTCTTTAAGGGACAAGATAATGACGAACATCATGAATTTAATTAGAAGGCATTTCTGAATCTGATAAATAAATCATGTAATTAGCATATTTAGTTCTTCTGCTATAACCAAAGTAAATATAATGCCATTAGCCTAATGATGATCCATATTCAACAGAATCCCATAAATTAGGATTACCAGATCCTGAATATGTATAAGTAGTAACTTAATATCTGTTGCCAACCAATTCATTACCAAGATAAAGAGCTAGATCTCTATCTCCTAATTAAATATCATCTAAATCAGCATCAGTATTTTCTGATAATCTGAAAACAGTATGCCAAACATCTTAATCTTCTAAAGATTCCCATTTGAACCAACCAGAAACTGAATATCCAGCATCCCAAGATGAGAAATCATATCTTTCTTCTGAACTATCATCAAATCCAGAAAATTCGAAATCACCCAAAACATGTGTATCTAATTCACAAAGTTCTTCTGGAGGATTATTACATGAATCAACAATTTATTTATATGTTTTTTCATCTTTGAAATGAAGATTTGGTGCAGAGACAGCAAAATGCCCATAAACTTTACCTTAGAATGATGGATGAGAATCTTATTCACCACCAATAATGAATTCTAAAGATGTGAAACTTTCATGAGAAGCAGGAGTTTCTCTCAAAGCTGGTTGTTCTTCAAAGAATTTAACTCCACATCCAGTGACACCTTTACCATGACTAATAAATACAAAACTCCAATCTCCTTCAAAATCATCATTTTAAACAGATGTAGATTATGATGTTGATCCATCAGCAGTAACACATTTAACTCCAGTTTTAGTAACAAATACTCCTAATACAGTATTGCCATTATCTTATAAACTAGCTAAATGGAATTCTTCAGCATCAGTAAAAGCTGGATATTTTTATAATTTTTAGAAGTATAAACCAAAACCATATTAGCCTGTTATGGTAAGAGTGCTAGTGAATCCTGGTTCAACTTAAGTAGCTGCTAATTCAACATATTCTGTAGATTCAGAAGAATGACATACTAATGGAGATTCTTCATCATCCTCATCAACAGGAACAGGTGGTTAATCTTCAAAAGTGGCTTCTTCTCCTTCTTCTTCTGGTAGTACAGGTATTGTAGGATGTGATGGTTCATCAGATTCTTCTTCATAAAAGAATTCTTCTCCTTCCTCAGGAACATCAAATGGTGTAGGTTAAGGTGGTTCAACAGGTGTTTCTTCAAATGTGAATTCTTCTCCTTCTTCAGGGATATCAACAGGTGGTTAAGGTGGTTCAACAGGTTGTACTTCAGAATAGAATTCTTCTCCTTCTTCTGGTGTTGGTGGTTATGGTTAATCTGGAGTTTCTTCAAAAGGAGATTCTTCATCATCTTATTCTGGAGTTTCTTCATCATCTGGTTATACAGGTGGAGAAGGTTATTCTCCATCTTCTTCAGTAGAAGGAACTGATTCTTCTGGTTCTTCTCCTGGAATAATCCATTCTTCTGTTCCATCTTCTGTTATTGATGGTTCTTCAGGAGATTCTTCTGCATTTGGATTAACTGGTGGTTCATCTGTTGGACCTTCTTCTTCAGAATGTACTTCTGGAGTTGGTTAATCTTCTTCTGGTGTTATTGGTTAATCTTCTTCTGATTATGGTTAATCTTCTTCTGGACTTGGTTTATCTTCTGGTGTTGTTGGAATATCAGTCTCTTCCACTGGCTCTTCTGTAAATTCTTCGCTTGGTTCACTTGGTAATTCTGATGGAATTTCTGGGACAGGTTCATCTGGACATGTTGGTTGGCATGCTTATTAACATCCAGATTAAATAATCTTTAAATCTTCTATCTTTCCTTTCACTTTTATCACTGTAACTGGTGATTGCTAACATTATTAGTGAACATTATTCATTTATTTTATAAGATAAGCACATAATTTTGTTAAAGTTTCTGTACATTCTTCTCTTTCATGTCTGTCTAAAATAATTGATTTATTTATCTACCATGAGATTGCAATCCTTATAATTTACTCTATAACTCAGAAAGTACTGGGGGTGATATTAGATCTAAATCTTTGATCTTCTCAACTAGTTACTCATACTTTTTGTGTTTAATTAGATGCTTCATTTGAGTCAAAGTCTCAATATGAGATGGGATACGCTCCTTGTTCTCCAAAACTTACTACCATTAAGTTAAAGTTTCCTCCAAATCTTCAAAATGAGATCTAGGTGTTTAACAATTCAATTATGAAGTGTCTAAAGCATCTACTTCTGCTAAGGTATGGGACATCAAAGATGCCTCGAAATTCAATGCTGTAGCATACATCAACAGCATAAATAGGGCATATATTCTCATTTTTAATAAATATAATAGTTATACCTTTAAAACGGATTTATTACATATATTAAATAATTAATTTATCATACACTAATCTCTATAAATTATTATAATCCCCTTATCTCCAAAAGATTCACTAAATATAAATTATTATAAAATATGCACTCATCCAAGATCTTTAAACTCTACCAATACATCCATGTACCTCGTTACACCTATCAAAGTATTAATATTTATTCAGATTCAATAGAACCCTATTTTTCTTTTCTCAATCCAAACCAAATTACTCAAGATCAACTAATCAAGCTTTCTAATAAAATACCCGGCCATCATTTTTTATTGAATCACCAATCTCTCAACTTAGATTATACTAATCAGACACTACTTAAATTAAAAACAGATTTCTTAAATGATAGATAAAACTCTTCAAAAGCATTTCTTTATATGGAATATTTAACATAACAATAACTCTATCTTGAAGCTATCTAATTTTATGATAGTCTTGATAGAAATCAATCAAACCTACTATAATCCATGTATACGTAAGTACTCTCTAAATATTTATAATAAAAATATCAAAATTACAGAACTAACGATCTTATTCTTACACAAATTTAGTTATTATTAATAATCATTATTGTGTTTTAATATCTACAATATTTTTAAAGAAAAAAAGAATAATAAGATGATTCAAATACTGTTAATTATTCTAAAGATTAATTAGAAAATAATAATAAATAATCATAAAATCTACCTTAGGAAAATTTTAAGAAAATCGAACATCTATTAAATGTTCTTAAAAATCATCAACAATTATAATAAGAATAAAATGTTAAAACAAAATTTGAAGATGTATTAGGAATAGATGAATTCAAAGAAGAACTTTAAGAAATAGTTTAATTCTTAAAAAATCCAGATAAATTTACTTAATCAGGAGCAAAATTGCCAAAAGGAATTCTCTTAGTAGGACCTCCTGGATCTGGAAAAACATTATTAGCAAGAGCTTTGGCTGGTGAAGCTAATTGTTCCTTTTTTTATAAATCTGGAGCAGAATTTGATGAAATGTTTGTTGGTGTTGGAGCATCTAGAGTGAGAGAACTATTTTAAAATGCAAGAAAAAAATCTCCATCTATCATTTTTATAGATGAAATTGATAGTATAGGAGGTAGAAGATAAATGAATAATCCTACATCTTCAAGAGAAACTATAAATTAAATATTAACAGAAATGGATGGATTTAAATAAAATGATGGTGTTATCGTAATTGGAGCAACTAATTTTGAATAAGTAAGTATTAAACTTATAATAGGTTCTTGATCCAGCTTTAAAAAGAGCAGGAAGATTCGATAAAATAATGCACATTCCCTTACCTGATATTAAGGGAAGATAATAAATATTCTCATATTATTTAAATAAAATCAAATACAATAAATAAAGTGTAGATCCCTTAAAATTAGCTTAATTAACAACAGGATTGAGTGGAGCTGAAATTTAAAATATTGTAAATTTGGCCATATTAAATTCTATAAAAAATAATAGAGAATAAGCAAATTCAATAGATTTTGAATTTGCAATAGATAGATCCGCTATGGGAGTTCAAAGAAAATATAAATTGATAAATGAGAAAGACAAATTAGTAACTGCTTATCATGAGGGAGGACATACAGTGACAAATTTGTTAACAGAGGGTGCTCCTTCTCTTCATAAAGTTACTATATTACCTAGAGGAGATCAATTAGGATATGTAAGAGATTATATATATTTAAATTAGACTTCTATGATTCCTGAATTAGATTAAAAACCTCATTCAAAAAAGAATATTTTAGCTTAGATAGATATAGCTATGGGGGGAAGGGTTGCTGAAGATTTATTTTTGGGAAAAGATGAAATAACAAGTGGATGTAGCTAAGATTTAGCTTTGGCTACTGATCTTGCTTATTAATATGTCAAATAACTTGGAATGAGTGAAAACTCTTTTTTAATTTCCATCGATCACAATAGTGATAATAAGACAAGCACTTAATTTAATTATATGGTTGACCTTGAAGTTAAAAAATTATTAGATGTAAAATTAACAATTACAAAATAGGACTCTTATGCTAGAGTTAAACGATTACTTACTGATAATGAAGATATGTTATAAAAAGTGGCTTTCGAATTGTTATAAAAAGAAACACTGTCAGCTTAAGAAATTAAAAAATTATTGAATATTTTTTGATTAAATAATATTTAAAATTATGAGCCGTGCATTAGTTTTTAGTAAAAATTACTTAAGCAAGAAATTTAAGATAAAATAACCAAACGAACTTTATAGACAACTACTTTATAAAAATCAATTATTCTAAGAAGATTCTTTACAAAAAGTCTCAACTGATGATTTAATACATTTTATCATTTTTTTTGGAACCCATCCTGAACGTAGAAATTAAGGAGAAAAAGCCAAAAAAATAACTTTAGAGTGTCTGAAATAATATAAGAAAAAGATGATCAAAAATAGCTATGAAATAAACTCATAAATACTTTTATCTCTTAGCAATGTCTTGCTTTATGATGAGTAGATGGTTTAAGAAATAGTTTAATAAGTTGATGAAGAAAAAGAAACTCTTTCAATCAAGGATATGATTAAATTTTAGCATTGTCTCTACAAATTAAACATCCATGATGAAAAACTAAGTGATTATGTTCTTCAGAAATTTCTTAAGCAAAAATAGTAGGTGGATTATTTAGAATATATTCATGATCTACATATTAGATCAAATCTATTTAGATTAGGTTTTTTAGATGAATAAATTATTTTAACTTTGTTGAAGGGATTTTAGGCAAAATTAAACACATCATAAAATTCTCATTATACATCAAAATCATGCTTTTAATACTGTTAAATAATGTATAATTTATATCCAGAAATAATCGACCAACAACTTGTAGACTTAAAACCAAGTGATGAAAACATTTTTGCTCCTTAATTTAATGATATGGTGAAAGACTATATAATTAGCAAATAACTTGTTGATCGTAAAAAGTTTTATTAATCTTTTGAATATTACTTAAATTACTAGAATTTGAATATATTGAAGGTTAAAGAAGATGCTATTTTAAGAAATTTAACTGAACTCGAATAAAATGTTTAAGATTTGCTTAATTAATTAAAATATAAAAATGACAGAGCATGCCGTGTTTTAATTTATGATGTTGATTACTTAGTCAATGATAAAATCATCTTAACATGTAATGATCCAGTACATTTTGTAGAAGATTTTGATGGAAAGATTTTAACAATTAATCCAAATCATATAATGTAGAGCAGGTATGTATTTATTAATAAGTAGAGACATTTGATTGCCACTAATAAATACAAGGTTTATGATATTAATTATCATGAATGGATAAGTTTGACAGAATAACAAAAGATTTAGCAATTAAAATCTTTTCTAGAATGATATATGTATATTTAATATCGAATATTATTTCATTTCTTCTAAATTATTTGAAATTTCAAAATATTTAGTATCAAAATCTTTAATTAATAATTAAGTATTTTAATTAAATTTTTTTAAAACCTATTTATAATAATAATTAAAGTTTATTTTTTGATTGATATTATTAGGTAATAATTAGAATATTTGAAATCATTAGTTTTAGAGTATAATGAAATAATTGGATTAAAACAAATTAATATTAATTGAAAATGCTTTTGCTTATTAGAAGTAGATTATAAAAATCAAATCTAGATCCTCTTCGCTCAAAATTATCATAAATTTTTTAAATCAAACAATAATAATAGCAATTCCTAATATTTCATTGAATAATTCCTTATTTTTGCATTTAAGATCGGTTAGATTCAAAATATTTTGTATATGTTAACTATTATGAAGATTACTACTGCTTTAGCTGATCAAATTTAAAATAAAAATAAAAATTTAATTATAATAAAATAATACATCCTATTCAAATCTACTCTGCTATTCCTATAAGACTGAATAGATTTGCTACCATTTATTTAGATTTTCAAAGAAGAGTATCAATATTAAGTAAAGGTGAAAAATTGACTTCAAAAAGAAAAAAATTTATTAATTAATCTACTAATACATCAAATTCAAATAATAGAAAATTAAGAACTAAATGTTACTTTCATTTCACAAGCTTAAAATATCATATCTTCATTTCTATCAAATATTCACTAAGTAACTATAATTAAATACATCAATTATCTTTTTAAATTTAAATTTTATATTGAAACCAATAAACCTAAATAATATTAAGTAGAGTTTTAGAAGAGAATTTTGTTCACAGAATAATTAGTGAAGCTTACAAAAGCATTCTACTTTTCATAATCAGGATTAAAGCTTCAATAACAAATCTTGGGCTACATTCTTAAATTTATCTTAATTATTATTATAAGTGGTTAGAATTCCACTCAAAAAAAAAAGATATTATTAATCAAAAATTTCCTTTTATTAAGGTATTATTGAAGTATAATAATATATGTTAAGAAGCATAACATAATTCTAGGGAATCTCTTTAGTTGAGTTTATTTTCAAAATTTTTATTGATAAGTGTTTATGGGGGCACTTGTTGAGGATGTGGACTTTGTCACTTATTTTGATTTGGTCTCTAAATGTCTTAAGTAGAGACACCGAAATTCTTGAGTCTCTATAAANTATTTGAAATCATTAGTTTTAGAGTATAATGAAATAATTGGATTAAAACAAATTAATATTAATTGAAAATGCTTTTGCTTATTAGAAGTAGATTATAAAAATCAAATCTAGATCCTCTTCGCTCAAAATTATCATAAATTTTTTAAATCAAACAATAATAATAGCAATTCCTAATATTTCATTGAATAATTCCTTATTTTTGCATTTAAGATCGGTTAGATTCAAAATATTTTGTATATGTTAACTATTATGAAGATTACTACTGCTTTAGCTGATCAAATTTAAAATAAAAATAAAAATTTAATTATAATAAAATAATACATCCTATTCAAATCTACTCTGCTATTCCTATAAGACTGAATAGATTTGCTACCATTTATTTAGATTTTCAAAGAAGAGTATCAATATTAAGTAAAGGTGAAAAATTGACTTCAAAAAGAAAAAAATTTATTAATTAATCTACTAATACATCAAATTCAAATAATAGAAAATTAAGAACTAAATGTTACTTTCATTTCACAAGCTTAAAATATCATATCTTCATTTCTATCAAATATTCACTAAGTAACTATAATTAAATACATCAATTATCTTTTTAAATTTAAATTTTATATTGAAACCAATAAACCTAAATAATATTAAGTAGAGTTTTAGAAGAGAATTTTGTTCACAGAATAATTAGTGAAGCTTACAAAAGCATTCTACTTTTCATAATCAGGATTAAAGCTTCAATAACAAATCTTGGGCTACATTCTTAAATTTATCTTAATTATTATTATAAGTGGTTAGAATTCCACTCAAAAAAAAAAGATATTATTAATCAAAAATTTCCTTTTATTAAGGTATTTATTTGATTTAAATTGCATGGCTATTGTTGGATGCCTATAAGAATCCCTTTTATGAGTTTTAAATATTTTATAATTATTATAATTTAAATTGAAGCAAAATTGAAATTAAAAGAAGAAAAAAACTGAAAAATCAAAAGTAGAATTTTTTAGGAAACAACTTATTGAGATGCAAATTTTCTGAAAATCATTATTTTGTTTCATTTTTATCTAATTTTATTATACGATTAATTATTCTAGATTATTAGAATTTAAATTAATTTACTGTAATTAATATTTTAATAAATTATAAACAAAAGTTAAATATAATATTGAATCAATTTTAAAAGTATTATGAAGCTTCTACAATAATATTTAAATGTAATGTTATAAGTAATATGGAATACAATTAACCTGTTACAAACTCATTGTTACTTATTTTTATTTTATATCTACAAAGAGTGTTTCATTAATAGACCTAATAAGAAGTGGTTTTTAATATGATTTTTGTTAATTCAGAAATATGATATAAAATAGTAAATTCATAAATAATTACTATATCGGTAGTGATGATAAAAAAGGATGATTAATACAAAGTATTAATTATTCAAATTCATGGGAGACTGATCTATGTATAAACATGAAATTGAAAATTAGAAAAGAAATTCTTTCTTGATTGATTTTGAGTAAAATTAACAACAAAAAACAAAGTGAACTCTAGCAATATAATTAAAGTTTATTTTTTGATTGATATTTTATTATTAAATAAAGTTAGAATATTTGACATTAATAGTTGTAGAGATTTGAATTAAAATACAATTAATAATAATAATTTAAAAAGAGAGAGAAATAAATAAAATTATAAATCGAGATTTTGATTAATAAATTTTAATTAAATAATTTGAAATGGCTGAGCACGAGCATGAATTTGAAGGCCATGAAGAAGAATTAGAAGTTCCTAAAGATTCTCTATGGAGAGATGAACATGAAATGGAGAAATCTGCAAATATAGTATATTTTTTAACTCTCGGAATTCTTTCTGGTTTAATTTTGAGAGAAATCAATAAAAAAACAAAGTAAATTCTAACTGTAATGAATAGATTTCCATATTCTCCTATGATATTATCATTAGGAATATTAATAGGGTTGCTACAGAAAAATTTGGGTTATTTTGGTGAAAGCGCTAGTATATTGTCAAAAATGCATCCTCATTTAATAGTATTTGTGTTTGTTCCAGTTTTATTATTTGAATCAGCATTTAATTGTGATTGGTATACATTTAAGTATCAAATGGTGAATATTTTATTATTAGCAGGTCCAGGATGTGGATGGGTATTATAAATTTTAAAATTAGGGAGCAATTCTATTGGGAAGTGTATTTAAATTAATTTTATCATATGATGATAATGATATGACATGGTATTAAGCATTTACGCTTGGTTCAGTATTGTCAGCAACAGATCCAGTGGCTGTTGTGGCATTACTTAAAGAATTGGGTGCTAGTTTAGCATTCAATCATTTAATAGAAGGGTATTAAATTAATGTATTTAAGAGAAGCCTTGCTTAATGATGGTGTTGCAATGGTGTTTTTTATTTTCTTTAATAAGTTATCTAAGGCATAAAATGGAATAGGAGAAGCGGTTACTGCTAGTTAAGTCGCCATAAATTTTATACGAAATTCATTAATTGGACCAGGTTTAGGCTTTATTTTAGGTATTTTGGCTGCATTATGGACTAAAAGAATTTTAGGAGATGATATAGAAGTTACATGGTTAACTTTTGTATTTACTTATCTTACTTTTTATTGGGCTGAATTTTGTTTCTTTAAAACTAGTGGTTTATTAGCAGTAGTAGGATTAGGATTATTTTGGAGTGCATTCGGTAAAACAAGAATAAGATCTTCTGTTGAACATTCAGTTCATACTGTTTGGGGATTTGTTTAATATTCTTGTGATACATTAGTATTTGTTTTAGTAGGGATTATTGTTGGTACATAAGTTATTGAAGAGACATTTATTCATTAATCAGATTACATTAAAATGATAGTTTTTTACTTTTTTATGATTTTGGCAAGATTCATTATGATTATAACATTTTGGCCATTTTTAAGATGTTTTGGTTATCCTATATCTAAATCTGAATTTATTGTTCTTGTTTATGGGGGTTTAAGAGGTGCTTTAGGATTAACACTTTCCTTAATGGTAGGTTGTGATGAGGAATTACCTGCAAGATTTAGACATTTATCTGTGTTTTATGCTGCAGGAATGGCTGCTATTACTAATCTTGTAAATGGTACTACTTGTAAGGCTCTGGTTTAATATTTGGAAATGATTGAGAATCCTGTAGTTAAAAAGAAAGTGTATAAAAAGTATTTAGAAGAATTGATTGTGAATTCTTAAGATAAAATGAGAGAGTTGGAATCTGATCAATTCTTTAGTATGGCTGATTGGAATTAAGTGAATTAACTTATTGGATAACCTAAATTTATAGAGAAAATAGAAAAATTAGAAACAGAGATAAAATATATGATTGGAAGTAATAAAGTGGTATCAAATTCATCAAATTTATATGAAGGATTAACTGATTAAGAAATTTTTGGAGAAGTAAGATATAGAATTTACAGAATTCTTAAAGGATTATATTATGATAAGTTTGAATATGGATTATGCGAAGAAGACACAGTAAGATTATTAGTAGAATCAAGTGACATAGGTTTAGATCATACTAAATCAATTTTAAATATATGGAATTAATTAAACAAAAACTTTTTGAATTTTAGTAGTGTGAATTTCTTTTTTAAAGTCAAAGAATTGCCATTAATAGGTCCATTTGCAAAAGAATACATGATTAAACATTTAGGTTTTGTTTATGATGTTACTACTACATTTTTATCTTGTGCAAATGAATCACTTCATTTAACTGATAGTTTTCCTATGAGTAAAGATGCTGTTAGACTTGTAATGGAAGAGATTTAAAGAGAAATTGATAAAGCTGAAGATTATTTAGGTGTTTTAAATGACACTTTTCCAGAAATAGTAAGGGCTATATAAACAAAAAGAGCATCACATTCTATATTAACACATCAAAGACATTATCTTGATAAAACTTAATAAAATGGTCTTGTAGATGATAAAGAGTATTAATTATTAAAGAAGGAAATTAATACTAGATTAGTTGATTTAGAAAATCATTAATTTGATATTATTTTACCTTCTTTTCATGTACTAGCAATGGAATTTCCTATATTTTCAGGACTTGTTTCAACAGATTTAGATAATATTATTAAAAATTCTTATGAAAAAAGATTTGGATGTGATGAAATAATTTATGAATAAGGAATGACCTGTCAAAATATATTTATTATCAGTAAAGGTAATGTTATTGATGAATTTGATGGAGGTTCAATTAAAAAAGGTTTAGGATCACTTATCACATATACTAATTTAATTGGAGATGGTACTTGTATGAGTACAGCTAAAGCAACTGCTGAATCATTGCTTTACTCATTAAATCTAAAGATTCTTAAAGAACTTATGTAAAAGAATCCAGAATTTGAATTTAAAATATATATCAATTCAATTGGTAATTTTAAATCATATACTAGAATATTTAAGAAAAATGTTTGAAAATTAAGCAGGTCCATTAGCCAATCTAGAAATTAAAAAACTATTAGAATTTTTAAGGACCAAAAGTAAGCTGAAGAAAACAACTGCAAATTAATAATGCGATTTTATTTTTGGAGGCTATTTATTCAGAGGAGAGTTGAAAAATAATGATAACAAAATTTATTCTCAATATTCGTAAATACCTTTAATAATTTATTAGATATATTCCTCCTTAAGAAACAGAATGTCTTTTAACTAAAGATAGTGTTTGCTTGATTTTTGATGATTAATTAGATACATTAAATACATAGATTCTGAAACAACTAGATTTAGATCCACAAAAGGATTAATAGATTTAAGATAGATATTCTTAAATTAAGCATACTTCATTACAAGATAAAAAATTACATCATTGACAATTTTTACAATTTATATCTATAAATTACAAGAGAGTTTCAATCAAATTTCAAAATTTTATAACAAAAAAATTAGTAAGTCTTAGTAAACTTATTTTATTATATATTTATATATATTAATTAATGTAAAGTGTAACCTCTATAGAAGTCCCTACAAATTTATTGAAAATGCCAATAATTAAGAATAAGGATATTATGGAGAAGAAATGTATTTATATAAATTAGAAAATAAGATGAATACGATAAAGTTGGAAAGAATTAAAATGTTATTGTTGAACCTGCAGTAGTTAAATTTTGTGGATTTGAAATAGGCAAATTAAATGAGATTAAAGTGAGAGTTATCAATAAAAATAAACAACCTTAAAGAATATATGTGTTTCCTCCAAAATCAGAAATATTTAATGTGAAATTTGATAAAAAAGGAGCTATTCCTAGTGGAATGGCAGAAGAACTCTATGTTTAATTTAAGCCTCAAGAATATAAATACTTTTATGATGTGATAAGAATCAATACTTAAGATGATACTTTATTAATACCTATACATGCTTATCCTGCCTTAAGTCGAGATGGATTAAGAGAATTATTTCCTCGATTAATCGACTTCGGTACCTTAGATATAGGTGAGTCTTAAACTTATGTAAAATATTATAAATATAATAGAGCTATCCAATTCAAAGTAAAGTGCCTCTTAACTTTGAGTTTGAATTTAATATTACAAAACCTTGTTAAGATATTAAAATTGATCCAATTAAAGGTATAGTACCTGGCAAAGGAGGAATAGATATATCAATAACCTATTCTCCTTAAGTTAATGTAACAGAAATTATGGAAGTAGAAGTAAAACATTAAAATAATTTTAAGCTTAAAATAGCATAATTTGATTTTGAACCATTATGTATAAAAATAATGGGGTCTGGTAGGTTTCCTGAGAATAAGAAAACCATGAGACCTAGTTCAACTAAAAAATTAAAATCTATTACAAATTCTTCCAAAGCTAAACTACTTTAGAATACTTAAGAAATACCTATTGAAGAAAGTCCAAAACCTGGTGAAACATAATAATAAATGGAAAATCAATTATAAGAAAGATCAAAAACTTTAAAGATGACAAAAACTTCTAAATTAAAAAGATCTCAATCTCAATAGTAAGATAAAGATACTAATGATAATTTGGGACTTGATAAATTAAAAGGCAGATAAGTAAAGTATTAAATAACAAAAGTTATTAGAAAAATCATATTTAGATCATTTTAATTAAATCTAAAGTTTGGATAAAGAAAAAGAAATGAGATTTTTTTAATGTGTTGGAGATCCACCAATAACTGAATCTTAAGTACAAGATATTCTTTTTGAAAGATAATAATATCTAAATAACTATTTAGAAGATGTATAAGCAAAAGGAACAACAAGATATAAACTATAAATTAATGCTGATAGCACTATTGTTGATTACATTCTACCTGAGAATTAATAGACTTGGGATTTAGATAAAAATGATACGATGAAAATAAAGAAAATTGTAAAATGTATTAAAAACTTATTTAGAATTTAAGAAAGTTTGTATGTGCAGCAAGTAGAATAATTTATAAATTAAGAATGGAAAAAAGATTATTAAAATTGAAGACATTTTTAAAAGGAGCAACAACAAGAGCTGAAGTAAAATAATTAGTAAATTTGGATTGTTAAAAAGCAGAACATTCTGGAGTTGGTAAAAAAGATTTTGTATTAATTTTAAATTAATTATTAAGGTTAAATTCACCTTTGAATTCAGTGCATAAAATATTGGTTTTTTGAAATTACCAGTTTAATATTCTGAATCAAATACTAATTCTTAATTTAAATATACAATTACACCTTAGACTGGTTTTGATGATTTAGCTCCATATGATGAATTACCAAGTGATGATTGTGAAATTATGTAATATAAAGTATGGGAATATCCATAAATTGTGTATCATCCACCAGTTATTGATAAACCATTGAGAGATGGTGCAGAAGAAGAGAAATCAATAAGAGGTATAATGGGTCCAATAACTTAAATACTTTAAACTTAAAATGATAATATTGTAAGAAATATATATTTAAAACCACCTGAAGTTGAAAGCTATTAAATACTTAAAACACATAAGACATTAAAATTGTATTAATAATTTAATGATGGAACTCCTTTAAATACATACTATCCTCTAATGTTTAGTAAAGTAAATGGAATTGGAGCTGATTTAGATCCAGATATCGCCTAAAATCATTTAATCTTAAAACAAGAGTTTATTAATAGAACACCTGGTTATTAGAATTTAAATCTTATTTATGAATTACCTTTAGATTAATTCTATTATTAAGAAAAAAATATGTAATTGGCTTTTGATTTTGGTTTTGATGAATAAATAGAATTCTATTGTCCAACTTTAATGGCTGAAAAAGAATTAGATGATTAAATGACTGATGATGATAGTGATGAAGATAAACCTCCTCAAATTAATGTTATAGATTAGAATGATTGGCTTACTAAACTTGAATAAGATGATAAAACTATTACAACTATGAGATAATCTGAAATTATAGATTCTTTTGATCAATTAAAAGAAAAAATAGATTCAAATTTAAAGTAATATATTATTATACATTCTTTAGTTTGGAAAAAAATAAATGGATATCAACCGTTCCTTCTAAAACTAGTGACTTCAATAAGTTTATTATTAGAAATGAAAATAAAATGGTAGTATTGTGATTTATAATATTTCCAACATACATTTATATTATTAATTTACCAATACTATTTTTTGCATCAATTAAAAATATGCTAGTATATATCAAAAAAAAATTGTTTAAACTTCCTATTAGATTCATGTATCCTAAATGATAAGAAATTTATTATGTTTTTTAAAAATGAATATTAATTATATGCTTGACTTTGAACAAGATTTTTATAAATTTGTTAAAGCTTAATTAGACAAAAAAAAAGGTAATAATAAGATTGGAACAGATGAATCAGGTAATGAAGAGGAGACACTAAAGAGTAATTAAATATTTTTTATAAAGAAAATAGGTTAGTAAGTGAGAACATCAATAAAGTACTTTAAAATGAAAGAAAAAAGATGAAAATCAGCAAAATATCAAAGGAATAACATTTTGAGAATAAAATGAAGGATTTTGCTAATATGGATACATTTATTGATGTTAAACAGTTTCTTAAGAATCTCAATGATTAATAAAAGAAAAAAACGAATAAAAAGGTGTTTAAGTCATTCAAACGTAGTCAATCAGATAGTGATAATGATGATTTATTTGATTATGCAGAAATTGTTTAGAAAAGTAAAAAGTACATTGCAAAATCTTAAAAGTACAGGACTAAACCAAATATACAGGGTTACCTTTAAGTCGAAGAAAAACTTCATAAAAAAACAGAAGAAATTGAAGAAGGAAGATCAACAAATGAAAAATTTTATACTGGAATAGATAAATTAATAACAGATATAAATCAAAAAAATGCTTAATCTGAAATAGATAAACAATATGAAAAAGAAAAAAAAAGACATAGAGATTCTATGAGTTCTGAATAATAATTACCATAAATACTTCAATTGGATTTTGGTAAAGATGAATTAACAATTAAAGCAGAAAAGAAATTCAAAGAATAATCTTAAAAAGTTTTATAACTTCTTGAAAAAACTACTAAAATGTTATATAGAAATAGAATACCCTAACCACCAAATCCTAAAATCTTGAAATAGTAATAGTAATAATTGAAAGAATTGTAACAACATCCTTCCTCTGTAGAAATTAGAAGCTCTAAGCAAATTCTTATTAAAAGTCGAAGTATAAGTAAAGATATAAAATTGCCTACAATTAACTCACATATTTAACCGAAAAATGGAAAGAGAATTGGAACATTACAATAATTAAGTCATGCAACTTTACCAGAAATAAAACCAGGATCTTTTGTTTCTCTTAGAGAAGATAGAAATTTAGAAGATGCACATTATTTTAAAAGCTAAAATAACATTATTAATTAACAAAATTAAGTTAATAATTTCAGTCATCATAGTCTTAGTTTAGAAGTAAAAAATTAAATAGATGATTTTATTACTTAAGTAATCCTTATTTTATATAATTTTAGGTAGAAAGTGCATAAGAATAATTCTCTAAAATGTACCCTTCAGATACTTAATTATAAAAAATATAAAATAGAATGAGCAAAAAGATGAATACAATAGGTAAAGCTCCTTTAGAGAGTTTGAAATATTTAACTAGAAGAAAATTTAATATTTCTAGAAAATTTGAAACAAAAATTAAAAAAAATAAAGCTCAAATATTTTGATCACAAAGTGATAACATCTATATTCAAGTTATTTTTTAGTTTATTTTCTAAAACTTAAATATAAAATTTAATCATTAGACCTAGTATAGTTTAATTATTTTAAATATATTGTTATTGATTTAATTATTGAAAATGTCATCCATCCTTAATAAATTTAGAAAGCAACCTTAAAATGATGTACCACCTGGTATCAAATTAGAGAACACTTTATTTGGCTAATCAAATGGAACTTATCAACCTCCGTTAATTCCAGCTGTTTAATTACCTTAAACTACATAACCAAGATTAAAAGGAAGACCTGGAGGAGGTTTTTAAAATTTATAATTTTAGGCTGGGATGATGAACCTGAACCATAATAATAATAAAAATAAATATAAAATACTCAACCTATTAATACTATTAATTTAATTGATGAGACTCCCTCTAAGTAAAATGAAATTAAATCAAATATGGATATGATACCTCCATTATAACCGTTCCATAATAACATTCAATTAAGTAGAGTGACAGATTATAAGAAAGGATAGCTATTAACTTATGAAGAATTAGAAATTGGAGGATTGTATGTCTCTTCTATAATATTTTAGTTAATTTGAATTCCATCTGGTAGAAGAAGTAATTAAACTAGGTGGAATTAAATTAAAATAAAGTGATTCTGTTTTAAAAGAATTTGCTAGAGCATGCTAAACTTTATAAGAATAATTGATTGGAAGCATTCTATTGAATAAGCTTTACAGTGAAGAAAATTGGAAAGTTCAAATAGTAAATAAATTTGATATATTTTTTAGAGATGCATATATGCTATTCAATTTATAAGTTAATAATATTAAAATTATAGAGAATTCTTTTAAATTAATTAGAACTATTTAAAGATTGATACAGAATAACAGATACTACAATCTGCAATAGAATAAACGATATTGGAAATTAATGGACAGTAGACATAAAAATAAAAGGTAATAATATCATTAATATTAAGGAATTTTAATTTGAATTCCGTGAACCACCTAAGCCATAATAAAATAATGTATAATAACAATAATTGAATCTAATTGAAATTGGAAATAATGAAAATTAATTAAAATAATAACAGCAATAAAAACTTGATTTAAAATCGCTTAAAATAAAATAACCTTAAGTACAACAGTAATCTCAACCATATTAGTAATAATAATAATAGTATAATTAATAAAATTCTAATCAAATAGATTTATTAGAGGCATTTAATGAAATTTCAATACAAAATCTTAATTAAAACTAAAATTAATAATAATAACAAAAAGAAGCTATTAGTTTTGATGAAATATTAAATTCTTAATCCTACTCTCAAACAACAACATAATAGCCACAATAAAAAAAGAATGCTTTTGGATTTCTAAAAAAAGATCAGCAATAATAATCTTAATAATAGCAACCTCAGTATTCAAATTAAGAATAATAATAATAATTAAACACACTTTTATTACAAGCACCTTAATAATTATATCAATAGCCTGCTTTAAGTCAATAATAAGTTTCAAATATTTCCACTTCTGGATAATCATAAAATTTGTATAACCTATAATAATAATAAACTCAAATGGCATAGCCTAATTATTCTTAAGCTTTTGTATAATATAATATCTAATAATAACAATATAATTTAGTTTAGCAAACCTAATTTACCTAGGAATAACCAAAATAAAAATAACAACCAAATCCCAAAGAAAATGCTTTTGATTTCCTAAATTTCTGATTGTTATATTAAATAATAAATATTTCAACATTATGTAAAAAAGCAATTCTTATCATATAAAGACCCCAAGAAAATTTCGATAGGCAAATATCTTATCATAAGAATTATTGTAAAAATTAACTCAATCGAAGCTAGAAAATAAATAATAAAATGGATATTACGAAAAAAATGAAAATATTAATGGAGCCAAAAAAGTAAAATAAATTTCCAGATCTATTGGGGGAGGCTCTTAAAGTTATAGAGAAATAGTTTAATAAAGTTTAAATCTTTTTAATTTGAATAAAGAAGTTTAACCAAAGGATTTAAGTTTAAGAAAGTCACATGAAGAAATTAATAGGACTAGTAAAAAATCTAATCATGTCAGTCATATAAGTTAAATTTGGACAAAAAGAAATAGAACAGATAGCAATTCCTTAACCCCTAGAAAAGTAGTTGTAAATGACTTTATTTTGAATGCAAATGCATTTTTAAAGGAAAAGCAATTAGAAAATTAATTAGATAAGCTCTCTTATCAAATAGTATAACTTTAAAATAAATCTGATTAATTGGAAATATAAAATAGAATGTTGTTTGCAAATTTGTAATAATTTTAATAAGATTCTAATAAAATGAAAGTAATATGAATTTTATAATTAGGATAGACATTCCCTAATTTAAAAATTAGATTCAATGATAGTTATGTAATAAAGATAGGAAGAAAATCTTAATTATTTTAAATAATTGTTTAAAGATAATAGCGATTAGAATATGAAAAAATAAAATTAAAATTCCCTCCCAAAACTTCAACCAACAAATCTTGGTTTAAAAATTTGATTTAATTAATTCTTTGTCATTTTATATAATATTTCTTTGATGCATAAAACCCATCACTCATAAATTACATATGAGAATCAAGATGAACTTTAACAAGAAAATTAAAACTCTTCTTTGTTGGAAATTAAATCCTATTAATAATATGCTTACAGATGGGTAATTTTAATTTGTTTTCTAAGTGTTGTTTTTATTAATGGTATTGCATATCAAACATTTATTCCTAATGCAAAATAAGTATCTAAATATAGATTATAAAAGTTTATAGAATTGTATGATGTTAGCGAATAAATAATAACACTATCAGGAACAATATATTTGATAATGTAACCATTGTTCACATTTTTTGCATCTTCATGTATTTATCAAATATAAAAAAACTAGTTATAGTAAATAAGGGATTTGCTTTATCTTTAAATTTTGGAGTATTATTAACAATAGTAGGATATGTTATAAGATTATTCATAAATAAATTTTCATTTTCAATTGTTATATTAGGATAAGCATGTCTTGGCATTTCAAGACCCTTTATTTTAAATGGCTAGATTACTATGGCTTAGAATTGGTTTTATCCTTCAAATCGAACAGCTGTATTAACTGTATGTAATGTATTTTAAACTTTTTCAATGATAATCAGTGTTATATGGCCTGCAAATTGGATTTTCCAAGATTATTCATATAAAGATGAGCTTAAAGAATAAGGTTTAGAATTATCTTTAAAATTACAATACTAATAATTTTTTTTAAGCCTTTTATTGATTCCAGTAATATTTTTAATAAGAAATAATCCAGTAACACCTCCTTCAAGTTTTACTAATACAGATATAGATATTGGAATTTAATAATCAATAACAAAATTATTAACAAATAAAAATTTCTTACTAATTCTTTTAACATTTAGTTTTTATTTTGGAACTATTAAAGGATATGGATTAAATGTTCCTTATTTAATGTCTCCATTTGGATTTGTTGACACTCATTATTCAATAGCCTCATCAATGTTAATAATAGGTGGATTTATATCAGCAGGAATGGTATCTAAAGTAGTTTTAAAATTTAAAAGATATAAAGCTATTGGTATTGTTTTACTATCAATATCTTTAATTTTAACATTATTAACATATCCTATTTTAATGACAGAGTAATTTATACCATTATGCATCTAATAATTATTATTAGGATTTTTCTTAATCCCAATGGTTCCAGTCTTAATGGAATACGGTTGTGAAGCAATTTATCCTATAGATGGCAGTTTTTCAATTGGAATCATGGTCTCAGGTTCAACAATAATGGCTTTACTGAGTAGCATTTTATTAACTTATACAGCTAAAGGTAAAGATAGTAATAAGTAAAGTGCACTAATTACTACTATTATTTGGTGCATCATATTTATAATGGGATTTTTATTTTTTTTATTCACAAAAGAAATCTTAAATAAAACAAAAGATTAGGAAAAAAAATTATAATAAAAATCAGATTCAGCAAATTCTAATAAAAATAATTAAACTTCAATTAATGAATCCTTTCATTCTGAAAATATTAAAACTCAAGCTGTTCATCCAACAGGAGATGAATACTTATTTTTATCAAATTCTAATGATTTTAACTAAGATAATAAAAAAAGTGATCAATAATAATGAAGTTTTAGTAAAACAATTTATATTTTACAATTTATTATTAATGATCCAAAATATAGATATGAATTAAAAAGTAATTCTAATCATCAGATATTAATTAATAATTTATTCTAGATTCTCATTTTTTTGTAAATCAAAAAATGGAAATAAATAAATAGATAAATTAAAATTAATATACTATATAAATTTTTCTCATTTAAACCCTTTTTCTGATTAAGATTTTGTCCAAGCCTAAGCAATTGTTCTTTTCATATCATCATCTCCATTTTGATACATCTCTTTCATCATGTTCATTAAAGAAGCTTAAGGGTCATCCTTGTCTACTTTTGATGTATCAGTGTTGATCTATGATTAGTTAAAATTCTTACTAATTTTTCTTTAAATGCCAATTAATCCCAATGCTTGTTCTCCTTTTTTATCAAATTAATGATTAAAGAATTATTAGTTGTTTTAACAGAACATTCTCGATCTTTCAAATCATCAAAAGTCTTTTTAATACCAAATCTAACTTCATATAGGATGTATACCTTTAATTAATTCCTTTATAGTTTTAAATCTTAACATCAACACTATTGATTGAAAAAGAACTAATTATATTCTCTTTTGGTAATTATCCTATTCCTTCAAGGCTTATAATTATTTTTATCTTATTCCCCTCTTAGTCCCAAGCATATTTAGTTATTCCTTAATATAAAAGAATATCTTAATCTTTTGATTGTTATTCTTGTTATTTTTCAGGCTCCACAACCTTTTATGGAGTAAGTATTTTAATAGAGTTTTCTAAATATTTAACTCTATTATTTAAATAATCTATATTGCCTTTACGTTTAATTGTTCCTAAAACCTATTAAACTTCTGCTAAATCTTATTAGAGCTCTTCTATTTCAGACATTTTTAAGAATAATGAAAATTTTATTAAAACTATGTGTCGAAAATTAAGGCATTATATATAATAAATAATTTCTAGAATTTTTGATTTAGGTTTTCTATACTTTTTAAAAGGATAATAATCAATAATTTTATTTGAAAAAGAATTATATATTTTTTATGAAAGATCTCTTTATTTATTAAATAAAAATAATGAACAATCTTAATTGTAAATGGAAATACTATTAAACAAGAAAATAAGCAAGAATTATACAATTACCTAGAATTAGACTTTAAAAGGATTTTAGAACTAAGTCTATTGATGATTTATTTCTGTAGACTAAACTTAATTCTTAAAGAGAGGAAGACAAGGAAGAAGAAAATATTTTACGAGATAGTGATAGAATTATGTATGATAGATCATAATATTTTGAATAGTTGAGTAAGCAAAGAGATAGTAAAATAATATATCAGAACTTAAATTTAGATCAATTTCTGATGCTCTTGTCAAAAAAAAAATAGAGTATGAATATGAAGAGGATTTAACATCTATCCATAATAAATGTGGAATTAAGGTTGTTAATTAAGCTTAAGAAATTAATGATTAGGTCTAAACCTAATTAAATAATCTTAGTGATTATGAAAAGTAGAAATAATAAGTAAATGAAATCTTCAAAAGTCTTTATACATCTCATTAAGAAAAACGTGTAAATATCAAACAACTAGTAAGCGATAGAACTATCAAAAATAAACCTATGGATTTTAATTAACTTAGAAAAAGATTACCAAAAGATAAAATTGGAACAATATATGATCCAACAAGGTTTTAAAATTTATAAGAAAAATTTCACAGAGAAATTGAAGCTAATGCACCTAATAGATCTTTTATTAGATTTAGGCAATTTTTAATTGAAAGAAGAGGAACTTCTTATAAAGATTGATTTATAAAAATTAGTTTTTTTTTTTTATTAAAGATTACTCAATATATAAATAATAAAAAAATAATCTTTATTTGTAAATAGTAAGAATATATATATAAACTTTTTAGTTTTTTTATTAGATTAAAAGGAATATTCTTTTTGAAAGAATTTAGCCAAAGATGATTATATAAGTAATTTAATTAAATATAAATATATCCACTAGGAAAGTTGCTAATTTGTTTTTAAATAAGCTTGCCAAATTTTGCTTTGATTATTCATTTTTTATGTAATAGAACATTTAGAATTTAAATTATATAGCTAAAATTCACTTTTATATTTATTATGCTTAATTAGAATGCAGTTTTTCATATTATTTGATTTTTTCAATACAAACTGAATTCAAAGTGCATAATTATTAAACTTAATTTTACAAATCGTTATTTTCATAGATTTTTTCTTCTTATTAGACTTATAACTATTTGTATTAGCTACCTAAAAATTTATATTAAGTTTCAACAATCTATATATCTTATTTTACTTTCTTTAATTCGTTTTCAAGTTAAACATTTTCTAGCTTAAGTTTTCTAAATTCTTCTCTTTCATTTTGTCTCAAGGCTCTTGAGGTAATTGACTTTTTGTTATGGTTGATTGAGTTCATCTTTATCATTATTATTGTATAAAAAGTCTAATGAATTGATCAGCAAAGTAAATTCAACAAAAGCTTTAATATCAGGACATTAAATTAGATTGATAGAGTATTCCTTTTATCTCATATTTAGATTGAGCGCAACGGATATGTCAAATAATGCAAAACCGGCAATCTTTTTGGTCTTTCCATCACTTAAAATAATATAAAGTTTTCTCTTATATACAATAAGAGATGCAAGCTTACAATTTTTTCTTCATATTTAAGATTAAGTTTTTTTACAATGCATTTGACTTCCATATATTATTCATATTAATGATTAATCTTCATATAATTAAGTAATGAAGAATTTTTATCTAGACTTTTAGTTTCAACGTTGAATGCTATATCTGTGTTTAATGTCAATGAAAGCTTCTTAAATATGATAGTATATGTTAATATTTAATTCATTATGATATTATAAATATTTTATATATTATTAGTGTCAAATATGAAAACTCTCTCCACAACCACATTGGCCTTTCTAATTTGGATTCTTGAAAACGAACTCACTTTTAATGTCATCTTCAACATAATCCATTTCCGTTCCAACCAAGACCATGACTGCTTTGGAATCAACAATAACTTTGACACCTATGTTTTTATGAAAATGAAGACCTTTAGATTCAATAACTTCATCTAATTTATCTGGTCCAGAACAATAATTCATTGTATAAGACAATCCATTACAACCTCGTTTTCTCACTCCTATTTTAACTGCATTAATTGTAGGATTATTCTATTATTTCATAAGTTCAGTAATTCTTTCAGCTGCTTTATCACTCTAAAATTAGATTTAAAATACAATAGTTATTAGATTTCTTTTGGCTCTAAGCTTTGATATAGTACTCATATAAAATTTAATCATTAATTTATATAATTTTGATATAATATAGGATCAAATAGTATTTAATAGTTGTTCAATAGTTGATTCTTAATATAAATTAGTTTTAAACTTCTATAAATTCTTGGAAGGAATATCCTATTCTTACATCAATTCAAGTAAGTAAGAGGTTAGATATTATAATTCTCTATCAGAACAATTATCATAAAAAGGAATGATTGGAATACCATTTTCTATTTAAAAACAAAAAGAGTATGAGGCATTGTCAACCAAAACTAAATCTTTTATATTTCTATTTCCAATTACTCTTAAATCTTTAACATGAAGGCCGTCATCTACAACAACACAACTTTCCCTAAAAAATCGATGATGAACCCATTTTTTATCTGGATCTATATAATTAATAACTTTTTAGGCATAACATTCATGTGAAGCAGTAAATACTATTATTTCATACTTTTGACTCAGTATGGCTAACATTTCTCTACAATATGGTCTAAGATTAATTCCTGCTTAGACTGTTTCTCCAGTAGGAAATTTAATGGTTAATACAGTATCTGCTGGATCATCATTAGATTCTTAACAATGAATCAAAGTTTCATCTAAATCAAAAACAATAGTTTTTTTGACTACATAAATTTTAGAAAAATACATTTATTATCTGGTAGATTTATAATCTTATTAGCAATAGTATTTGATGATGGTTTTACAATATCTTTACAATATTGAAGAGCATGATAACTTTATTAAAAATGATCTTGATAAATGTCTAAAAAGTATTAATTATTTTTTTGGTTAAATAATTATTTGATTTCATTTTTAGATAATTTATTATGAAAGTATCTTAAGAAACTCATATAGTATTCGAAGTCATTATAAGGAGAGGATGGTCCTAAGCTTTATTTAGGCATCAATCTTCTATCTGGAGAGACACTTCTCATTTTAATTTTGGTATCCTTATTTATAGTAGGAGCGGGTAAATAAATATTTTCTTTAGTAGCTCTTCTGATTGGGCTATTCATTCTTTTTCGATCTTACTATTTTTTTGGTATGATACTAGCACCCTTGGAGAGACGCATCACATATTTTGATAAAGGAACAGATGTTTGAGTAGTTAGTATTGGGGTTGTATTTTTTGGTTCAGAAGTATTTTAATCTTATTCTGAAAGTGCAAATACAGTAACTGGTTTAGGAATTTCAATGTCAGGAATAGTTTATTATGACTCATCTTTCTCCTTAGGCACTTCTTTTTATCCTGAACTATTGATTCGTTAGCGTTCTTATGGTTTATTAAACATAGTTCTTTAGATTAATGTAAGTTTCTTTTGTTATTATGGTTATTATTTTTTATCGCTATCAAGAGTACGAGTTGATTTAGGAGGTTCTGGTAATACTAATTTAGGATCACATCGTTGGACATTTTTTTAGTGCACTATTGTATTTTTAGCAGACGGGATTCGTTTTTAAGATGATTTAGGTCTTGAGTTGACCAAAGCTTATAGCAACGATGTAGTAGATTATGTTTACTATATATTTGCAACAGAGCCGTTGTTTCTAAGCATAATTTTAATTATAAAATAAATATAAAACAAATTTATTATGAATATTTATTGGCTTTCCTAATTATATATATTAAATTACAATAAAAAGAAGTGAACTCCCCCTTTATTATAATAAGCAGAATGGGATTTTTAATTTTAGATTATATAAACATAACCTTAATTAAAAATAATATATATAATGAGAAGTCTAAGCAAGATCTTATTTAAGCGTCCTTAGCTTTGGTTATCAAGAGCTTTGCCTACTTTAGGATAAAAATCTTTATTTAAGTATAGTGCAAGTATAATATGGCTAAATTATTTAGATTCAAACAATTTCTAAAATAGCAAACTTAAAACTATTCCATTGTAGAATTATAAGGTAGATGAAAGTGAAATTGATTCCAAATTAGAGCCAACAGATTTCTGTCTTTTTAGTTCAATTCAACCTATTTTTCCGAACAATTCTATGAATTGCCAGATCAAAATAGGAAATTTGAAAAGAATCACTAAGCCTCTCTTGTATTCAATAATTTCACCAGACAATGGAGAGATTTTTACAATAGGCATAGCTTTAAGTAAATCTGTTGAAAAGAATTTAAATGCCGAATTAAAGCTTTTAGAATAACGAGATGCAAATGGTAACATTTTGATAAATGATCCAATGAGCAATACATTTAATTTAGACATAATATCAAGACAAGTATGAGAATCAAATATTTAGAAAAATTATCGATTCAAAATTATTAAAATAGAAATGACACCTGATGGAATCTTTGCACAAGGGATACCTTATAAAGATCGTCCATTAACATAAGCAGAATAAATTATTGATATTCAACATGAAATTCGTATGGTGAGTTCACTTGTACAATAAATAAGAAAATTAGCCTAATATGATAGAGTAGAAGTATTCTCAGAAGTTAAGTATTCTTTATTGGATTCAAGTGAAAAGTTAACTCCAAATTAAGTTGACGAATTAGTATTCTAAATTGCATCAGGCCTATCTAAATTATTGACAAACAATTTAAAAATGAATACATCAAATTTTGTCTAATAATTATTGGAAAGTCAAACTTATATAGATAGATTGTTTATACTTAGAAAACAATTAGAAAATATGTCAGGAGTACTTGATTTAGTGAATAAACATTTTAAGGAAGCTGACTCATCACTTTTGAAGTTACATCAATAAACATTAGCAAAATTAGCAACAGAATTTATTAGATAGAATTATTTAAAGGAGGCTGCATAATCTTAATCATAAGGAGGATAGGGTGGAACTTAATAATATGGTGGTGATAAGGTACTTGTTTCTACAATTAATTTAAAGTAATCATCATTAGTAAAAAAGTACTACGATAAATTATCATTAATAAACGATGAATCTTCTAAAGATAAAGTTAAACGAGAGATTGATAGATTTAGTTTATTAGATAAATAAAGTTCTGAATTTCATAAGATTAATTCTTATTTAGATGAAGTATTTAGCATTCCATTCTAAAAATTTACAGTAACTAATTTAATTATAAAACAAGCCTGTTTAATGGGATATCTAATTTGCAAAGGATGTTTTAGATAAGGAAATTGAAGGTCTGGAGAAAGTTAAAGACAGAATAATTGAAATGATTTCAGTAAATAAATTGAAGAATGCAGGTTAAAAAGCAAAAGGATTTATTCTTCTTTTAAATGGTCCTCCAGGAACAGGAAAAACTTCAATAGCCAAGAGTATTGCAAAAGCCTTAAAGAGGACTTCAAGATTCATTTCTTGTGCAGGAGTAGCAGATCCTACATTCTTCAAAGGACATAAGCGTACATACGTGGATTCAATGCCTGGAGTATTTATAAGAGAATTAATAAAATCAAACACAATGAATCCTGTATTTATTTTAGATGAATTGGATAAAGTATCCAAACATCATTCTGGTGGTGCTGATCCTTATTATACTTTATTAGAAATATTAAATCCAGAAGAAAATCATAATTTTACTGATCATTATATGGATATTAGTGTTGACTTTTCACATGTTATTTTTATTTTAACTTCTAATGATACACTTTAAATGTTGGAGCCATTAAAAAATAGATTAGAAACTATTGATATTTAAGCTTATATTTAAGAAGAAAAATTATCTATTGCTACCAATTTTTTAGTTAATAAAAGTATCGAATCAAATGGTATAAACCCTTAAATGATTAAATATGATGAATAAGCTTTAACTAAAATAATTAAGGCTTGGTGTTATTAAGAAAGTGGAGTCAGAGAATTAAAAAGATGCTTAGAAAAAATTGCTAGAAAACATGCTACAAATTTATTAACAACTAATCCTAATCTTTGTGATAAAGTTGATGAACTAAATCAAATTATTTTTGATCCTACAAGTTAATGTTTAGATTTGACTAAAGATTAAAATTTAGAATTAATATCTTAATATTTAGGTCCTCCTATTTTTGATATTTAATTAGAATAGAGATCTGTTAAGAAATTTCCACCAGGTTAAGTCAATATTTTAACTGTTGGTGGAATGATTGGACATGTCTTAACTGTAGAATCTTGTTTTGATCCAAGTGAATAAGAAAAGAAGGGATAAATCTTATCATCTGGAAATATAAAATCAGTGTTATAAGAATCACTTAAATTAGCAAAAATAAATGCATTTAAATATTTGAATGAAGAATAAAAATAGAAATTATCTACATCTGCAATACATATGCATTTTACTGAAGGAGCTACTCCAAAAGATGGACCATCTGCAGGAACTGCAATTACAACTGCTTTATTAAGTTTAATTATGAATGTTGTAGTACCTAGTAATTTAGGAATGACTGGAGAAATTTCATTAAATGGATAAGTATGTAAAATAGGTATTAATTTTATAAAATTATTAGGGGGATTATAACAAAAATTAATTGCTGCAAAAACTTTAGATATAGTTGACATTATACTTCCATATGCTAATTTAGGTGAAGCATTAAATTTACCTCATCAACTTATAAAAGGTCTGAATTTATATTTTGTTACAGATTACAGATAAATTTATGAATTGATATTTGAGCAATAGATTGCTAATAACAATTATACAATTAATAAAATTAAAAATGGTGTATACGAAACAGATTAAAATGGATTTAAAGAATAAACATAATGTTCATCTAATTATTGAATAAATAACTGATCATTATTATTATTGTTATTAATAAATTCTGAAATATATGAATGATATATAAAGGTCTTGAATAATATATATATTTTCAAAAAATAGATAATAATTCTTTAGGAGTTGCGTATCTCAATTTTTCTCCATCTTCAATAAAAACTATTTCATGTCTTTCTACTATTCTTTCTAATTAATTTTAATCTAATGAATATGGAATGATAACAAATTCTTTGGATTGTACTTTTTTAGCTAAATCTCTCTAATATAATAAATACTATATTATACATTATTTAGTTTTTTGTCAACTAAAGCAGTTAATAATTTTTTTTAAAAGACAACTGAGATGAGTTTTCCATTTTTTGATAATGGAACAGCAGGATAAACTCTTAGGTAGTCTAGACATTATGCAATGGAAGTAGTATCTAAATCTAATGGAATAATTTCTGGTAGATTAAGTAAAGAGATAGGTTTTCCAGCTAAAGGATGATCTGATTCTTTTAATTCATCATAAGATATCAATTAATTTTCAATCATCCAAGTTTTATTTAAATGTTTTGTCATATAATTTCTAATATTATCTGGTAAGATAACAACAATCTAATGAATAAATTAATAATTTACCCTTTATTATTCTGTAAAGTTTTGTGATTTAGCCCATTCAAGTGCTCCCCAAACATTAGCGCCAGATGATCCCCCACAAAGAAGTCCTTCTTATGACATCAATTTACGTGCCATATTCAAACTTTCTTTATCATTAGATTTAATCCAATAATCAACTTCTGTCTATTTGAAATAAAAATAATATATACTCTATCAAGTACTTTTGGTATGAAATCATATCCAATTCCTTCAACTTTATATGATTTGATATCAGTCTTATTAATTTCTGAAGGTAATGCCAAATCAGATCCATATGGATCAACAGCTATAACCTTACATGTAGGTATCCTCTCATGCATTTTTCTACCTACTCCAGTGACTGTACCTCCTGTTCCAGTTGACATTACTATTGCATCCAATTTATCATCACATGCCCATAATATTTCTTCAGCTGTCCCTTCATAATGTGCTAATGGATTTGATGGATTTGAATATTAATCTAAAAGTATAATATCAGGATTCTCAGCTGCCATCCTTTTTGCCACTTATATCAATGATTCAGGTTCATACCAAGCTGCTTCTGTTGGTGTTCGAATAACTTTCGCTCCAAGTCCTGTTAAAACATCTTACTTTTCTTATGACATCTTTTCTGGCATTGTTATATATAAAGGATATCCTTTTACAGCACATGCTAATGCTAAACCTACACCAGTGTTTCCAGAAGTAGCTTCTACTATTGATTTACCAGGTCCTAATCTCCCTTATTTTTCTGCATCAACTATCATTCTTACTCCTATTCTATCTTTTATTGATCCAGCTATATTAACAAATTCACATTTCACTAACACCTCACACTTCAAACCATATTCTTTTGGAATCTTATTCAAACGAATTACAGGAGTATGTCCTATAGCATCTAAGGCATCATCATATATCTTCTTATATGGAATATATTTGCTATTCGAATGTGGTGTTGGTGCTTCCTATTCAACCAGACCTCTTTTGTATGTGCATTTGATAGTGTCTTTCGAAGTGTCTTAAATCATTTTTAAAATAGCCAATTTTAATCAATGGGGGACCCTTTTATAACTACGGGGTTCGATTAATATTACGAACTCATTAATCCTAATTCTTAATTTTAACATGGCTTTAAAAATTGTTTCATTCAAAGTATGGATTATTATTCATTCATTTAAAATTGTCACATTAATATTATATAATTAATTTAGGCTATTTATAGTTAAATTTCCTTTATTATAATATTTAAATTTTCTTTCTTTAAATTTAATTATTATAAAAATCAATATTATATATATTTTATATTATATACTATAAAACATTAATAAAAATAATAAAAAAATCATTCAAGTTGTTACAATTTTTACAATTCATTTTATTCATCATCTTCAACATCCATCCATGTTTCTTTTTCTAATTAATCTTTCAATTCTAAAGTAGCTGTCCAAATTTCCTAATATATAAAAAAATATATTTACTTAATCATTTTTTGCATCAGGTAATAAAAGAATTCCATTCACTATCTTTTAACTTTCTTCATATTTTTATGCCTTCCATAATGCAAAAGCAAGCATATATAAACTTTCTGAATCTTCAGCATTTCTATCTACAAGCATTCTCAATATTTTAATAGATTAATCAAATAACTCTACTTCCACCAATAACTTTCCAACTTGTAGAATGAAATCTTCATCATAATCTTCCATTTCTTTTTCCAACTTTTCATAAATAACTCTTAAATCTTTTTTGGCTGCCTCTTCATCTTCTTTATTAAGATGAAAATTTGCCAATTATAGAAAAGCATCCAAATTCAAAGGATCATATTTAAAAGCATTATTTATTGCATCAATACAAACTTATTCTGATTCTTTGAATTAAAGTAAATCAGTTTAATAAACTTCAGCTATTGCAGCAAAAGCATCTCCGATATCTCTCTTAGAAGCATTCCTTTGTAAAGCCAATTAAATTCCATACTCATACATCTAAATAGCCTACTTTCCCTATTAAGTCTGTGCATACTTAAATAATAATTTATAACAATGTTCGTATGAACTAAGTAATTTAATTTGTGGATATACGTGATTAAATCTTATTAATTCAAATATGGTGTTAGAGCTGCTTATAATTCCTCAACAAGACCCATCTATTCTAAACAATCTGTATATTAATCTAAAGCTTCTATATTTTTATGGTTTCTTTTAAGGTAAAGTTAATATGCAGATTTTGCTTAATCAAGATGGAGAGCCTCATAAAGATCATTTGCAAAATGAAGAAGAGTCTCACTTGAATTATATCAATCATTATACTTATCCATCGCTGTGACTTTATCCCAATCTATTGTACTCTCTTCCATTTTGAATCTTTTTTTTATTTAAATTAATTTTTATAAGAAATTCTCTTTCTCATAAAATATGATATTAAATACAATAAAAATTGAATCAAAATCAATTCTTTCTACGTCTATTATGTTTTTTCTTTTATACTTTCTTTAAATCTTCTTAATAAAAATCTTTACGATTATTAATAANATAAAACATTAATAAAAATAATAAAAAAATCATTCAAGTTGTTACAATTTTTACAATTCATTTTATTCATCATCTTCAACATCCATCCATGTTTCTTTTTCTAATTAATCTTTCAATTCTAAAGTAGCTGTCCAAATTTCCTAATATATAAAAAAATATATTTACTTAATCATTTTTTGCATCAGGTAATAAAAGAATTCCATTCACTATCTTTTAACTTTCTTCATATTTTTATGCCTTCCATAATGCAAAAGCAAGCATATATAAACTTTCTGAATCTTCAGCATTTCTATCTACAAGCATTCTCAATATTTTAATAGATTAATCAAATAACTCTACTTCCACCAATAACTTTCCAACTTGTAGAATGAAATCTTCATCATAATCTTCCATTTCTTTTTCCAACTTTTCATAAATAACTCTTAAATCTTTTTTGGCTGCCTCTTCATCTTCTTTATTAAGATGAAAATTTGCCAATTATAGAAAAGCATCCAAATTCAAAGGATCATATTTAAAAGCATTATTTATTGCATCAATACAAACTTATTCTGATTCTTTGAATTAAAGTAAATCAGTTTAATAAACTTCAGCTATTGCAGCAAAAGCATCTCCGATATCTCTCTTAGAAGCATTCCTTTGTAAAGCCAATTAAATTCCATACTCATACATCTAAATAGCCTACTTTCCCTATTAAGTCTGTGCATACTTAAATAATAATTTATAACAATGTTCGTATGAACTAAGTAATTTAATTTGTGGATATACGTGATTAAATCTTATTAATTCAAATATGGTGTTAGAGCTGCTTATAATTCCTCAACAAGACCCATCTATTCTAAACAATCTGTATATTAATCTAAAGCTTCTATATTTTTATGGTTTCTTTTAAGGTAAAGTTAATATGCAGATTTTGCTTAATCAAGATGGAGAGCCTCATAAAGATCATTTGCAAAATGAAGAAGAGTCTCACTTGAATTATATCAATCATTATACTTATCCATCGCTGTGACTTTATCCCAATCTATTGTACTCTCTTCCATTTTGAATCTTTTTTTTATTTAAATTAATTTTTATAAGAAATTCTCTTTCTCATAAAATATGATATTAAATACAATAAAAATTGAATCAAAATCAATTCTTTCTACGTCTATTATGTTTTTTCTTTTATACTTTCTTTAAATCTTCTTAATAAAAATCTTTACGATTATTAATAACTTCTCCATCCTAAACAAGCAATGCATCTTAAGTTTAAAATGCTTATGTCTTAAAAACAGGATGCTTTAGTTTGATATTATCAATCTCATTAGCTAAATTCATAGAATTATCCCATTTTCCTTTAGAAAAGTTAATTCTCGATTCTTTTAATTATTAAGTGATCGCATCTAAGAGACCTTTATCAATAACATCAATTTCCTTTCCATCTAATTACTTCTTTTCTTTTTAAGCATTTATTAAATAAAATATTTCATTAATTTCATTTTCACACTTCCTTGAATAATACAAATCCCATGGTAATTAAACTAATTCTTTTTATGAATCCAATATATTAATTATGATAATTCCTTATGGTGTAAGCAATGTTTTAAGTTTATTCAAAAATTCAGCTGACAAAAATTATTTAGGTGGTGATAATTAATTAGCTTGAGAAGCTAAAATATAAAAATAATAAATTTACCATTGATATCAATAATAATAGTATCATATTAATGACATTCTAAAATTTAATCTACATAATCAAGTGCATCACAACATACTAAATTTTCAGAATCTGTGTTTTTGAAATCAAAAAATTATTTAGCAACATTGACAATATCTTCACTTAATTCAATATTAGTAACCTTTACTCCAAAATGTTCATTTATAAATCTACTTAATAATCCTACACCTCCTCCCAAAATAAGAACTTCTTTTGCTTTATTAAAAGCTAATCCTGCAACTATGGCTACATAAGCTTCAAAATCTAAATATGAATTATCGACTTTATTATTGATAATTTTAGCTTCACTCTAAATTAAATCTAAAGCACTTTTTATTATTAGTCTTCTATATTTAATATCATCAATATTAAGTTCCTCTACTAAACAATCATCAGCTTCAAAAATTATATTTTTTTCACCAATCTCATCTCCATCAGTTAAAAATGGACAAGGTATATTAGTGCATCCTTTTGGTATTAGTTATTTCATTGGTTCAGATAATTCTTATTATACTTATTTCATGTTATTGAATTTATGACCAGGATTCATACGTGCTATTACACATCTTGACATTTTCATTTATTTTATTAATTCTTTATGTCCTTATTCAGTTCCAAATAAAAAAGATTGTTCTCTTCCTTAAGGAACTATAAAACACCCACAAGTTTTTTATAATAAAATTTTACTATCATCATTATCATATATATCTAATTTATATCTAGGAGTTTATTTATTGTTATTATCCCAAATATCTAAGGTAAAACTTTGGCTTTATCTTAGTTTATGAATTGATGTAACAAAGTGATTTTGTAATTATATTTTTTTTATAATTTCTTATGCTTATTTAATGTTTAAAGTTTGAACATCCTTTTACAATTAATAGAATTAAATAGATTTTTATTCATTTTTATCAATAACAATAAAAAATGGATAAAGTTTACTTTTTTCAATAATGCATTCATAAATTTCAATATTATATTGTAACTACAAAAGAGTTTTAAGAATATGATCTTATAAGAGGGAAATAATAATAAATTTCCCAGTCTTTTTTAGTATTCTGAGCATATTTGCTAAATAAGTATTTACTTAAGGAGTTTCTTCATCTGGAAAAATAGCATCAAGAGTTCCTTTATCAAGAATAACATCAAATTATTCTGATTAAATATTAATATCTTCAGTTAATGACATACATTAAAATTACATTTCAGGTCTCTTATTTTCAGATCGCTTTCGCATTTAATCAAGTGACTAAAGCATAATTAATAAATAATTACAATTTTTTCATAATCGACGTTGATAATATTTTTACATATACCATTATCATAAAGTTATTCTGATAGGAGGGATTTACCACAACCAGCATGAAAAACACTATCATCAACTTTAATGAATTTTTTAAACAAATGATTATAGCTATCATAATTGCCATACCACTCAAAATATTCACTCTATTAACCCTCTTTCTTAATCTTTTTGAAGAATCGTTACCAATATTATTTGTTCATAAAATCTCTACATTATGTAGGTAATACTCCTTGCATTTACCACAAAAATTAATTTAATAATAAATGAACGACCTTCGAATGCACAAGTTATAACAATTCTTTACTAAATCAAACATTTATCAAAATAATTCAATATAACAGATAGAAAGATAGAAATTGACAATCTCTAATGATGTTGAACTTAAAGATTAATCATAAATTGAAGATAAACAAATTCATGTTGTTCGTCCTTATTAAACTGATTTTGATAAAGACATGTGTAAAATCATTGATATTTTTAGATCTTATGGCTAAACCATTGATTTAACCTTTAATTTAATTGAATATTGTAAGTAAGCCAGAAATCAATAATGTGAATTTATCACACTAATTGCATAACTAATTAGACAAAGCTATCAAGAGATCAGAGAATTTTCTAACTCTAAAAAAACAACCAAATCATTTTCTTAATCAATTAAGATAGTAAAATAAATAGAATCAACTAACAGAAAAGAAATCGTAAAATTAAATTCCAACAAAAGAAATCAAACAAATTGATTCAAATGATTATGATTTTAAAGTGATTAATAAAAGGCCACTTCCTGATTAAACTGTTGGAATTAAATTACCAAAATTTATCAAAGACATTTATTAAATTGGATAAACTGCTGAAGATCTATAAGCTAATGATGAATCCTTTCGTTTTAAAGAAGAAATCAATTCTTAATAACCAGTGAATAAAATTGATTTTGATTGTCTTCTTAATATTGCTGCAGGTTAAGTAGATGAACATACTATGGCTGAATTAGTTAAAAATGTTATTGTTGCCAAAAAGAAGGAACTTAATAATCCTCTTTTAAATGATTCTATTGAACAATGTGATGTTTCTGTTGAGGCTTATCCTATTAAATAAGATCAATATGTTTAAATGTCATCTAAAGCTTTGCCAAGTGTTTAAACTGTTTTAAATGGAATTCGTTTAGCAAAAAATTAATACTACTTAAGTTAAGAAAAATAAGAATGCAAAACTATTATTCGTTAACATTTAGAAGAATTAATGTTAATTTTAATGTAAGGTTATCCATAATAATCCGGAATGAGTTAATCACTTGATTTTTTACTCTCTCTCAATAAATCAGAACTTGCTGTTCCATATGAAGGAATGAGTAAATTGGAATTACTATATATATTTGTTAATGAGTATAAAGCATTTTAAATGCTTGATTAAGCTTAATCCTCAACAAATTAATTCAATTAAACTGTAAGTAAACGATACTTAAAACCTACTAAAGCTGCTTAAATGAAGACAATTAAAAAAAAATGAATTCAATTTACTTTTACTTATTTAAAATATTAATTCTTTTTCTTAAAAATAAATAAATATAATAATTAATTATAATGATTTCATTTGATTATTTATTAAAAAAGAAGTTAGGCTCAAAAATTTATCAACTTAGGACTTCTAATAATAGAATATTGTATTTGCGAATATATTATAAATAATTTGGTTGCAAAACATCTTTCGATCCTTTCAGTAAAATTAGTATATTATACAGTTCTGTAATCTAACAATTATAATGAAATAATAATTCTTAGATAGCAGAACTGTGTTAGGAGCAACTAATCTCTAAGGTTTAGTTAGCTGAAACAATTATATATTTGAAATAGAATTTGTCTTTTTAATAGATTTGAGAAGTAAAATGTTAAAATGTTAATAATTAGGAATCTTTGAATGAAAAAGAAAAATGAATAAGTTTTGGGTTTGAATATAAATTGTATTTATTTTAATTGAATTTTAATTTCTAATATATTAATTCATAGATGATCAGAAATATGTGGAGAGAGCAAATATTATTATTTATGTTTGAATTTAATTAGTTTTAATGATTAAGATAATAATTAAAGAAACAACTCTTTTAAATTATTTAAGAAGAATAGTTTTAATCCTATTAATTTACATTTTTATAAATATATTTATATTTAATAATTCATAATCCATCAGGATATTATGCTTATGTAAACCATGGATGATAGAGGGCATCTTTAGCTGAAGGTCTAATAAAATAAATAAACTTTTTCATACCTTTTTGAAGGATCAATATGTAATAACTATTTAACAAAATCTAAAAAGAACATGTCATCTGTTTTAAGTCTAGCCTTTAGATTTGATTTTTTAGGAACCAATATTTGAATTAATCCAGTTTTTTTTCTTTTTACAGAAGCATCTGACATATCAGGATTAGGATAATGTTATTATTAATCTTCCATAGCATCCTGATATAATAATTTCTCTTTTGTGAAGAATTAATTAACTAATCTACCATCCTTCATCATATTTTCTGGAAATGGACCAATTATACCTATTACTCTAGCTAATAATCCTTATACAGTATCATTTTAAAATAACACATATCCAGTCCATAGTTCTGCTAAAATACATCCAAGTGACCACATATCTATTTTATAATCATATTTGCATCCAATTATAACTTCAGGTGCTCTATAACTTCTTGATTAAACATAACTACTCAAATGATCATGTATAAAACATGATGATCCAAAATCAATTACTTTACATTCACATTTACTTATAGATTTCATTAATATATTTTCAGGTTTCAAATCACAATGAATTAATTTGAGGGAATGTATGTAATCTAAAGCAATTAAGATTTATTTTGTCAACTAAATAAATTTTATATTTTATTACTTTCTATAATCTACCAACTGTAAAATAGTTTACTTTCTCTTTTTCTCTATAATATTTATAAAATTCATAAAGATTATCTTTTAATAATTCAGTAACTAAAAATAAATGCTCTTTATGATAAAAGAAATCATATAATCTGAGCACATTCTTAACATCACAATCTCCATTACAATTTATATATCTCAATAATTTAATTTCGTCAATACTTTAATCCATATAATCTTTGTTATTTTCAATTATCTTCATACATACTTCCTTTTATGATTGTAAATCTAAACATTTTACTGCTTTTGAAAATGCAGCTGATCCTAAATATTCTAATATTTGATATCTTCCAGCAATAATTGAATTAATCACAATAGGAAAATCTTTTGTTTCTTCAAATCCAGTTCTTTCCCTATCAAAAATAACTTTGAGATTGAAACAATCATAAATAACTCTGTCAAATTCTACAGGGTAGAAATCATCTGTAGAATCTGGATGTTTTAATGTAGGAGGTAGATAAATATATCCTTTCCTACTTTCTTCTTAAGATTTTTATTAACTTTTTAATAAGACTGCACTATCATCTTCATTCTCACAATTAACCTCATCTTTTTTCTTTTTAAGTTAAGCAATAGCTCTTTATGGAAAACCAAACTTATCTGCTAATTATTTAGCCACTTTAATAAAATCTTTTTCACCAACCTCATACAAATCAAATCCTGGATCATCATCATCATTATATTCATCTATTATATTTTTATTTTCTTCCATATCATGAAGTACAAATGATTATGAATTTTAAAGAAAGAATGATGAATCATTACATCCACTTTCAGGTCTTATAATAGATGGCATTTTAGCTGTATCTATGCCTTCAAATTACTAATGTTTAGCAGCAGATCTAGAGACATCTTCTTCTGTAAATAACTCATCTACAGAAGGAGACTTTTCGAGAACTTATTATTTTTTATGTTATAATGGCTATTAGATTTTCCCAAATACTATTTAATCACTTTCTTAACTTTCTAAAATAATAGTAAAAACTATATTAATTACATTTACCAAAACAAGGAGCTTATTATTATAATAATTATTATTCTTCACTTGTTTCAGTTTTTTTCTTTTTGAGAATTGAATTTGAAATAGAAGTATTTGAAATATCATGAAATACATCTGCTTAATCTACCATCTTTTAGAATGTTGCATTATCAAAATAACGTTCAATCTTCTCATTAAGTGTCTCATCTTCTAATAAATTAGGTTTGGACACCAATCTATTCATTAACTTTTCCATAATTTGTTCTGTTTGCTCTTATGTAAATACTTTTGGTTTTCTACGTACTGCTTATCTGTCGACCACTGGTTTCTTCTTTTCTTTCTTTTTCTACTCTAAAGCTTAACATATAATGTCTTTCCAATAATTCAAATATTTGTACTCATTAGCATTTATTGTTATTACTTCTCACATTCAATTTCATTTTTCATCATAACTTAAACATTTATTTATATTTTATTTACTTATCTCTTCCTTCAATTTACGAGCTGATTATTAAAGACCAGACTACTCCAAAAATTTAACTATTGTTTTCAATGCTTCGTTCATTAATTATATAATTATTATTATATATACTTATTTATTATATTCATTTATATCTTAAATTATTATTCAGCTATTTTTTATTTAAATAGCTTTCATATTCTTGAAAATTCCTATAAAAATATTATAATGTCAAATTAAGACATCAATGAACTTCCGCAAATTAAAGTCAATGTACCCTCTTTCTTGTTGAAAACATATGAAATTCTTGAAGTATACCATTTTATACTATTATTTCTTATTCAGAATCCCACTCTTTCTCATATTATTACTTGGAATCAAGAAGGCAATGCATTTATTGTCTTAAATTCTCAAGAGTTAGCTTCTAAGGTTCTTGCAAACTATTTCAAGCATAAAAACTATCCCAGCTTTCTTAGGTTATCTTTTTATTCATTATAGATAGCTTAATATGTATAGTTTTAAAAAAACCAAAAATCATTATGGATAAAGTAAGTTTAAACATAAATGGTTTAGAAAAGGACTAAAGTAAAATAATTCTATAATATTACTAGAAGCATGCTTTAATACGTTCGTAGAAGAAATTCCGAAGATTCTGAGAATAAAATTGAGATAAAGAACACTAATAATCAAGAAATCGATAATTATTAGTAATAGCATGATGAAATGAAAAAGGTTGTTCGAGATATTCAAACAACTTAACTTCAAATGTAAGTTGATTTCTCAGCTTCCATGGAATAAAATGCTTCTTCTAATCGTTCCTGTCACACAATTATATAGGTTTGAAGTTATTTTTGAATTTTAGAGTCTCAATCAAATGTAATAGTAGTTCAATAAAAAATTTGATAATCTTTATCTCCTCTTAATTAAGATTGGTTCTTATATTCCTAATTTTAGTATTATTATCTTATATTTTCTAAGCACATTCAATTGGAGATATTTCTAAATACTCTTATGAAGAACCTTCTCCAAGTAGATTATTAGAATAGAATTATCTTATTCCTTTTAATGAGAATAATAACTAATACAGTAATTTAGGATCACCTTATCATTAATACTCTTCCAATAGTCCCATTCATTTTCTTTTGTCCAGATAAAATTAATGTTAAGTTTATAAATAAATTCTAGAATTTTAAGATTATTGCTTTTAGTTTGATCCAAACATTTTCTCATTTAATAAATCAAATCAATAATAATAGCTTGCACTCCCTGCTCCTGTCACAAATTCATATTTACGTATTCATTAATACCTATACCATTTAAGCTAGCAATAATTATTCCTTGTAATCAAGTTCATAAAATTCACCTTATAGAATTTCAAGTCCTATTCATACTTCTTCCAATGATTCCAAAATCCCAGAAAAAGTATAATATTTATTTAACAAAACTCTAGTTTAATTTTTTCTAATAAGCATGAATTATAATATTTAAAGTATATTAATTTAAATTTTATAATATATATATATTCATTATTAATCTGGATAAAAGTCAATACTTATTAAATTGGTGTTTCTTGAGAGTTAGGCAATAAATTTAATAGATTTACATTCTTTCAAAGTCGTCGGTTATTATTATGAAACATCTGTTGATTGATTAATGAAATTATTTGAAATATTCAAATCGAGTTTTCTTTTGGGTGATGCATAAACATTCATTTTTTTCAATAATAATTTTGTTTATTCAGGTGATCGACCTCTTTATGTTTTCCATCCATATGTTTTCTTTCTGACATTTACAGGTAAAGCAAAAGAACTTGAAGAAAGAGGAATATTCTCAATTTTATAAATTTTAGGGTTCATTCTTAATTTTTATCCTAGATTTTATGCATTATTTAATGCCCTTATAGGGGATAATAATAAATCTTTAAAAATACTCCTACTTCTAGGGGAATTAGGAATTTAAGTTGGTAATATTTATTTGTTTATGTCTAATAATTAAATCTCATAATTATCTTTATGTTATAATGTTCTAACCAAGAATCCATCATCCTTATCACAAATATGACTTTATCTGACTATTAGTTATTCATTAATTTTTTCAACATTATTTTATTTCTATTAATTATTTTCTTAAGTATTATAACTTAATTATCCAGCCCTAATAACTACATTATCCATATGTTTTTTATTTCTACTCCAAGTTTCTAATTCATAGATACATATTGGATGATTTAATGAACATTATTATTTTCGTAAATCTTCAAGAAATACATTAAGAGATGTCACTCTTTTTATATCACTTGATTAAACTGTTTATACAACCTAATTTGATATATCTTATCTAATATTTTGTAATAATTTATTATTAATATAAATTTTTTGATATTCTTCAATAAAGATTTATCTATCTTGAAATTTTGAAATAAAGTGTTCAATTGTCATTATAAGAGTTCCTATATCATTAGCTTACATTATCGAATCTTCTAATAAACTTATATATGTTAATGTAGATTTAATTTAAGCTTTTGAACCATCAACTAACAGAAGATCAAAAATAGTATCTGTTAATTTATTATGAAATGTAAAACAACAAACCAACCATTATATTGTAAATAAACTAGTTTCAATAGATAAGTTTCTAAAATGTTCCATCAAATGTGGCTTTTCTTTTTATAGAATTAATCTTATTATTTCATCATCACTTAAAACTCCAAATAAATGATTATAATAATTTTGAGGCAAGAGAGTTTCGAATAAATGACATAAAAACCAAAATGCATCCTTAATATAATTTCATTAATACCTCTTCTGAGTACTATTAATTCTATAATAAGTAATGTGCAATATAATTAAATCCTTAACAGTATCCAATTTAAGCATTCCTAATCACATAAGCTGTTAAAACATTTGATAGTTTTTATTGCATTTCTTCATTACTTGATGTACGAACTACATCTTTTTGAATGGTGTCTTTAAAATAATTTGGAAATTCGTTCATGTTTAGCAATTTTGCATAATAATTTGGATAGGCTTCTTTATTTTTAATAATATTTGCTAAAATTGGCCAAAAGCAAGTTAAAGGTGCATTAAATCTATCACTTAATTCTTCTCTGACTGCTTTATGTATACAACTGAATTTATTAGTACAGTAACTTAATAACTAATTAAACAATTTTAATACCTCAGCATTATTCAGAGTCTTATAGAATTTACGTAATTTATCTATACATTATTTATTTTTAATGGATTAGTTTCTATTCATATCTCCTTTAATACTTTTGATATACTATTTGCTAAGATTTAGATCTAGCATAGTTTAAATGAAATCTATATCATTTTTCATTAATTTTTATATAAATGAATCCGAAACAACTATTCTAAGATAAATATTAATAGATTAGAGATTTCTTACTTTCTTCTTCTGATGAAAGAAATAATGAACAGTTGATAGATATAAGAAATATTCTAGAAAGTTTCGCCTTTTTCATTCAATTTACAAAGTATAGTGTATTAAAAATGCTTTAAGTACAAAATCATAAGAGTTTATAGAGATGTGTCGATATTTATAATTAGAAGTTTATGAATATGAGTAAACACTTTTTAAATAGGGCGATCCTGCAGATAAATTTTACATTATTTTAAAAGGAGAAGCCAGAATATTGATAAAAAGTCCTGGTTTGGATGAAATTAAATAAGTTGGTATTTCAGGGGTTGGAGATTGCTTTGGTGAATTAGCATTGTTATTTAATTCTGACAGAAATGCTACAATAGTAGTTGGAAAGTAAACTGAATTAATGGTTCTTCATAGAAATGATTTCAATAAATATATGAAATTTCATTCTTCTGAACAAGCGAATCAAGTAAAGAACCTTTTTATAAATACAAGGCATATAATCTTTTAAATGTGATAGAGCCATTTCTTTCATTAAATTTTCCAGATAAAATTAGACTAGCTAGTAAGATGGAATATCGAACATTTCAATCTAATTATGCATTCATAAATTAAGGATAGACTTTAAATAATTTTTATGTAGTTGAAACAGGTTCAGTAAAACTTTATCGTACAATACCATTCAATATTAATAAAAATGGTTTAATATAATTTTAACATAAATATGATCCTACTAAATAAAGTAGAAATCTTAAAATAGAGATTGATGAAATTGGGCCTGGTAAATATATAGGTGATTATGAATTATAACATTACAAACCTAGTCAATATACTGCTGTTACAGGAATGTAAACAACATGTTTTGTTATTTCTCTTATTGATTTCAATTTAATGAGTTAATTCTAATTAGCAGAAGTCTGTAGAAATTCTAAGCCTTATCCTACAGATGATCATATCAGAGAAGCCTTTCTTGATGGTATTAAATGGAGAATTTTTAGAGTATTTTATTTACATCTATCTTTATTATAGAAATAAATGGTTTCAAAATTATAATTAGAATTAAAAACATGCAGTGATGTTAGAGATCCTACAACATTACCTAAATTTTAATATCAAAAAGATCTTCGTCAATTTGCTCTCAAAACACTCTCATATGATAAGTTGATGGATTCTTATTTGAATTCTAATTCTGATCCTCCTTAATCATAAGCTGGTAGTTTAGTTTTTAATGAATTAAATAATAAAAGTCCATAAAAAAAAGAGAAACCCTTTTTTACGAATGTGGATGAAGCCATTAAAAAATTAAAATAATCTTAAGGAGGCAGTCGTAGTAAAAAATAAATTCTTCCTAAAATAAATCCTAAAGTTGGCTCAGATATTTATAATATATTAGTAAAGAAATGATTATTAACTTCTTAAAAATAAAATTAAAATGAATCAAATTTCCCAAAACATCCTTGTCCAAAAACTAATCGATTACAAATTAAGGTACTTAAACTTAATTATGGACAATATAGAAAGAACAAAAATAAGAGAAAGGCTAGTCCTTAGTATTCACCACCAAATATGCCGATTTCATAAAGACAGACATCCTTTTCTAATGGTCATGCATATTCCATTCATTAAAAATTGAAATCAATTCAAAGTTAACAGAAAGTATTCATTCCTCAGGCTATGCCACAGTCTCTGATTTGATCGATCTATTAAGCCAAATGTTTCGAATTATTCAATAGTATGAATAGCAGGCAAGCCATCTTTGGTCCAAAAATCTTGAGATGTTGAAACAAATCAAGATCCCAATCCTCCAGGAAAATGAAGATTTGAAGCTTACTGTTGAAACCCTAAAATAAAATGATATTCAAAATAGCGTCTATGGACAATTAAAAGAGTATGAATAAATTGATAAGCCAAAACCTAAATTAATTAATCTGTAACACATTAATAGAGATTCAAATTTTCAAGAAGAATTTATGTCTAAAGTAAATGAATTTAGTTTATCATGGCGCCAAGAAGTGCAATAGCTAAAGTAATTATGAATGAATATTTTGAATTTATTTAATATTCAAAATAAATATTATAATTTGTATCTTTCCAAAACATTTTATTATTTAACTCAAAATTTTATTCAATTAAATCATATTTTACATTTTACTAAATCCCTGTTAATGCAATTTTTCAAAATTCAAAGTATCAAAATGAATTCAAATTATTTTTAATGAGTTTTTTTATTCTAAAACATCAAATAATATCTTAATAAATTGATAAAATTACTTTTAGTCCATCATTTTTGTAATATTTTAAAATAATTTTTATGTTAGATATTATAGTTGATTCTTTAATATAGTTCTAAAAATAAATTTGAAAATACAGGTCTTTATTTAATCTGCTAGATCCTTCATTTAAAGGATCTAGCAGATTATTATTTAAAATTGTACAAACGAATTTACTGATAAGAATTAAATAATAATTTAAATTCAGAAGATTTTACTGAGTAGTATTAAAATTAGTATCAAATCTAATAAAAATTTATTAATTTGATCAAATAACAGTTGATTATGATAAATCTATATTTTATTATATAAATTATCGCACCTTGGATCTTCAATAATAAACCCAAATTAAATTAAAGTATAAATACTATTTTGATATTGTTTTTAATTAAAATATAAGATATTTAAATTTTTTATTTAAACAAAGAATTTAAGTAAAACTTCATTTCAAATATCAGTAATTACCTTCTAAAATGTATTCATATAATTTATTTATTTGTATTTACTCTTATCTTCCTTAAGTGTGAGCTCTAGTACTTTTTGATAAATGCCGCTAACTTAAATTCAGGCCTTTTTGAATGTTAGAAGTCTTTGTTTTATTTTCCTAAGACCCTTGCATTAGAATTAAAAATAAATACCTTCTTATTTATGAGCTAAAGAAAAGAAAAATTGTTTGACAATAAATTAAGAAGATGATTGCTTTATTTTTTAATTAATTACTTCCTCTTAAATTAAAGTATCTTCTAACTCTTCTTAGACACTCCTATACATTTCTTGCTGGCTTTAGGATTTTTACTTTGGGTAGTCTTAGCCAGCAATCTGATCTTTTAGAATCAAAGCATTTGAGTTCATTTATAAAAGTTACGGTTAATTTTTTTATTTTTATGATTTTCGAACCAAACTTGATAATGGCAATAATATATTAGAATCAGATCCCTTCTTATCCATTAAAGTATTATTAATGGATAAAACTTTAATTTGCTAAAATTCCTGCTTATCACAATTCTTAGAGTTTTAGAGGCTAAAAATATGGCAATTTTTACATCTTAAAACATGACTTTTCTTTTCTAATTAAATGATTAGATATTTTGGTATCTTAATATTTATGCTATCGAAAAACATTATTTTCTTTTTCTTTTGTTTTAATATTATTTATTTTGGTGTTTATTTTATCAGTAAAATTCTCAGTCTTTGAAATAAGTGTCTAATTAATTTATAATATACTTTTTATGATTGATTAGTAGGTATAGAAGCATGTAATTGTACATGATATTTTTTAATTAGATTTTCATGAGATTATTTTTTATCATCACATTTTTCAGGATCCTTAACAATCTAGTTAGAATTAAGAATTCCTATTGGATTAATGCAGAATAATTAGTTTTATTTCTTTATGTTGTTTGGTGAATTTAATTTTACAAATTAAACTTCTTTTGCCATTTATTCGTTGAAATTAAGTAAACAATATTTAATTATAAATTTTAGACACAAAATTAATTAAATACTATCAACAAAATTATTCATCATTATATTGAATCAAATAAAAGTATCAAAATAATTACAAACTGCTAAGAATTGTTGTATTTTTTTTCTTGTTAATTTATTGTAAATTTTTTGAATAAATTTGACAGTGGCTTTTCTTTCTTATGCCTTTTTTTTTTGATCTTATTAGTTATATGTTTAAATTTGTAATGTCTTCATCTTACTTTATTAATTCCATTTTAATTATATTGAACTTTATGCATTTGTTTTTTTTATCTAAATCTTTAACCTTCTAATTTTTTTCGATCTCATCCTTATTTTATTAATTTTTCTTATTACAATTTATCAATTTCTTATCTTTTTTTTTATCTTTCTTTATCATCTTGCTCTTTTTTGTGAAATTCTTTTCCTTAAAAATCGATAACAATTATATTTTTTATCTTCGAAAAGGATTTATTCTGTTAATTTTTATTCTCATTAATTATTTATTTTGTTAATCTTTAGATTAATTTCTATTTTTTTCATCAAATCATTTATTTCCCTTTTTTAAATTAGAATTAAATATCTTTTGATTGATTCTTACTTTGTATATTATTAATCTGTATCTTTTAATCTTAGAATCATCATATTTTAATTAAATTTAACTATTTTATGAAAAGTTTTCATTTTTAGGATATGAAAACTTTTGTCAATTATTAAACTAATTTTATTTGCTCTTATTTTGAATGAAATTTTAAATAATTTTATTAATCAATTTTTTTATTATATAAGATCATAATCACTTTAAGATTCCTTACTATATTTAATAAATACAATAAAGTATTTTTCATTGATTATTATTTTGTTAATTTGGTCATTTAAAAAAGAAATTATCAAGAAGAAAAAATTAATTAGATTAATTATAAAAATAATGGATAAATTTTATAAACAAATTCCTAAAAATGTCGAATAATATCATGATTTTTGAACAATCCATTTCCTTGCAAATAAAAATGGATCATTGTTATGTTATAAATCGTCCTCCAAAATATCAACTACAATTTTAATTTCATTTGATTATTTTTGGATTTAATTGATTAAACTTATAATATACATTGTCAAGAGTTTTCCTTAATCATCTAGATTAGGATTGAAAAATAATTAAAATTTTTTATCGAAATTTAAATTGATTTGATATTAGATTTTTTGAAAATATTATTGTAGTTAATTTATCCAATTATCTAATTAAGGCTTGATTTTAATTGGTGCAAATGTATAGAAAATTTTAGCTTTGATTGCTAATAATTTTCTTAACAAAAATTGCAATTTTAACATCAAATCATTGTCCTATAAAGGAAAATTCTATATCATCTAGTCAATAAATTCACAAAATTTAAAAGTAGGTTTTAATATTGCTGGTAAATCTATTTCTTCATTATTTAACTATGTAAATAATTACTATTTAGGAGATTTTTATATTGAACAATCTGTACTAATTTAACCAATAAATTCAATATTGATGTCTGAGTCGCTTTTCTGATGAGAATATCTAAATTTAAATTAATTAAAGTTAGTTTCAATATTTTTACTTTGAAATTCATCATCAGATATAAATTAATTGATTTCGACTCCTTAATCTTGTTTTTATGATTTTAGTCTAGCAGTATTAGTTAATTTTTAATAATCATAAGATTATGGCTTATTATTCAATAAAAGGTTTTAAACATATTACTTCCTTTTCTCATTTTGAGTTTTAATACCTTTAAATTAAAGAGGAGAGTTGATTTGAGTAGATATTGATTTTTATGAAAGTTTAACCAATTGTGAACCTTGTTTTGAAGTAGATTATTAATTCTCTTATATAATTTAAAGAATTTATTAAATTGTTAATCTATCTTCAGGTTCTAATTATAACATTGCTTCAAAGAGTCGAATAATTAAATTTTAATGGAAAATATCGAGAGATTTGCATTTTTCTTATATTTCTTGCATAAGGGTTTTATTCTTCAACTTGAATTTAGGAGCTGTTTAAAATAGCATTTCATATAGCATGATACCCAAAGCCCATACATCACTTTTTTCTGAATTTAGATTAAAAAATTAAATTTCAGGAGCCATATACATAGGAGTTCCAACATTATATTTCTTTATTATGCTATCATATTAATTTTCAATAAGAGCGAAACCAAAATCAACAAGTTTAAAAATTCCATTCTTGATTAATACATTTGCTGGCTTTATGTCTCTATGAATGATATCTAGATTATTATAAGTTTATAATGATACTTTTTTAATGCAAACCAAGAAGACCTATACAAATTTATGTCAGTATATCAATAACCTTTTCTATTTTCATTGGTTCTTATTACAATAAGTTTTCTAAATTACCATCTCCACAATATTCACTCACTATATAGGTATTATTAGCACTTTTACTAATCTCATATACTCTCAAAAGATGAGGATTATCAATTTGCAAAAGAATTTTTATTTCATTAGAAAGAAGTGATTTCTAAATAGGTGAATTGTAAGTCTCCTAAGAAATGACCTTTATTGCAACATCCTAATGAGTAACCATATGAATTCCCTTATATACTTTAGATGAATATCCTTCTCCAATAATATCATTTATATCAAAATAATAATCTCCAATTTGTTTCTTAATGAGTTTTTTATGTTCATTCATTCTTTTCAATTTTCCAGATGAAATAAAGAATTATTCTGAATAAATTATTTTGTATTATTTTAGATGACTATTAAATGGCTAATGATATTTCAATATTAATAATTTTCTTGGAAGTTGATATTTTAAGTCTATATAAAATTAGGTCTTAAAACAACAAAATCTGAATACCATTAAAAAATTAGCAAGCAAGATTTATTTATTATACTTTTCTTTAAATATTCTATCATAAATAATCGTATATATATAAAAATAAATGGCTTTGAGCATTATTTTTAGTAATTAACCACTTTTCTATTCATAATATAAGAAGTTAGATAATATTATTATTCAGAAAAACAAAACTCAAAGATATTTTAATATTATAATGAAAAAATATAAAAAAAAATGTTTAAATAAAATTTAATTTTAAAACAAAGTCTAAGTTGATAGAATAGTCTAGTGTTAATAGTAAAAGAGTAAAATTAAGTATTGATAGGATATTTCAGAGGATCTTGATCGATAATTAATTTATAATTCCACAATCGGTTATAATTGCTAATAATAAAAATTAATATTTATACCGTTAAAATTCTAAATATTATTAATGTCTAGTTATGCAAAATAAATCTAAACCTTCAATTCAGGAACATTTACAACAATGAATGAGTTTTAATTCATATAGAAATTAGGAACTGGTAGTTTTGGAAATGTAAATTTATATATTCATAAACCAACACAGAAAAAATATGCTATAAAAATTGTATTTTTCAATAAAATATTATAGATGCCTGGTGATACAATAACAAATCAATATGAAAGTGAAGGAATAGAAAGAGAAATTAGAGTTCATAAAAAATGCCATAACTAAAATATAGTTTAACTATATGATGCATTTTATGAGAATGACTCTATTTTTATGGTTATTGAATATCTTGAGAATGGTAGAAATATTAAATTAATAAATAGGCAATTTATTTGCTCATATATAAAAGAATCCACCAATGAGTGAATAAGAAGCATGCAAATATTTTGTTTAAACATGTTTAGCATTATAATATATGCATTAAAATAATGTATTCCATAGAGATATAAAACCAGAAAATTTATTATTAGATGATAAATTTAATCTAAAAGTTTGTGATTTTGGTTGGTGTGCTGAAAATATACATTAAAAGAGAAAGACCTTTTGTGGAACTTATGAATATATGGCACCTGAAATAATAATGGAAGTAATGTATGATTATAAAATTGATTTATGGTCATTGGGAATATTATTATTTGAATTGTTGCATAAATATGCACCATTTAAAGGAAAAGATTTTAAGGAAATTTCAGTTGCAATTAAATAATGTTAACCAAAAATGAAGCCATAAGTATCAAAAGAAGCTTGTTAATTAATATCTCAATTATTATCTCTAGATCCTAATAATAGACCTCCAATAAATTAAATTTTATCTTCTTAATTCGTAAAAAAATATGGCAACATGTTAAATTTAGTAGAATATTAAGAGAATATTCAACCAAGATCTCCACTTCGATAATATGGAAGTTAATAATAATTGAAATGTGGTTCTCCAAGAAGAAGAATCACAGAATATAATGTAATTTAAAAGCCAGAATAAAGAATGAGAATGGCATCACCAAAGCCAATGGATTCTCAAAAACTTATATAGAAAATTTATGTGAGTCCAGCAAGAAGAATTTAACCTAAAGGAAGAGAGAATATACCAGTAAAGACAGGACCAATAGATGTAAGAGGAAGAGAAGCTACAAAAATAATATATATGAATTTATGTAATAATATTTCATGATTCAAATATCTCAAAAAATTATATAAAACTCTTCAAAAAATATTTTTAATTCTTCAAGATACAGTTAAATAATGAATTAAGTTTAATTATTTAATATTTTACACAGATTAAGATGAACTAAATTTAGATATTAAAAGAAAAAGTTGCATAGAATGTGTTTTAAGACTTAAATCCAAATCAACAAAAAGAAAATTTTCTTAATAAAGTAAATTAAATAAATTTATGATTATAAAAATTAATTCTAATATCAAATAATGAATTTTTCATTTATTATCCTACAGAGTAATTAAAAAAATAAATTTTGTAGATCTAGAGAGGATATTATGTATTATTCTATTAACCAAAATTATAAAAGTTGAAAAACCAGTATTTATCAACACTTTTCTAAATAATTACAATTATTTAAGATAAAATTAAAAGAATTATTAAAAAAAAATATTTCTTAATCATAAAAATTAAATTACAGAATTAAATAAAAATATGAGTTATAAATTTTTAATTAATATTTCTTAGTATGACTAATGCAAAGTTTATTAATAAATTTATATCATTATCATTATTGTTAATTGAGATATTTATTTCCGAACGATCCTGTATTTTAATGTAAATTTTTATAATCTAACATTGTTGAGAATAGGCTCGCAGTAAATAGAGCAGATTAATTCATTTTACGATACATCTGTTCAACTTCTTTTTTAGATTTATTCATCAATACTGATCTTGCACTTGACGACATTTTTAACTAAATCATATAAAATTATTACTGGCATTTGAGAATCTTCTCCTTAATTAATTTCTTTGAATTTTTTATCACTTTTATGTCCTTCCAGTTGACGAAATACATTATTTTTTTACTAATTTATCTATATTAATTCTTTTTTTTCTTATTATATAATTGGAGATTCTAAGATATTTTATTGTTTTGAACATTTTGATAATCTACTCTAAGCCTTTTAAATTATTAAATTTTATTCAGTTAATTTTGCAATTAATTAATCTTTTTCTTTTAGTTAAGCTTAACATTTTTTTAGTTCTCCTTAAAAAAATTTAATTCTTTTAGAACAATTACAATTTCTATCACAAGTTTCAGAAGCATTGACAGAAACTGCTTATTCTTATTGTAATTAATCTTGATCATTTAATAAATAATCAAAAGATACTCTTGAACTTCCCTTCCTTTCACAACTTTATGAACTCGTCAATAAACAATCTAATTAATCTTTCAGTTACTTATTTTCACTTTACAATCTAAATATTGTATCTTTTAACTAAATTATTCATTTTATATACCTGAACTGTGTTTGATTTCAATTAAGTATTTTCATTCTAAAATAGACCATAAATTTCTTGCTATTATTTAATGTCGAATTATTTGTATTCAATATTTTCTATATGATTTTCAATTTCTTTTTATAATATTTTTCTCTCTTTCTCAGAATTTTCAAGCGCTTCTAATAACTCTTCTACCTTATTTTATGATTAATAAAATGCAGAAGCAATTTAATCATAACTTAATTCCTTAATTTTAATTTATCTCTTTAGTTCTTATATTTGCTATTTTAAACTCTCTGTTGGATCATACAATTATGAATGAAACAAAATGTCTGCTTATTCAAATTTTGGGATTACTTTTTTATATTAATAGTCATCATAAACTGGTACTAATAAAATAACCTTTTTTAATACTATTTTAATTTGCTTTATTTACAATAGGACCCTTAGAAATAGTTGATCTATCTGTCATTAAATTGTTTGTAATATTTTTTGCGTGCATAAATTAAATTAAATTTAAAGTTAATAATTTTTTAAAAAGTAAATCAAATTATAATGAATAATATTTTTTGGATCTATCTACACTATTTATCGCTTTTGTATCTTAAGACCATTAATTTAATTCATATAAAAAGTAATTTAAAAATTTAAAATTAATCATATCAATTTGTTAATTGCTATACTAATGTCTAATATAATTGATTTAAGCATCTCATCGTAACCAAATTAGAAAATTCAATATTTTATATTTTAGATCTAAATTTGTTAAGATCATTTGGTACTTTTATCAATCTATCATATCTTATATTCTCCTAATTTTGTATTAAATCTAATATAATTTCTTGTAAATCTTCTATCTAATAAAATGGTGTGATTTTATATTATTCCTACAATTATCCTAGTTATGGAAAAATGTATTCAATTAACATTCTTAAAAAAAATTAATGTTAATATTAAATCAAAACTATGACCTATCTACTATTATATTAAAGCATAAATTATTGCATTTATATTTTCATTTTATTAATAAGTGCTTAAATTGCTCCCCTTTCATCACCTTTTGCCAATCTCATATGCATTTCAGGACTAACTAAATCTTTCTATTCCATTATCAATATTTTAAATTTATCACTCAATAAAATGCATTCATAATCATCAAAAAAGTTTGAATCTATTTAAACACACAATAATTTTAAATTCTATATATTAATTTATCTACTAAATCTCATATTGCTATTTTCATTTGTGAATATTATCCAGTTATACTATTAACTCATATGTTATTGTTAAAGCACTAATCTACTTTATGAAGATTCACTAAACCAATCACCAACTATTGTACTTGCATGTAGTGATTAGATTTTTGAAAATTATAAATTATTATTAGGATTTGTTGAGTAATTATTTGCATTAAATAATTTTGAATTATATAAATTACTGAATCCTAATTATCTACTAAGATCAACACTTCTATTTTAATAAGAAAATAATTAAGATTAATTTATCTCATTTTTATTAACACTTAAATTTTAATTTTTTATTTCTTTTCTAGAATTATAACTATATTTATCTATTTCTCTACATCCACCTTCAAATCCTATTTTATTTACTGGCCTATTTGATACTAACATGGTTTTTTTAGCATTTAAAGGTGTACAACTTGCTTAAGATTCTAATTCAAAAGGCAAATCAAAAGCAGAGTTCATATTTGAAATCCTGCTAATTTAAGCATTTAAATTTGATTGAAAATTTTATTTGTTTTATAATTTAACGTCTTAATTTTACAATTATTTTAACTACATAATGTTTGATTAAAATGGAGTCACATATTAATCATTTTTTGAATAACAAGACTCTTTACTTTAATTTTTTGATTTAACTGAAACTTTACTTACTTCCATATATTATTTTGCATTTGGTTTTATTAAAAATTATCTAATTGTATTTATCTATTATTTAGGATTCTATATATTTAAATTCTTAAAAAAACCATCTAAAATCAATGGTTTAACTTATTAAGCTGTCGCATTTACTATTAATTCATGTTTTTATTAAGATTCCAAAAGCTCTGCATAATTTAAAGCTGAAAAATGTATATCTCCCATATCATTATCAAAACAATTTTATAAACTTTATTCTTTCAAATTTAAAAAAAGTTGATTTTTCTCTTCCAATTATTTTTATATATTTCTTTATTACATCAAAATTTTTAATTTAATATAAGCCTAATCCATCATATTTGATTTAAAAACTGGTTAAAGTAGATTTTATATTTCAAATTACTTAGTCAAAGCATTATTTTTTTATAAAATAGAAATCATTTAATCAATTGCTATTAAATGTAATGTATTTTAATTTTAAAAGTTGAAACTTGACTAAATTTGATTAATAAATGTATTTATAATAGTTTTTCTAAGCAAATCATTTGAAAGAGAAAAATCATTAAGTTCAGTTAGCAAAGTATATTTTAAAATCAATGATTTATATTAATCATATTAGTTTTTAATTTTTAATAAATATGACTGATTTTAAGTTCTATAATTCTACTAAATTTTAGCTAAAGTAAATCACATTATTTTACATGAGATATGTTTTAATCTTATCTGATCTACATTAGTTTAAGGAATCAATTGTGCTTGAAATTTTTATAATTTGCTTAACTGTATTTTAGTTTCCTTTTTTTTCACTTCTTATTTTTTTATATTTCTCTTCGAACTATCTATTACAATAATCTTAATATCTTTGCTTTTAATAGGAGAAGGTTTTTTTTATGGTTTTCTTTTTCTAGGTTTAGGAGTCATCAATAATACACTTAAAGATTGATAATAATTTTGAATTAAAATTTTTGAAAATAATTATTTTAACATTTATGGTTGAATAATTTTGTAAATAACTCTTCATAAGTATAATAATTCATATAAATATAGAGTATTGAGGAAATTATAAAAATTTAATTAAAATAATATCCCAAGTTTTGATGAAATAAATACAGAAAATTCTTAAAAAGGCAGATTTTTTTGGAATACCATTCCTTTAATAAATAAATTAGAAAGAATCAATCTACTAAAGTGCTATAGGTGGATTTGTAACCCTTTTAGTATTTTGTTCAAGTTTAGCCTACACTATTTGGGTTATTTATTAATGGTAAACAAACTAATTAAGTCCAAAAATATCAAACTCTGTACATATATCAAATTTTTCTCTTCTTGATTTTAATTATGATGTTGTTAAATTATATTTTTGGAAAGTAGATGAGACATTTATTGACCCATTTGAAGAAAAAGTACTTTTGCCAATTTTATCTTATACAACAACTAATGGTACTTAAATAACAGAAGTAATATAGTATTCAGATCGAGTAACAAATGAAGGCAATAAATTTTTTATACCCAAAATCAATTTTGGAACAGAATATATAGATGGAAATGCATTTACTACATCTTAAATGTATATTCAAATAATCAAGTGCAGACCTGAGTTACTTTAATTTAATGAAACATGTGCATCTGAAGAAACTTCAAATAGATTCTTCGAATAACCACTTAATGCAATAGCTATTTAGATTACTTTCAAATAAATTAATTCAAAAAATGGAGAAATTCAAAGTAGTGCATAGGAATTTTACTTTCAAATTGAATAACCCAATTGCTATACTTTGAATGTATTTCTTTAAAGTAATTTTTATGATATTCGTGATTATTTCCTATTTGGACCAAGTAAATATAAAGAATTTTTAAATTCTGCAGTTATATAATCTCAAACAAATACTATTAATTATTGTTAAAAAGCATATCAAGAGGAAGTTTATGGATTACTTTTTATAGCTATGTAAGCAAGTTAAGTTAAAACGATATATGAGTATCCTCATGCAGGTGATTTATTAGCAAATATTGGTTCTATAGTTTCTGTTCTTTTTATGATGAAATATCTAATTATTGTATTAAACTAATATTTTCTAACTAAGACAGTCATAAATGAAATCATGAAAATGTATTATCCTCAATTAAAATTTATTAAGTTGCAAAAAAATTGGAGAAGAAAAATTGTTGGAGTTTATTACAACAAATTAGAATTAGATGTAAAAGAATATCTAAAATTCTATAAATTAGCCTAATAATAGATGAAACCAAAGTTAAGCTTTTTAAATTTATTATATGAAGTCTCTCGTATATATTTTATTCTCAGATCAATTAAAACTAGAGATGAATTTCGTAAATGTCTTTCTATTGGAGTTAAACTAAATTTTCTTACACCAAAGGAAAGTCAACCTGATTCTGGATTAAAGTCATATTTTACTCAAAGATTTGATAATGATAATTAATTGTTAACTTATGAAGATGTTAGTATAATTTCTTTATTTGAATAAAATCAAGTTTTTGTTATCGAAAAAATAATTAATGACTTAGAGACTTAAAATCTTGAATTTTATGAAATAAATAAAGTTTTATGAATCAATTTAAAATTTTTATTATAAAAAAATAAAAAACTTAAAACTTATTTTATTTTTAATTAAAAAAAAAGATTTTCACAAAAAATTTCAGATTATTTTATTAATTTCATAGAAATCATTTTACTCTACCAATTCATCTGGGATTTTATCATAAACTTTTTCCCTTGTTCGTTAATTAAGTGATAATATATCTACTTCTTCATCAGTTAAATAAAGTTAACTTTAAAAAGGTCTTTAAGTGAAACTTGATTTGTTAGCTGAGAAATTGAAATCTCTATCATTTAAAAAATTTAATTTAATTCCTATCTAATGAGATTTTCTAAATTCATCCCTATTTTTTGTTGATCTTATTAAAATCTAAATCCGAGATAATTCATATAATAAATTAATAAAACTAAATTTTGAACTCATTTAATCATGAATTTTAGTATAAAAAGATTTAAAACCTTCTAAATCGATTTAGTTATTTTAATATTTAACTAATTTAATTTGTCTTTTCCAATTTTTCTAAATAAAAATATGCTTAAATTCTGGATAATAAAGTTCAATTAACTAATTAATTATTTATTAGTTCAAAAAATACTAGTTTGCTATAATAATTAAATATTTTATCATAAATAAAACAGATACAATTGATCCAATATTAGCTAATAAATCTCCAGCATGAGGATATTCAAAAATCATCTTGACCTAATTGCCTTTCATAACAATATAAATTAATCCTAATACATCATTTTCATAAGCTAACTTACAATACTCAAAAGAATTGGTCTAAGGCTATATTAAAGCACCATTTATATATTCCACATATTTTGGAGTACCAAAAAGAAAGGAATCTCTGATTTCATAAAAACTACTCTATAAAAATGTGTTTAAAGTATAGCAATTTTATTATTCCAATTGTATATAAAACTCTTATAAACTCGTTTATTCAGATCCATCCTTTGAATCCAATGATTTATAATGAATTTACATAATAACAATATTTAAAGATTATTAATAAAACTTTTCTATTACTTCTTAAGAGGCACATTTTTCATTGGGCTTCAAGTATACTTCTGAGCATTTTACAATCTAAATATACATTTCCGTTGTTGTATATAATTCTCCATTAATCTCTTAAAAAGCCAAACTCATTTTTGGAATTATATACTTACTTTTCCCATCGATTGAAGTTTCATTTGAAAGTTATAATGCTTCTAATTAAGTAAAACTAAAATTTGTTGTATACATCACCAAAGGTAATAAAATTTTTTCCTCAAAAGGATCAATCATTTCTTCATTAAATCTCCAAAAATATAATTTGATAATATCATAATTCATGTCAAGTAACCGATAATCTGATGTATAGATTGAGTTTGATATTTTAGGGCTAAGTTAGTTAATTTACCATTAATAAAGAATCCAAATTGAATAAGCAAGACTAGCAGAAAATATTAGTAAGGTAACTAATCCTCCCAATGCACTTTTATAAATAGATTACTTTAAATCTATTTATTGTATAAATGGAATTCCAAAAAAATCAGCTTATCTTAAAAAGTTCATTTATTTATTTTTGAAATATTATGCTATGTTGAATCGATTCAGTAGTTAATTAGAAACTCATTATATAAACACTTAGTTTGCATAATAATATTTGTGAAACATAATCAAATCTAAAAATTTCACTTAAAATAATACCAAGTTATTCAATAATAATATACCAATAATTTTGAAAATCTTCTCCAATTATATAAAATTCTACTTGTGAAATGCAAGTTATAAATTAACTGAGAAAGATAAAATCCTCTTTAAGAGTTACATAAAATTCTGGAAAAATTTGAAATAAAAAAAAAATCTATAATCATTAAGTTTATTTAAATTTGAGTATAAATTTTATTGATTTAAATATATATTAGATTTCCTATTATTAAAACTTTTATTTGATTAAAAATAGCAGTAAAATTTCTTCTTATAAACTGAATTAAAAAATATTAGATTTCACAATATAGTTAAAGACATAATTTTATATTCAATTATTTCATTCAAGTGGTATATTTTGGAAAATTTTTTCTGAATAAGTCCTTTTTTTAATAGGCTGTTATATTGTGTTTTATTTTTTTGGATGATAAATTGCTTTCATCAACTTTGTAAATTAATTGAAATCTAATGTTTCTACTAAATTTGCTTCTATTTTCTTTCTTCCAATAACAGGAGATAATTATTGATGAACATTTTTCATAAAATTTATTACTTACTTTTTATGATTGTGATAATGAACATATGATGGGGATGGCTATTTAGTTGAAAATTTTGCTTTTTCTTCATTTTCCTCTATAATTGTTTAGATTCCCATATATTCATGTAATTCAGAATTTTGCAATATTGAACCATTCGATAGTATTTTTCTAATTTATTATTTCTACTAAAATAGCTCTTATTTTATCAAGATTTACATTTGATATCATCAATTTATGATAAATCTGCTACTTTTTTATGTTTTCGTTAAGGTAATCTTAAAGGATTTACCGGCATATATGACTTTAAATTAACAAAGGTTTAGATTTAATTTTAATAAAACGAGTCCTAATTTTTCTTATTTTGAATAGGAGTAATTATTTTTTTGAGATGATAGGAAGTAATTTTATTATTTTACATAAAATAATTATTAATTATTTATTCCATAAAATGATTAAATAGATCTCAGATTAATGGGTATCTAACATTGAATAATTAATTTTATGGAATTATTTATCATTAATATATATCATTTAAAATCACTTTTCTAAGGATATGTAAACTAAGCTTAAAGAAATGTCTACAGATCCTTATCCATCAACATCCCAAAACTTTCTAGTTTCATTTCCAAGTTATTTTGTGGCTTTATCTACATCAGCCCAAGATTCAGGAGGATAATTGCTATCTAAGATTTTATCAATCAACAATAAATCCAATTTCTCCCATAATCCTGTACTTGCTATAAGAAGATATCCTGATTTTGGGATCTTGAATTCTATTATATCAGGTTCAGCTATTATTCCTATATCTTTGCCTATTTAATTTCCAAAACATCTTGTTATTTTGATTCCAGGATAATTTTATTTAGGAACCCAAATTTTTAAACTACCTTCCTTTTATCCTTTAAAAATAGCCTAATCTATTTTGCCTCCCTTTCTTATTATTCTATCAACTTCTTTTCCACTATTTGTATCATGTATTGAATTTAAATTTTTTTAAACAAATTTTCTTATCTCTTTTGGATTGTCATTTAACTATTCTGATTTATAAAAATAAGCTGCTTTAGAATCTCCTAAATTTGAACAAAATATTATGTTATTAACTATAATTAAACTTAGCAGTGAGGCTCCACTCAATCTATAATTAATTAATGTTTATCCAACCTAAAATATTATATAAATACTAATATACTAATTTTTATTCAATCTGCTAATAAATCTTCTTTAGATTATCTTTTAAAGTTAGACTCAGTTATAATAAGGGAACTGAAGCAAACAATTTCTATAACTCTTCTAAATAAAATTCTGTAATCAAAGAAGAAATTTAATTTCCAAATTCACCATGTCCATCACTCAGTGATCCCACAAAGAATTCAATATTTTATGCCTTATTTATATTGATACTCAAAGAATCTCCGTTTTTTATAAGATTTCTAAGTGCATCTAAACCATCAAGTTATCTATAATTAGTCCATATACTTACACACTACTTTGATATTTTACGTAATTCTTTATTTATTCTTTGATCGACATTCTTTAGATTGAAGTTCTCTTGCAAGTTATTCTAATATTTGCATTTGAAGCTCTATATGTACTAATTATCTTTTATAATTTTTAATCTCCTTAAGGAGAAACTTCTAATCTTTATGTATTTGGAATATCAGGAAGAGTTTTAAGTTGTCTAGCAAGATTTACAGGCTTTAATTAAAACTAACTCTTTTTTGCAGGTTAATAACCCATTCTAAGCATTTATTCTTATAATCTCCTTTATTAAGCACTCATAAGTAATTATTAATTAAATTAATATCAATAATCAAATTGTTTAGATTTAAACCTCAATTTTTCCTAAAATTAAACTAATTTAAGTAATAGAGATGAACATAATTGAAACTTATGTCTTTTCATTAAAACTAGGATCCTTTTATTTGATCCTTTTCTATTCTAAACAATTAATGATGGCTTGTTAAACAATTTTCTTTTTGTAACAAAATTACACATTTTTCAATTTTTTATAAGATTCAAAAATAAATGTCTGAATATTTTTTTTATTTTAAAAAAAATTTAAAGTTAGTCTCATAAATAACAATATCACTTTATTTGATTTTTTAATTATTATTAGATAGAAGTTGAATAATTATATAATATGTATTAATAATGATATTTTTCAAGAACATCCCTAAAATTTAAAATAAGAAATTGATTTTAACAATTTATGTTATAATTTTGTCTTTATGGAACATATATTTTTATAGAGAATGACTTAAATAATTTCAAACTAAAGTTCAGAATAGTGTTATTGAAAATAAAATTAGAAAAATTTAATAAACCATTCTCTTTTCATAAAAAAATTATAAAAAATAATTGAGCAATTTAATTAATGAGAAATAATTATTAATAAAAATTCTTATCAAGATAATAAGAGATTTAATTAAAATATTAAAGATAGAATCTCTAAATTTAAGGTCTAAAATATAATTGTAAGATTTAGTTCTATAAAAATGTGATATTAATAATAAAAAATTTAATATGGATATTACATTTAACTAACTTGATGTTTTGCAAAAAATAATATTTGAACGCAGTGAAGATATTAGATTACTTCATGCTATAAACTAATAAGTACTTGGAAATCAAATATTTTTTGATTTGGAATTTACAAAGGTGTAATAATCTCTAAGATAACTGGGATTCAAAATAATTGGGCTTAAGAAGAACGATAAATAAAGAATAGAAGAAGAGAACAAAATTATTGAAGCATTATCGAAAATATTGATGGTGAATTTACCTGAAAGGATGTAAATATATAGATTTAGTTAAACAATAATAAAATAATTCAGACCTGAAATGCATATAATAAGATTTAATTAGAAGGATACTAAAGATTTATTTTCAATGTTTAAGTAATTCTTTATGGCTGAAAATAATTTTGATGGCATTCATTTTGTACAATTGAATTAAGAATGTGATTTTAAGGTAACCGATCAAAACAAAACAGATGTCCACCGCGATCGTATTGATAAAGTTTCTTGTGAGTAGATCAAGGGAAGAATTCCAATTGTTAATACAATCGGCATCGACATCTGTAATTGGGAAAATGAAGTAAGAATTAGAAAAGAAAACTGAAGATACTAGTAATGAGAGTAAAGTAGAGAAGACTGAACCAGAACCAGAAGAAATAAAACCTAAGTTACTTTTAAGAAAAAAAATTATAATTAGAGAAAATACGTAACAATAAATGAAATAGCCAGAGACTATAAATCGCAGTGTATCGGTTACTGATAAATTAGTAATGTATTCCTAAGCTTAAGAACCTAATCCAAACCCTGAAAAAGAATTAAAATATTAATTAAGATTAGAGTAAAGAAAATTAAGAAAAAATTTAAAAAACATATATTAACCTATGATAGATTTAGATAATGATCATCTATGGTGTTCTCATGCTGTATTAAAGAAAAAGTTTATGAAATATCCTGAAAAATATTGTATTCAATTATAATCAATATTTAGTTTTAAAGAGAGGAGCATTTTATATTTGGAAATATTTGAACAATAATAATTCTGATATTAGAATAACAATTATGAATTTCGCTTATAGAAGAGCTAAATTGGTAATTGTTGACAAAATCCTTTAAGATTAAATTTAGGAACTGCATAAATAATATAATACAACAGGATAAATACCAAGATAAGCATTACCATTGTTAGTGTCTTGCTAATAAACTCCAAAAATTTAAAAACCATAAATTCGATTATAATAGCAATTTTAAGTTCCAAATATAAGTTAATTGCCAATGTTGCAAAGTCAACACTAGCAATTAAAATCAATGGAATTTTATGAAGCTACAGTGAAAGATCAAAAAGCACATAGGTCAAATAAATCATTAAATCTTACTTAAGAGTAGGCTAAAATATAATAAAAGATAAAACTATAAAGTTCAAAAGACTTAATTTGATCACTATAATACACATATTTTATATATAAATTATGAATTAACCTTTTAATGCAGAAATTAAATTAAAGAGCTCAAAAGAAAGAGGCTATTTTGATCAACTAGTTGATGCTGTTATTCGACCACCTAGATAAATATACGATAATTAAAAATTAGGTATAATATATCAATTTAAAATTAGGTCCAACAACTATGTTAGTAAATAAATTACTCATTTACAGAGAAGATTTTATTGTTTTATCTAGATAATAAAATTTAAAATTACAATGTTCTTTATATAGTCCAGTATACTTAAAGGATAAAGCAAGACCATGTGTAATTTATCTTCATGGAAATTCAAGTTCAAGATTAGAATCATCATGTTATGCTAATATGTTAGCCTAAGAAGGAATAAGTTTAGTAAACTTTGATTTTGGTGGATGTGGAATATCAGAAGGATAATATGTATCTCTAGGATGGTATGAAAAAGAAGACTTTTTAAATATTCTAAAATATATTAAAGAGAAGTATTTATAATTCTTACTAGAGATACCCACTATTAGGACCATTTGGAGTTTGGGGTAGAAGTATGGGGGCAGTAACTGCTATTATGGCTGCAGCTGAATATCCTGAATTAAACATTTTAGTTCTAGATTCTCCATTTAGTAATCTAAAATAACTTTGTATCGATATTGGCGATAATTTTCATGTTCCAACAATTGGTGTTAGATTTGTTTTTTATTTATTAAGAAAAAAAGTAAGAAAAATAGTTAGATATGATCCTAAACATATAAATACTATGCTTTATATAAGAAAGTTATCCTCTAAATGTTCTGCCTATTTTGTAAGAGCGAGCAATGATAAAATGATTGGAAAAAATCATATTGAAGAATTATATGAGGCTTTCAAAGGAGAAAAATACATTTTTACTTTTTTAGGAGATCATAATGCTCCCAGACCTATTGAAGCTTATTAAGGAATTATGAGGTATTACTATTATATATAAGCCTATATAAAAAGGTTCTTTGCAACTAGATTAAACAAAAGTAATGACATTTAAAAAATGACTTTATCTCGAAAAAGTTCTGGAAAATCACATAAAATAGACAGAGGATATAAATCTTAAAAATCTAATGAATCCGATCTAAATTATGATGAATCTGATGATGAGAATGCAAAAAAATTAAATAATGAACAATACATAACAGAAATGAAAAAACCATAGTTGTTGAATGCATTTTTATCTGATTCAGATATTGATAGCCAACATTCACTTGATGAAGATTTGCAGGAGCATGATCTTCCACAATTTTAAGATATCAAAACTAAATTAAGTTGATTATATAATTCTATATTACAAAAATTAATTTTTAATTTTCTTGCGTATTAATGGCAACTACCAATATTAATGGAATAGTCAGCTGTTGCCAAGATTTTGGAGTTTATTGCATTACGTAATTCTACAAAAATTATCAAAAGCTTATTAATTTCTGAAGTTATTGCACTTGGAGTCTTATCAGTTGGAGTTTATTAATTGATTAAACGAAAGTAAACTTTTAGATAGGCTAAAAAAAGAAAAAATATTATCTACATTTTAATTATCTTGTGTTTAACTTGTATAAATATATCTGATAAAAATTAGGCAATATTTTATTTAATCTAGCATAAAAAACTTTGTTGGTCTTTTACTTTTTTTAGTTATATGGGTATTATGCATTTTTGATCTACATTATCTATTATTTTGCAAGGAAAACTGTGAAGATCAAAACTTTCCAACCTCATAAAATAATGTAATTAAAAATCTATTGCATTTCCTTGATTTTGCTGTTTACTATATTTTTAGTTTGGAATTTATATGACTATATTACAAGTTTATCCAAGCATTATTCACTTTGTCAAAGTATATGTAATAAAATAATTTTTGAGAATAGATATTTCATATAATAAGAATGATTGGTTTTATTGTAGATTTGGTTTTAATAGCAGTAGCCCATTCTTTGAACCTAAGTATCAAGAAGAACCTAGCATTAAAATCGACTATGTTAAGTAATTTTTCCAACTTTGAAGAAAATTGTAAAAAAATTAATCGATAAAGGATAAAATTTTGGTATGAAATTGTTTTATAAGGATCCTTGTTTGTGCTACATTTTTGGGTTAATTGTTTTATTTTATAGAGGATATATATTTTTTAATACAAGGCCCCAATGAAACTTGCACTCTTTATTTTGATGTATTCATTAAAACTACATTCTTTTAGATTATTTAAAGTCAAGCATAAATATATCAATATTGTTTGCTATTATTAGTTGAATTAATCTAAATCTAAGTCCCTTTTGCCATAACAATTTATATTTTTTGGTTCGAAAAACTAGAAATTAAACAAGATTCTAATGTATTCTATAAAATATTTTAGTCGATTGAAGTTGGTGAAGATTACTTTTAAACAATTAAATTGTAGGTAAAAACAGATTCAAAATCTTCTGATTAGATAACAACATTAAAAGAATGAAAATAAACATATTTAACAAATATAAACATAAATATAAAATATATAGAATAATTTATAAATATTTTAATAAAACCTATTGTACATTCTAAATATTTATTTGAAATGGATATATTTATTAATCTTTAAATCAGTAATATAGGAATATTTATATAGATTTAAGTATTATTCTTAATTTTATTCATTCTTTATGGATTTAGAATTTTTCTATAATATTAGACTAAATTTTATACTAATGGACTTTTTAAAAATTAGGAAAAGAGTTTTAATATATTTTTAATTCAATATTATGGGGTTATGCATTTCTACAAAAGATGGTGAACAATAATAGATATCTGAGGAATTAATGAAAGCACCAACAGCTACATTTGAATAAATAGAAGAGAGTGGTGAGCAAGTATTCATTGATGATAACCGTGACGCAATAGTAAAATTGACTGATTTTTAATTTGAAAAAGTTTTAGGAAGGGGATCATTCGGAAAAGTAATGTTAGTGACACATAGATCAACAAATAAACTATTTGCTATGAAAATACTACGAAAAGAAATGATTGAGAAGAGAAATTAGAGATTACATATGTAGAATGAAAGAACTATTCTTGAAAATGTTAAGAACCCTTTTATAGTATAATTGCATTATGCATTTTAAACTAAAACTAAGTTATATTTAATAATGGATTTTCTTATAGGAGGTATTTAATAAAGAAATATTTAGGGGAGTTGTTTTTTCATTTAAGAAGAGCTTTTCGTTTTTAAGAGGAAAGAGCAAAATTTTATACAGCTGAATTAGTATTAGCATTAGAATATTTGCATTAAGAAGATATAATATATAGAGATTTAAAACCAGAAAATATTTTATTAGATTTGGAAGGACATTTAAAAATAACAGATTTTGGTTTATCCAAAATTAATGTTAAGGATAATGAAAAAACAAATACATTTTGTGGTACACCTGAGTATTTGGCACCTGAGATTCTATTAGGTTCAGGACATAATAAATCTGTAGATTGGTGGAGTTTGGGTGCTTTACTTTACGAAATGCTTGCAGGTGCTCCACCTTTTTATTCAAAAGATAAAACTTAAATGTTTAAAAATAGACTTGAAAAACCAATAGAAATGAAAGATTGGTTTTCAAATCCTGCTAGATCAATATTGAATGAATTGTTATAGAATGATGTAATATTTTATCAATTTAAGTAGCCAACAAAAAGATTGGGAGCAAATGGAAGTTAAGAAATTAAGAATCATGAATTTTTTAGAGAAATTGATTGGGATAGATTATATAATAAATAAATCTAACCACCTTTTAAACCAAAAGTTTTTGGTCATAAAGATTTAAGACATTTTGATGATATGTTTACTTAAGAGCCCCCTTAGGATACACCAATAAATAAAATGCAGAAATACGAAACTTATGAATAGTTTACTTTTATTAAGAATAATGAAATTAATGCTTTAAATAAAGAGGAGGAAAAATTTATTGAAGTGAATTAAAACTTTATATTATAAAAAATTTGAGCTTTTATCAGAATTATTGATAATTTGATTACCCAAATTTGAAATCGGAGTTATATTCAGGAGTGAATGGACGATTTAAATCTGTATATTTTTTGAGTTAATTTGCATAATAACCTTCTTATGCAAATGTAGTGACACTATTTTTAAATGGTTGTTCTAAGCTATCTTCAAATTATTAATCATTCTAAAATAAATATTTTATATACTCTTTAATTGTTAGATTCACCTTTGAGTTCACTTAGACTTCTCTTATTAAAATTATTTGCAGTTATAATTTTTTTTTAACTTTCTTCTATAATTTCTTCTGGCTTTTATTCAACTGCTATTTCGATATTTTCTTCAATTTCATCCTCTTTTTATTTCTATTCATTAAATGTAGTGAATTTTTGTGTTTTTATATAATAATCTTAATTTAACTGTTCCTACAAAGGAGGTTTACGAGGAAATGAATGTGCCATTCTAGTATTATTTTGAGGTTTTTTGCCATTTGATAAATCTCTTGGTTTTTAAACTGATTTTTCATTCCTTTTAATACTATCATTGTGTTAGTTAATTTTGTTATTTCTAACAGACAATTTAGTACTCATATCTAAATCATTTTAAGAAATATCCTGCTGATTTGATTTAGAACTCGAAGTAATAATCAATTATTATTATTATTATTAAGATAATTATGATGGTTATTAAGTCTTTTTCTTAGGAGTAGGGTGATCATCATAAACTATATTAGCTCTTGTTATTTTTTCTTATGTTAATTTTTATTATTTCTAACTTTATTAGGTTTATGATTATTGTGAAAAACCAGTGGCTTTCTTTGATGTAATCCTTATATAATAAAGAGAATATGATACTTCATTTGACAACTGTCTTGAGAGGCCTCTAAATTGTTATCCTGATATTAAATTATTAAATTTTAATGTTCAAAACCAATAGGAAAACCATGTTTTCCCATGATAGAGCTAATATAATAAGAGATGACATACCCATCAGGATCAGCCTATTTCATTGTAAAAATCTTTCTTAATTTACAAGGAGATTATATAACAAATAAATCAAGGGATCGAAATGTCATTCCTTTCCAACCTTGAATGAATGAATAGAGATCTATTTAAAGGTTAAGCCAAATGTTTTTTGGTACTTCCATTGGGTATCTTATGTGGAATGGCTTTTTCTCAATTTATTTACAATTCTATGTCAAATAAACAGTTCGCTTTGTTTTAGTTGTATCAGTAATTGAAAACTCAATTGCCCATTATTATGTCTATGGTACAAAAATTTAGAGACATAAAAACTGTTAGACTAATCCTAGATCTCCTTCCTTTGGAAAATGGACTTTGGTGTGCTATCCTTACAATTCAATAATATAGTCTATGATTATTTAGTATAGTTAATACTCTTTAATTATTTATCGAAATCTTTAACAAAATTATTGGTAGTAATTTTTAATAGTTGCTAATAAAACTTCTCTTTTTCTTTGTTGGCTTTATTAAGTACATCTAATTAGTTTAAAGATATACCTTTGGAATCGAATATCTCAAACAATGGTGCATTCTAAAACTAATTTTAAAACATTTTATATATAAATATTTAAAATTATCAATACTACTTATACTATTTTAAAGATTCTTATAACATTTACTTAGTAGTTTCTGCTTACATGAGTAGTTATTAGACAAATTGTAAATTACTATTAATTGATTTATATTGTTCTAATTCTACTTTTAGTTTCTCATTCTCTGATTGTAAATGAATTTCTCTTTCATTGGGTATTTAGTTATTGTACTTAGATAATTCTTGCATTTTTATTGTGAATTCTTTATTTAGATTATAAACCTAATTCAAAAGATTACTAATAATATTGAGTTAATTTTGATTCTACTATTGTAATTCTAATTTTTCATTGTACAATTATTTTAACTTATCCAATAGATTAATAATCTAATTAACTAAATCATATTCTATATTTTTCGGAAGTAATTATTGTCTTTTAATCATGATTTACTTTTCTTCATCTAAAGATTGAATGATTATATTGAGTTTTGAGCTATCTTCTGATTTAAATTAAGTATTAAGATATTCAGCTGCAATTTATCGAATAAAGTTTTCTTTTTCATTTTGTTATTTTTGAATCGGTGCTATTTCTAATCGCTTATAATAATTGTAGTGTTTTTTAAGTGTTTCAATTTTGTCTAATTCATTGTACCCCTCACATAATTACTCTAATTGCGGAATCATTTATATATTAATAAAAATTCCATAATATGTTATTCAACTTACCTCTTAAATAGACCAGACATGTAGATATTATCAAGCCTGTAGAGTAGGCAATTCTAAGTTGTTACGGAGAAGCTACACTCTTTGCTGAAGTAATCATTATTTTCATAAAAATACAGATTAGGGATGTTGTCGAAAAAACATAAAAGTTAAGATAAAATTTAGATTATGATAAGATCAACTTGAGTATTGCAACTGATCCTTTAACATCAGAAAACTTAGAGAATAACCTTATTGAATATCTTAAGCACTTTTCTTTGCTCTTCAAACATTTAAGATTTGAACAAGGAGATTAAAGATCCCCATAAGTTATGTTTTATTGGAGTGACAGCTTTGATCATGTATCTAATTTATTTATTATCATTTTTAGAAAAGAAGCACTTAGTTGAATTCTGGCAGATTAGAATTGATATCCTAATATTATAATCTTGCAATTAGTTATTACTATCAAGCAAATAGCAAGGTTATAAAAGATACAGACCCTGATCGTAAGGCAGCTATCTCAAAACTTAGAAATGGGTTATGGGCATTAGAATAGTTAAAACAAAATATACATGGACTTTCTAAAGATTCAATATCATAATTATATGACTTTTCCACCTACAATTTATAGTTCATAGAACATACTGTAATGATCATTTTATATAATAGTTTTGTGGATTGGCTTACAAGGCTCTATATTAGAATATGATGTCATCAGTAAAAACTTTTGGACTTAATGTTGTTTGTGGAACAATCTTTGAAGCAGCTAAAGAATTTTCAATTTCTTTGAAAGCAGTAGAGGGGATGAATACTCAATATTAGAAATAAATTGGAAAAGTATTTAATTGATTTATAAATTTAGAATGTTCTAGGTCTTATGTTACCAATGATTTAATTTTATTAGATATGGGCAACAGTTACAGGATGTCTTTAGATGGGTATATATCATTACGGAAGAATATCAGAGGACTCTAGAGGATAGAATATGGGAAAAGCTTTGGGTTTTTTGGCTAAAGCATAATAAATAATATAACCAGTAATTAATGATAAGAATGCACATAAAACATTTTCACCAGATTAACTAGATCAATTAAAATAATTGAATTAGCAATTAAATTAATTAACTACTGAATATAATTACAAGAATCAATAAATCTATAAAGAATAATTGGTAGCTTAAGATTTATTGCCTTATCCTCCTTTGTTAGAATAAATAAGATTGAAACCATTAGAACCAGCAAGTTTTAAGGAATAAATATAAGGAGCAAATAATTTTTCAGGTTTTGTATCAGAAGAAGCTTTGCAATTGTCTAGAGAAATTAAAATGTTTGTAGAATAAACAAGATATTCACTTGAAGAATCATTAAGATTACTATTTGATTAAAAAAGTCAAGCATATGCAGAGAATTATGTCACTTTCTTTATAGATATGGCATAATAAAAATAACTTGTTTAAGGAGGGATTCCTTAGAGTATATAGGATAAAATTAATTACATAAGATAAAGAGGATGTTTGAGTGGAGTAGAGAAGATAATATAATAAGCAAAATAGTGTTCGGTTGTTTGTAATCAGTTGATAGGATAAATAGAATAATCATTAATGAGTGAATAATAATAAGATTAAGATAATAGAAATAAATTTGGTGCTAAATGGACAAGAAGTCCATCAGCTTAATTAAATTAATAATACTTCAATTCTTTAAAAGATCTTAAAGCTAAATACTTATAAGCATAGAAGATTGATTTTGATGTTATAAATGGTTTTGAGAAAAATCGAGAGGCAGTCATACTTGCTGCCTAAACAGATTAAATTATTATTTAATAACTTCCAAAGAATAATAATAATTCAGATTTTGTTAATTAAAATGCTTAATATTTTGGATAACTTACATCTTTAGATTAATAAGTCAACTTTATTATAGATTAATTAAAATCAATTATCTAACAATATAATTAAACTATGCAACAGACTAATTTTACAAAGTTTGCTATAAATGGATTAAATGATGGAATACCTAAAGAATAAATATTCAATGCTTCTCTTTAAGATGTTCAAGGACATATTGAATAATTTAACAATAATGTAAATATTTAGGATATCTTTTATTAGATGAATTAAGTCTCAGAAATTATTGGCCAAGTTTGTGGAATTGCTAGAGAACTCTCAAACCTTAAAAAATAATCTGCTGAATAAGTCTAATAAGCTGGATCAACTAATTAATTTGCAAGTGCATAATAAGCTATTGATAATATTGATCATTCAGTTGTTTTCTATGAGTATATAGTCAATTCTATATTTTAGACAATTAAAAATGCATTTAGAAGATTAAGATAGAAAAATCAAAGATTACATTGTTGCCAGAAATATTGAATCAGAACAATTAATATAATAATTCAATCAATAATAAACATATTCTTAATAATAAACCCAATCAGTATAATAACCAATATAATAATCAGGATATCAATATCCAGTCTATCCTAATAATCCTTAATATCCATAAGCAAATCCTCCTTAAAATTATCAATAACCAGTGCCATTCCCACCTTAATAATACCCATAATAGTATCCACAATAGTATCCATAATAATATCCATAATAATACCCATAATAATACCCATAATAATACCCATAATAATACCCATAATAATATCCATAATAATAAAATTAAGGAATGTGGGGTCAATAATAGAAAAAATGACATAAAAATTAAATAATTACATATTTATTATTATTAATTCTTAAAATCATTCTTTTTCTTTTAGGTTCTATTATTTTATTAAAATTCTATAGATGTGTGAATCTTGGTTAATATTAATAAATATTAATTAATATTTTATTTATAAAATATGTCTTCAGGAGAGCTGTCACAAGAAAAAAAAACTTTATTTTCAACTTTGGTTCAAAAGAAATAGGCGGAAACTGATGCTTAAAAGATTTAGAATAGAATTCTTCAATTAAAAATGGAACATGAAAAAGTTTTGAAACACATATAATAAGATGAATAAAGAGCTGAAGAAATTTATCGTCATAGAGTTGAAATATAAATAAAAGTAAACTTCACATTTATTAGTTTACTTAGAAAGAAAATAAAATGAAATAAAAATAAGCATAACCCCCTCCATTTTCTTTGGCTGTTTCTCATCATTAAAGAGAAATATTGAAAAAAATAAAAGAAGATGAATTATAAAGAAAAAAATCTGAAGCTAAAATTTTTAGAGAGTAATTAAAGTAAGATTTTAAGAGTGTTCAATTATAAAAAAGTTTAGAATAAGAAGGCTAACGCATTAAAGCTATATAAGTTAAAGAAGATGAAAGATAATCTACATAATTAGCTGTAGCAAAATTAAAGTAAAAAAGAGAAAGAGTCAGATATGAAATTGAAAATGAAAAAGATAGAATTGCCAAAGAAAAGGAGTTATATGATTTAAAAATATAAGAATTAGAGTAACTTGAACAATTAGCTATGATGGAACTACAAAATTCTTTAGCAAGATAATAAAAGGTTTAAGAGAAGATTGAATAAGCATAAAAATTATCACCTAGTGATTATGAAAAATAGTATTAAAGTATTTAGAAGGCAAGTGCCACATAATGATATATATATTAATATTTTAATATGCTTAACGAAAGTTTAGAATCCGATAAAGAAGTTGATCCAGAAAGAGAAAGACAACGATTAATGCTTAAGAGATAAAAATCAATTGAAGAGAGTCTTTAACTTAATGTCAAAGATCATATCATTAAATTAGAAGTAAATTATTGAAAAAAACAATTAGAATTACTTAGTTGAATTAAAAAAAGACTTAGAAAATAGCAAAAAGGAAATGTCTAATTTAAGAATGGAAATTTCAACTGTTAAAAATAATCATGGTACTATGAATGATGATCTGACTACTTTTATACAAAATGATGTATCAATAATATCAAACAATTTAGGCCAAAAGACTCTTAAATGAGACAATCAAAAAATCTCAAGATGCTTAACATGATATTGAATTTTTGGATGCACAACTAAATGTTTTGAAAAGTGATAAAGATAAATTACATGATGTTACAATTACATTAGAAAAAAGGATTGTTTCATGTGAAACAGATGTAGGATTTAAACATGTTTATGATTGAGCATTAAAATTATCACTTATTAATTTATTAATGACTTGATATTAGAATACTTTATGTCAAATTTTATTATCACAATAAAACTTTTTATATAATTTATTTTTAGATCAGAAAAATATAGTTTTTTTTGTTTGCTATATGCTATTTATTGGAGCTATATCCATTACACACTATTTAAAAGATTTTTCAAAATATTCATCAAATTTACCTTTACAAACTTCACTTCTTTCCAATGATGTTTTAACTTCATTTATAAAACATTATTTATCACTCTATTTACATTTTCCAGATATATTTAACCCTCTTATTTTCATACAAGATAACATTGAACAATCATACCAATCTATTTTAGCTCTTAAATCATCATACAAAAATGTTAACTAATATATTTTATTTCATCATTACATCATATTTCATTATCTATTAAAAATGTGCATAATCATGAATTTTATTATAACAAACCAATATTTTTTTTTCTGCTTATCTATAAAAAGATATATCAGGATCACTTAAATCGCATAATTAAAATTAAACTATTTAATCTAATTAGGATGTATGTTGATATTATCGAAATTATGTTCTAAATAATCTATAATCTGGAGATTGCTCAAATTGTTCTAAATACTTTTTAGCATTTTGCTCCATCAATTATAAAGCATTTGAAATTGTTACTAGTCGTTTACGTTCAAATAGAACTTTTGATTTTTGTAGTGCTTCTTCTGAATCAATTTAACCACTCATTAATATTAAAAATCATAAATAAGGATTTATATTACAATACAATTATGTATATTTTATATATTCTTCTTCATCTCAAAAAGAATATGTAAATATGTATTTGTTACAAAATAAATATTGAAAATAAATAAAATTCTTATAATGATATAGAGTTCTCATAAAATATATATAATTCAATTTAATTTAAGTTTTTGTTAAACTTTAAATATTGTCTAAATTGCATTTATATAATGTTCATTCATATCTATTTATAGGCGCTATATTATTTAAAAAAATTACTTTAATATATTATTATTCACTTGTAGCAAAGTAATCTTTAACTCTTTAAATTTATTGAAATAATTCTTATTCGAATTTGTTATCTTTATTAATTTCAATATGCTATCCAATAATTTACACAATTCCTTCATACATCAATTATAATTAGGTTGATAAAGCTTAAGCAAATTTTTTACAGTTTTCTTCTAATTAAGTTTTTAGAATTTTATTGAACTATATTAATATAGAATCTTTAAAATTTTATTTAATGTCAACACATGTAGACAATTTCTATTCTAATACTTTAATTATCAATTGCTCTTTTACTTTTAGTAAATATATAAGTCTACTATAAGTTTAATTTTAATGATTAAGAAAGATGGCTTATATTTTATTTGTCATATTTTATTTAAATTCAATTGCTGTTTTATTTAATGATTTCATGATTTTAATTGTGTTGGCTTTTTTAATAAATTAAGCTATTTCTGTATGCTTTATTATAGCATCCGTCAATTGAGATTAAAATTAAGGATCATTTTTAATAAGTTTTACTAATTGTGATTATTGTTCTTTTGTAAGTCTTTAAAATTTCTATCCATTTCTTTTTTTTCTTTCATTATATGTTTAAGTTTGTTCTTTCAAAGTTTAATCATGCTTTTCAATTTCTTCTTTAGAAAATTGAGGTATTGAAGTTTTAAAAATTGAAGAAGATAATTGAGATGATTGAAGTTGATTATCCGATTATTCACTTAATTAAGATTATTTTGATCCATATGTTTTTTAAAGATCTATTGCAAACTGAATACGTATTTTTTGTTACATAAAATTAATTATAATCAAGAATTGAACCATCTGTCTTATAAGATCTATAATTTATTTTTATTATACTCTTAAAGTTGTAATTCTTTCGCTAGCTCTAATAGTTAACATTTATGAAATCAATTTTTAACATTAAAGGGAGGCATTAACTTTAGTGTATACTCCTTTTTTAATTTATCCATATAAATCTGAATCATTTGATCCTTTAAATGGAAAATTTCCTGTCAATAAAACATAAAGTAAAACTCCCAAAGCCCAAACATCAACTGGTTTTCCAAAATACTCCTATTTACTAACTAATTCTGGAGCCATATAACTAATTTTAAATATAAAATTATAAGTACCTTGGAGTACCACAAAATACTCCTAATTTACATTCTCTATTTACTAAAATTGAAAATCCAAAATCTATTAATTTAATTTCATTATTGTCTTTCAAAAGAATATTTTCCAATTTAATATCTCTATGAACTATATTTAATGAATGGCAATAATCAACTGCTTTTACAATTTATCTAAATATTTATTTAGCATCATCTTCATCAAGTTTTCTATTTGGAAATAACTAGAATATGTATATTAAATTATACTTTCAGATATGATCTTAAACTTTTTGATCCACCATATTCAACGATTAAATTGATATCCATTTGTGTTTCTATTGTATTAAGATATTTTATTATATTTGGATGATCTAATAATTTTAGAATATGAATTTCTCTTTTCAATTATTATTTCCTTTGCTGATTACATAATTTAGCTTTAGAATATATCTTAATTGCCATTAGCCTAAATTTATAAAATTAATACTTTTCTGTAATTTTATCTCTTGCTAATTTAACAGTTGCATAAGAACCTTAGCCTAGAATACTTAAAATTAAATATCTATCTAAATTAGAAATTTTTTAATTCAATACAGCATTAGTATTTACTTATTATTGAGAACTAGAACGTAAAATCCTATTATAATAAATATTGAATATACATACTTAAAACCATCTAGAGTTTAAGTTTTAAACTTCGTTTCACATTATTATGGAATATCAGTATCTAATTATGTAATACTAGTTTTTTTTAATAAGCCATCTTCTAAAGTTTCTAATTAATTTTTGGTTGATAATTTAGTTGTTCTATATGAACCTTGAGCAGTTTTATGTCTGAAATTATGATCTGGCTTATTTTCATGAGTTAAAACAGTATAATATTGATCTGTAATCTTCATACCTGTTTTAGGTCGAGGTCTTAAATTTCTTTAAGTAGGTGTTAAAATAAGTTAAGGAATTGGATTTATGTTTGTTTATTAATACAGATCTAAAATTGCTAATTCTTAGGTTGGCCTTCTAATTGCAGAATTACAACGAGTTGTTGGTCTCACTTTAAAACCTCCCCCTTTCATAACAATTTTTATATTTATAAAAATATATTTGTTCAATCATTATTTTTATTTAGAATAGTTATCCAATATAAATTCTATAAAATGAATACTGCCTGGATTAGTTTCATCATATATAATATCTTTCAAATATTAAGTACCTTATTTTATCAGTTCTTCATCAAATACAAGTTCTATATAATTTTATTTTAATTTTGGCTTAATTGGTAATATGCAATGATACCATTTCTCATCATCAAAAACTTATTTTAAATTATTAAAGAATGATGTATCTACCAAATTTATCCTATCTTTATTGAATAATTGTTTAATTATCTTTTATTGATGTAATTTAATCCTAAATCAACTAACTTACAAAAATTAAAAAAAAACTCAATAAAAGAATTTCAAAAATTTAGCATTTTTTAATAGTTATTGTAATTAATATTGATATGATCTTTCTTTATGAATTCATGCAATACTCACCAATTCTAATTAAATGAATGCTTAATAATGTTAAAATGTATAATAGCATATAAATTAAGAATAGAAAAAATATTTTTAATTTATAGCCCCAACACAGTTATTTTCCCATTCACAATGATGATGATCAATTTTAAAAATGTATATATTACATCTTTTAAAATGATGTGCTCTAGGTGGTTTCCATTAATTGCATTTTTTACATTTTCGATTATACATATCATGAACTAATAAAGTAATTTTATAGGAACTATTTTTTAAATGACTTCTCCAGGATCTAAAATAGAAGTTCTAATCTATCAAATCATAAGTAATATCCAAAAATAAATTTCAAATGCTTTTAAATAATTTAAGATTGATAAATATGAATTTTCATAAAATAATGTTGTATAGAGTTCCTAGACAATTAAAATATGTGTAAGACATAAATATTATGACTTTACTTTTTTAAGTTTGTCTATTTTTCTTTTGCTTTCCATTTTTATAGATCAATTAAAATAAAGAAGTTAAATTAATTATGGAAGCTCAAAAAAATCCTAAAAATATGACATAATTATATATTGATAAAATTGTTTATGTGTTTAATTCGAATTGCAAATTTATAATACAATTTGCTCGCGTAGGACACATAATTTAATATTGAGATGAGATAAAGTCAGCCATACACTTACTCATCATAGGAGCTGGCTTTTTATAAATAATCTCTCTCGTATAATTTTATACAGGACTAACTTATAATAGGTTATTTAAGAAAAAAATAAATTTATGGGATGATATTAAATAAATCTTCAGATGATTGATAAAGATCTTAACCCAAGGTATTATTTTAATACCTAAAATAGTTGTGAATATAAACATTGTAGATCTTTCTTTTAATTGAATTATACACAAATGAAATGGAATTCGACTCCATTACCTTTTGAATTTGCTTCTTATCAATTCAGAGATATAGTAAAAATGAAAGAAGGTGACACTTTTAAAAATAGAGATCTAAGAGTTTATGATAATTTTCTAGTCTATGAAGATTAAGTATTCTTATCATTTAAAATAGAATCGAACATATTGGTTAGACTATGAAAATTGCTTAATTGATTAATTTCAAGATCAAAAAGGAATACGTCTTATTAAATGTTTTGATTCAGTTGAGTTTTAATGTGATACTCTTTAATGGTTCAAATTACTGAAAAGACATACAATTTAAAGTGATTTTTTTAAGTATTATGTCCTTATAAAAAAAATTAGCAAAGGAAGATTTACAGAGGTATTTATTCATTAAAATATCAATAGGTTTATAGAACTAAATCTCATGTTGATGGAAATGATTATGCAGTTAAAATATTAAAAAAATCATAAATCATAGATGAAGCTGACTTTATTGCTTTATTTAAAGAAATTAAAATATTAAGAGTTGTCTAAACTGATTTTTGTGTTAAATTCTATGAAATCTTTGAAAGTACAGAAAATATCTATATTATAATGGAATTACTCATAGGAAAAGATTTAGATGGACATATAGAAAAAACATCTTTTTTTTCAGAAGAAAAGACAGCAAAATTTATATTTAGATTAATCAAAACAATATCATATTTACATTCTAAAGGTATCATGCATAGAGATATCAAACCTGAAAATATTATTTTTAGATAAATTGATAACATAGAAACTGCATGTCTCACAGATTTTGGTTTATCTGATTTTTATCATAGTGAAGGGTTTTATCTTTTTAAAAGATGTGGAACTCCAGGTTATATTGCACCTGAAATTTTAAGAAATGAAAATTATGATTACAAAGTTGATGTTTATAGTGTTGGTATCATTATGTATTATGTTTTAACTGGAAAAAATCCATTTGATCATCTTAATCAAAAATAAATCATCTTAAATAACTAATTAGGCTAAATTAACTTTTAAGATTGTAAATTGAGTAAAGCAGGATTAGGATTTTTAACTTAATTATTAAATGAAGATCAAAATGAGAGATTATCATCCCATGAAGCACTTAATCATGTTTGGTTTTAAATAGAAAAGGTCTCTAAAATTAAATAATATATCATAAAAAAGAAGATTGAATCTAAAAAGAATTTATCTAGTATTTTATAACCTAAATAACGTTAAACACAGAAGTATAAATCAGGTAATCTAAGTCCCAATGTAAAATTAACTCTTACATAAATTTATTCACCTTATCATAGTAGACAATTAACTTAAAAGGATCAATTTTCACAGGATTTATCTAATAATTTCATGGTTACTAGTCGATTAAGTTTATAAAATACCTAAAGCAAAATTTAACCATTTTTTATTTCTAAATTAAAATGAAAATTTACTTTATATTTATAATAAATTTTTCATTAATTATCTAAATTGATAATTTATGCCATGAAATTACTCATTTAGAATAGGAACAAAAATCAATTATAAGAGGTATCTATACTTTGATAATAGATGATGTATGTTTGGAGTATTGAATTCATACAAAAATAATAGAAAAAATAAATATCCTAAAATTCTAAATGAAAGTGATATTTCTGTTTTTTTAATAATTAAGATGATTAAATTTTATTATCATTGAGACATATATCCATTATCTAAAAGTATAAATTTTAATGGCATAGCAATGTAATGCAAAAAAATAAGGCAATATCTTATCATTTAAGAAAATAAAAATATTTATACATTATTGATTAAAACCTACAATGAATAATATTTAAGGAGAATTCTTGAAATTCTGGTTTTGATAGTAACTTGGTTTATTAAATAATTAATAAAAAGAATAAGAAAAAAAAAGAATAAGAAAAAAAAAGAAATAATTAAAATCATTAATACTTATTCATTCTAGTTTTTATAAATAACTATAATAGCGATTGTATGTGGAAATAATGGAGATATGATGAGTATAAATTTAGAGAAATGAATTTGATTATTAAATACATCTGATGAAACGATAAATTATTTAAAATTTATTAATGAATATATCTGAAATAGTTGATTGGTATATAAAATAGTTAATATAGGATTCTTTTGCATCCAATATAATATCCAGGCAGACATAATTATCAATAATAGAGAACATTATCAATTTATAGAGATCTAACAACAAAAGATTAATTTCTTTTGGTAATTAATTCAATAAAAGAATTGTTGTAAGATTGTTACAGCAAAGGTAATTCTTTACATATTCATAATTTTGGGACATTCAGTTTTGAATTGATATGTCCAACATCAGAAGCAATTCCAATAAAATAAACAACATAATTAAAATAATTACCAAAATCATATTAGAATATTAGACCTTGCTTTATAGTTGATCCATACTTATAAAAATAATTATCTCGCTATTTATAAAAGGATGAAATTAATAAGAGTAAAGGATTGGGAAGTATTTATAATCAAGGACATGCGACACAATTTTGTAATCCATAAACACTCTCGAATATGTGTTATATTGATAAATTAACAATTGAATCAATTCTCAAGATATTTATATAAGCAATTAATGATTTAATAAGACTAGGACATGATGTAAATTTAGATTTAGGATTGAGTATTATTCTCGTTAAGAATAAAAATTTGAAATATATGTTTGATGAAAAGTTTGTAAATTTTATGAATCAACCTGAATTTACAGATAATGTATAGAAATAATCAATATTTTTTAGTTTTTAAAGTCTAAACCAATAACATGTCAATTTTGGAAATAAGATAAATCAATTAAAGATAAGAATCTAAATGAAATTTATTTTGCACCTTGTTCCCCATATAGTTTAGTGACTAATTAGAAAACTAAGAATTTGATGAATATAAAAGATATGACATCTGTATAAAAATGATTAATTAAATTATGGATTCATAAATAATATTTTTTTGATAATCAGCAATAGTAGATTGGAAAAAAAGAAATTAAATTAATAAGAAGTTTTATTTTTAGGCGTTGGAGGTATAGGTTCTGTAGCAATAATTAATTTACTAAGTTTAGAAGCCAAAAAAGATCATAATTGTAGATTATGATCATTTTGAACTTTATAACTTAACTTAAATGGATAGACACTACTTCATAGTAAAGATATTAATCATTAAGAAGTCAAAACAGCTTTTAAAATGCTAAATTTCCTAATTTAGGAAATGCTAAAGTTTAAATGTTTGATTTAGATGCTGACTAAAACTGGGATAAGATTGTTGAATTAGCATATTAATCTAGAGTATTCTTAATTATATTGAATATTGTGATTATTGGGAAGCTGAGTATAAAGTTTATTTCTTTATTACAATATTCAAAATATTAGAATTAGCAGTTTCGCTTAATCTTTTATAACTAATATATTTTAGGAACACCTTACTTATTATGATTTTATGAAAAATGTTTTAAAGAAATAGTATTTGAATTAAATTTCTAAAGAACAACATTACTCTAATGAAAAACATTTCCTTTTTACCACAAGATAATAAGCCATAAAAGTAAATATTATGTTTTACTGTTGGAAAATTGCAACATAATTATTTTAAAATTACTTAAATGTTTATGAAAGCAATCAAACAAGCAATTTAAAAAATTTTAAGTAAAATTATAGAAAAAGTTCTGTTTTCTCTAACAACATTTGAAATTACTAATTTTCCTGTATTATCAATAAAAATATACAAGTGGTCCCTTTTTAAAAATTAAGAAACTGTAAAGAGCAATAAATATTAATCAACAAATAATAACAAGAACAAAAATGAGAATATTTTTATGTTATTCAATTTTTATCATAAATCATTTATCATTTGGTACTCCAGTAACATAGATCTTTACAATATCTCCAACATAGGCACCTTTCAACATCCAATCATCATCACCTAAGAAAAAGAATTATTAAATATCATCAACCACAGTTTCTAAATTTTTACCTATATTAATCCATCCTTCTTTAATAAATCCCTTTGCTTATTAAATATTTCAAATATCTATACCTTTAATTCTAGCCATCAAATTTTAATAGCTTGTCACTACTTCAATTGTAGTATCTCCACAATTACTTGCTACACCATCAAATAGTTTAGCGAATATTTACACTCCTGATACAATATGTTCTAAGTCTTTAGTTTTCAAATCTTCTATTGCTTATTAAAATTAATCTTTGAATCCTGTCACTGTATTTACACAATCTAATACATCAGGAACTGCATCCAATAATCCAATTCCTTAATATTCGCTTTTATAAATTTACCTAAGGCATAACCAAATAGGAAATCCTAAAAATGGCTTTAAGTTAACTCCATCTCTTTAAACTCTTGAGAAGTTTATAAAAATGATTCTGTTGCCAATCCTGTTGCCAAAAGAACTAATAGTAAAATGGCTTTCATATTATATATTTTTTTATTTAATAAAATGATTTATCTTTTTGGTTAGTCAATATATAGAAAAAAACAATTAAGAATACGTCATTAAAATATGTCATCAAGTTTTTAAAACCTTTTGCTTATTGTTATTAATTTAAATATTCTAAACATAATTATAGGGTTCCTATGTATATTATGCGTGATTGAGCATCAAAAACCATTGTTATAGTATAAAAAATCATAAGGAATATTATANAGATAATAAGCCATAAAAGTAAATATTATGTTTTACTGTTGGAAAATTGCAACATAATTATTTTAAAATTACTTAAATGTTTATGAAAGCAATCAAACAAGCAATTTAAAAAATTTTAAGTAAAATTATAGAAAAAGTTCTGTTTTCTCTAACAACATTTGAAATTACTAATTTTCCTGTATTATCAATAAAAATATACAAGTGGTCCCTTTTTAAAAATTAAGAAACTGTAAAGAGCAATAAATATTAATCAACAAATAATAACAAGAACAAAAATGAGAATATTTTTATGTTATTCAATTTTTATCATAAATCATTTATCATTTGGTACTCCAGTAACATAGATCTTTACAATATCTCCAACATAGGCACCTTTCAACATCCAATCATCATCACCTAAGAAAAAGAATTATTAAATATCATCAACCACAGTTTCTAAATTTTTACCTATATTAATCCATCCTTCTTTAATAAATCCCTTTGCTTATTAAATATTTCAAATATCTATACCTTTAATTCTAGCCATCAAATTTTAATAGCTTGTCACTACTTCAATTGTAGTATCTCCACAATTACTTGCTACACCATCAAATAGTTTAGCGAATATTTACACTCCTGATACAATATGTTCTAAGTCTTTAGTTTTCAAATCTTCTATTGCTTATTAAAATTAATCTTTGAATCCTGTCACTGTATTTACACAATCTAATACATCAGGAACTGCATCCAATAATCCAATTCCTTAATATTCGCTTTTATAAATTTACCTAAGGCATAACCAAATAGGAAATCCTAAAAATGGCTTTAAGTTAACTCCATCTCTTTAAACTCTTGAGAAGTTTATAAAAATGATTCTGTTGCCAATCCTGTTGCCAAAAGAACTAATAGTAAAATGGCTTTCATATTATATATTTTTTTATTTAATAAAATGATTTATCTTTTTGGTTAGTCAATATATAGAAAAAAACAATTAAGAATACGTCATTAAAATATGTCATCAAGTTTTTAAAACCTTTTGCTTATTGTTATTAATTTAAATATTCTAAACATAATTATAGGGTTCCTATGTATATTATGCGTGATTGAGCATCAAAAACCATTGTTATAGTATAAAAAATCATAAGGAATATTATATTTACTTTATTTAATTTTTTATTCATCTTATTAGTAAAATATCAAATAGTCTTAATATATCCTTAAATAACTTATTTGATTAGTGATTTCTTTTTAAAGAGATTAATTCTTAAGCATAACATTAAGTTTTAGAATAATTTAATTTATATAATTATCTAACATAAAATATATGCTAGATGTTTATTATTTCTTATTAAACTTTTGATTGATTGTGATAATGATATTTTTATATTAAATTTTGTATGAAATTATCTAGATTGTTTTATTTTTCAACTGTTAAATTTCCATATAAGTTTAAAGGAGTAAAACCTTTTCATGATTTCTAAGTTGAAGCCTATTTAAAATCCCTTTTTAGTCATAACTTAAGTGATGGATTTTTATTAGCATATTAAAATCTTTTAGAGAGTTTAACAACATCAGATTATAAGGAATTCATACTTGAAAATTGTGATAAAAATATTAGTAAAGCATTGATTGAAGGGATATAATAATTAGAAACAGATGGAAAAAAATTGAAATTAGGTTATAACGATAAATGTTAGACAAATGTTATGTATGGAAATACTACATTGCATTTTTCTTGTGACCATGATCAAGATCTTTTGGATTAAAAGCCTGAATTAGTTTAAGGAGTTGGTCCTTAAAAAGCAAAGTTGTATTAATCTGGCATAGATTTTAAAACAATGACCGTTTCGAGAGGAATTATTGATGTTGCAATATATATTAGATCACCTCTATTTTTATGTATAAGTGGAGAGGAAGTAAACTGATTCTAATAAAATAGAAATTTGAGGATGCATATCATAGAATTGATTTTAGAACAAATTCAATAAGCAAGCTTTCATTTATAGATGCTAAAGTATTAAGTGAATAGATAATGTAAATGTTAGCTCATAAGAATTCATAAACAGAAGCTTAGATTTTAATTGATAGTCTTGGAAAAGATTTTACATGGAAAATCTTTAATATAGATGAGCATTTTAAATGAATAAATTATTTGATAAAATTAAATGATATAAAATATACAAAGTCTTCAAATTCTAATTTGTTATAATATGAAAAAAATACTAATTATCAAATATATCAAAATTTTAGAAGGTTATTACAGATAGAATGACAAATGAATTTATTTTTTTTTAATTGCTATTGATGAGAAATTTAAATCGTTGATACCACTGGTTGGAAATTAATCAATAAAATAAATAAAAAGTAAATGAAGAAGAATTTGTATTAGATTATTCCTCAGGATTTAAAATGGAAAGAGAATGAGATTATCCTATAATCCTAATTTAAAAAAGAGAACGATAAAACTTGCCAGCTCTTAGGGTTCGATAATTATATTGTAATAATAAAAGTAATTTGGGTTTTTTAATGTATAGGATAATGAAAAAGAGCCAAAGAAGTATATACTACTAGATTTTGAAGTGAAGTTTGAAATTTTAAGAGAGAATATAATAAAAAAAAATGAGGAAGATGATTCTTTAGGTTAAATCAAAGGAATCAGCCTAATAAAAGATTTAGGAAATGATACTATAACATAAACTAAATATTTTGGAGGTGAAAAACTTATTAAGCAATGGAGAGATTATTTAAAAAGCAGAATAAATTAATGGAAATTTCATTAAATGTTTAGAGTTTACAAAAAAATTGGAAAGGGAAATTTTGCTTCAGTATTTTCTTGTAGTAATATAGGTTTATTTGGCATAAAGAATAGAGGATGAGAAAAAAATGGCAATAAAAGCATTTTCTAAGTAAGCTGCATATGATGAAGAAAATGGTAAATAGGCCATAGTTAATGAATTAAAAATAATGAGATAATTAAATAATTCACACATAATGTAGATGTATGAAGTGTATGAAACTTAAAATTCTCTTTATGTGGCACTCGAATTGTTAGAAGGAGGATCTTTATATGATTTGATAAAAGAGAAGACTTTACTTTCAACAATTTAAATACAATAAATAATGGTGGGAATTCTATAAGGATTAAATTATATGCATTAAAGAAAAATAATGCATAGAGATTTAAAATTAGAAAATATTTTATTCAAATATTAAAAGTATAATTTAAATGTAAATAAGAAAAATGGAATCAGTAGTTATAGCTGATTTTGGTTTAGCTACAAATGTTAATGAACCTGTTTATTTATATTGTAGATGTGGTACTCCTGGTTATGTTGCTCCTGAAGTTATTAATATGAAAGATATGAAAGGACATTACAGTGAAGTTTGTGACCTTTTCAGTTTAGGACTTGTGTTTTATTTATTATTAACTGGAAAATAAGCATTTCCTGGTAAAAGTTATTCTACTGTTGTCAAATAAAATAGAGATGCTACAGTTGATTTTAAAATTAAATAATTACAATAAGCACCTAATTAAGCTATGGATTTATTAAAAAAAATGCTTGAAAAAGATCCAAATAAAAGAATATCTGCATCTGATTGTTTAAAACATCCATTTCTAGCTGAAACTAATAATTAAATGAATGAAGATTCAGCAAATGATTCAATTGATGAAGGAGAAGAATTTGGAAAAGTTGCATCAATAATGAATGCCTTAAATGAAGAGTATAATTATAATTTAACATCTATTTTAGAAATATTAAATTTGATGCATTTAGAAGAAATGCCATTGTTAATTCTCCAGGTTCTCCAGGAATTATTGAAACTAAATAATTAAAATAATAAAAAGCTATTGATTCCTTAAATTAACTCTAAATGAATTCTCCTTTATTGAATGGAAAAATTGAAACTATTGATAGTATACCTAATATTGGAACTCCAAAAAATAAATTATGCTAAAGTAATTTTTAATAATCTCCTATGATTAAACCTTCTCAATTCAAATAGTAATCTATTCATCCATATATTTATAGAACTTTACCATAGTAATAAGTTTAAGGTAACCTTTTATAAAAATATTCGTAAAAAAAAGATTGATCTAACTTAAAATATATTTAAATATATATATAATATTTTTTATAACTCTGCTATTTTATAATTATTAAGTTTTACCTTTAAATCATATTAAATAAAATACCTTAAATGGGATGTCATTGTACCAAAACAAAGGAATTAGAAAAATCATAATCCAAACAACCTTAAATAATCATTTAAAGAATAGAATAAAAGAGTTTTACATAATCTACTTCTGATTAAATAAAAGAAGATTATGAAGATCTTAAACCCCCAAAATTATACTTCATAAGTAATTCTAATAGAGGAATAAACTAAAATCATTAAACTGAAAGAGAAATAGGAGGAAAGAAAGAAAGATTTTCCTATTTATATATACGTCCATATTAGAAAAAATGATTTTGTTATTTAATAGTACTCATTATTAGTTTATATTAAAATTCATTATTAATTCTGTTCTAAATATTCATATAATTTATGCATATTTTTTTGCAAATAATTTGTTGCACACATAACTAATGGAAATATAAGTAATGATCTAAAAATGATAAGTGAACCTAATGCTATTGGAAACCCAGTAAAAAAAGATTTAGCAAAATAATGCATATCATCTTAAAATACTTATGCTTTTAGTTATTTGATTTTTGGTAATTGTTCTTGAAAATATTATTCTGATAGAATTCTTTATTATTATTATTTCCTATAATTGGCAATTTTAATATCAAGAATTAATTGATCACGTTTATCTTACATTTATAAAATAAATAATATTAAGTTAATATCAAACATTTAAAATTTAACACGATTTATTATAACAGATGCTCACTTAATCTATTTTAGTTAAAGACCATGATAAATTACTTATTTCATTCTCTGCTTTATATTCTAGTAAGGGATCTAAAAGAGAATAATTAAGATGAGATTTTACCAATAGAATTAAGGTCATTTTATTTATTTTATAATTCTGAAAAATCCCAAATTAAAGCAGAGAAATCATCAGATACACTACAAAGATGAGTTGTTGATTCAGGTGCCCAGGCTATAGCATTAACAAAATCTTTATGATTCTTTAATTTTGCTAATGGTAGAAGTGGTTGTCTAAAATTAATAACAATAAAAATTACCTAGTATCTAGAAGTGTCACATAATTAACATCCATTTCAATAATAGCTAAATAATTAGTATCCATTTTATTCCATGCTAATCTAACGATTGGATTACTATTTTCAGTTTCATACAAAACTGTAGAATGATCTAAAGCTCTAAGAAAATAAATATAAATTTATAACCTTAAATCAAATTGTCTACAACTGCCATCTGCTCCAACCGAAGCAAATATTTAATGATCCACACTGAAACAAATATCATATACCTCTTTATCATGTGCTATCAATTATGTAAAAACAGTTTATTTTTCAATATCCCATAATGTACAAGTTGTATCAATTGAAGCAGTTCCAATATAATTCTGTTATTTACAACTCCAATCAAATGAAGTTAATGGTGCATTGAAATCACTTGTCTAAAATAATGGTTTTATAATCAATTATGATACATTCTTTAAGTCCCATTTAATCTTCACTTGTGCATTTTAATCATCATACTCCCAAACCTTTAAATTTTCTCCACTTGTAGCTAATAAATCAGGATACTTTCCTTCTACATCAGGAATCCATAATACTTTAGTTGGTGCATATCTATGATTGAATTTAGCCTTTTTAAAAAAAGCTTCTTATTCTTTATCTAATTGTAAGATATAAACCTATTTTCAATTTAAATAGATGACTTCATTCTAAATATCTTCAATCATACTCCCTATAGCAATCCTAGATTATGGAGTTGGTTTTGATTGAAATCCCATTGCATAAATTGACCAAGGTGCTTTGAATGTGAATATTTGATTTTGATTCTCTTATTGCATTTAATTTTAGTTTCCGATATGAACTTATTCTTATTATGAATTTTTATCTGGCTATTAATCGGCTTCATTCATTTCTTTAAAAAATATTTATAATTTAATTCATCAAACTATTTCTATAACACTCTACATTTGTTCGATAAATACTCAAATACTTAATTTGGAGGTAACTATTGTTCTATCAATTATTCTAAATATTTATTGCGCTCTTTTAATATCTTTTACTCTTCCTTTATTTTCTTAATTCTTTATTTCTCTTTTATCTTTTATTTAAATAAATGAACCCCTTTTGATTAATGTCTCATATAATTGGATTATAAATTCATGCATTCTTTTACATTTTTTAATAGTATTTCATCTTTTAATTTTATTTCACTCTCAAGTTAGAAATTTTGAATTTATAATTCTGAGTTTTTCTCTTCAACATTTTTTATGATGGATTACTATTTTTTTATTTCCTCTTCCATTTCAATAAATTTTTATTCATAAACATCACTCATTTATCTTAAGCTTTCTAATTCATGTTTTATTAACTCTATTTCTTATTAGCTCTTTTATTGTATTTACTACATGACAATCTGATATCGTTCCTCTATTTTCTTATTAAGCTTCAATCTCTCTTGTATAATATATTCTTCATAATTCATTTTAATAATTTATATTGAAAATAAAATATATTCTAAAATTAGTTAACGGGGTATTTTAAGCAAGTATATAAATTGATAATATCCTAAAAATATTTTTGATTTAATTTTATATTTTCTGAATGGATCCAAATTAAAATGAAGATGTCTTTTCTGCTTTTGTAGACGAATACTAGAAAAATTTCTTTGAGATGTTATTCAGATTTGAAAGTTATTTCAATTTTATTAATATTTATAGGCAAAGCTGAACCAATTAAGGAAGCATGGACAAGAGAAGATGGCCGAGGTCATGGATTAACTTGTGTTATTTAAGTATATAGTCTAAATTATTTGTAAAGGATGGAAATTTCTTTGAGAAAGCTGGTGTGAATGTTTCAAGGATTACAATTCCATTGAGTTAAGGAATTTATCAGTAAATGAAAGGACGAAGAGTTCCTGGAAGCAATTGTATTATTTAAGTAATAAATGATGTAGTGGACTAAATCGATATGAACAATCTTGGTCAATATGATACTTATGCTAATGGAGTAAGTCTTGTAATTCATCCAATAAATCCTTTTTGTCCAACTGTTCATGCAAATTTCAGAACAATAAGAATAAAGGAACGTGAGACAGGTAAAATAGTATTTTTAATAACAAATAGGAAAGGTAATAGATTCTTGGTTTGGAGGTGGTAGTGATCTGACTCCAATCTACTTATTTGATGAAGATGCCAAATTTTATCATTAGAATATTAGAGATGCAATAGTAGAAGTGAGTGGGGATGATAAATTATATAGACAATTCAAAAAGGAATGTGATGAATACTTTGTTAATCATCATAGAAAAGAAGCTAGAGGAATTGGTGGTGTTTTTTATGATGATTTTAATTTGGAATCATTTGAAAAAGGATTAGAATTTTAGAAAGCAGTAGCTTATGCTAATTTAAAGAGCTATGAAGCTATAATAAACAAGAGAAAAGATACTCCTTATAATGATGAGAATGTTCGTTGGAGAACATTTAGAAGAGGTATTTAATAGAAGAATCATAAGGTCGTTATGCTGAATTTAATTTAATTCATGACAGAGGAACTAAATTTGGTTTAATGACTCCAGATGCAAGAATAGAAAGTATATTAATGTCATTGCCTTTGACTGCTAGATGGGAATACAATTATCAACCAAAAGAAGGAACAGAAGAGGCAAGAATTGTTGGAGTCCTGCTTAAACCAGTTGATTGGGTGTGAGATATATAAGAGTAAATTAAATTATGAAATAAATTGCTTTTCGTTTGAATCACATTTGTCATGCAAATTTTGGATTACGTACAAGAGCTGGCTCCATTATTAAAACTATTGTTCCAGAGAAAAAGACTAGAGAGTAAATCAGATTAGAGATTGAAGATCCTTTTTAAGCAGAAAGATTAAGATAAATCTAATTAGAAGAAGATGCTAAGAATTTTTAACAATATATTTACAACTTAAAACAAAATGATACTAATCCCAAAAATTTCATTAAAGTTAAAGTTAACAATCTAGATGTATCAAAAATTGAAACTAATACTGAGACATAAAATACGATTCCTTTTATTGTCAAAAAAATACCTAAATAAGAGAAAATTTTAATTAGTGGAATAAGAAGGTATTGTTTATGACAATTCATTAAAAATAGAAAAGTACCTGCTTCTCTTAGAAGATTAATTCCTATTTGCAGACCTTTGATTAATATGCATCTATATTAGGCTCAAGAGGCAATTGGTGATTCAGGAAGGAAAGCAGCTTAATTTTTAGCCAAAACATTAGTTATGGTTAGATCACATGCTGTTTAAAGAGGATATGATCCTGAAAGACTTTATATCCATTCAATTTAAGTTGGTAGATACAAGAAATTCAAGAAAGCTAGATTTCATGCTAAAGCTAGAATTAATCCAGCTTTTAGAGAAACCAGTTAAATTAAAGTTATCTTAGAAGAAAGACCTACAAAAGAGGTTTAATTTATATCTAATTATTATAGATGTTTAAAGATTTTGTTTAAGGTAAAACTCCTAGTGTAATATCTTATTTGATGAAAGACTAGTTGGTTAGAGAAAAAGCTGACTATGCAAAAATTAGAAGATTTTAATTATTCCTAACTGCTAAAGGTAGATAACAATAAAAATTAATGTTAAAGAGAAGGGCATAAAAAGAAATGAAAGAAAAAGTATAAGTTTTTTTATTAATTTTAGGGATTGTCATTTAAATATCTTCATCGTTAAATTATAGAATAAGAAGCTTAACAATTTGCTGAAAATTATGATACAGGAAAGAGTGGATTACATAGATTCAATTTAGAAGCTAGATAAACTCTATTTAAAAAGAACGAAGAAATAAATAATTGAGTTTAGGGAATATTTAATATAAAAATTATATTATATTAGAAAAGTAATTAGATTATATTAATTAGTTCTTTAAAATGATATAAATTCAATCTTTAAAATATAAATTAATTGCAATAATAATAAATATAAATATATGATGTAAACTATTGAGAATTATTAATATGATAAAAAGGGGTTTCTTGGAGCAGGAAGTTTCGGAAGTGTATATAAAGCTAAAAATATAAAAACTGGAGAAATTGTGGCTTTAAAAAGTATTTGATTGTTTTATATAACAAGTTTTGGATATGAAATTATTCTAAGATTAGTTTATGATTGATTCATTGAAAAATGAAATAAAAGTAATGCAAACCCTTAGTTCACCTAATGTAGTACGTATGTTAGATGTATTTGGAAATAAATAATAAACATATATGGCAATAGAGTTATGTGATTCTGATCTAAGATCTGTGATGCATAAAAAAGGTCATATGGTAGAAGATTAAGCAATTGAAGTCCTTGCTTAATTGATGAATGGATTTAAAGACTTAGTATCTCATAATTATATCCATCGAGATATTAAACCTGAAAATTGTCTAGTGAAAAGTAATGTATATAAAGTAGCTGATTTTGGTTTTGCTACTAAAATTGATATTACAGGAAGATAATTACTTAAAGAATGTGTTGGCACTCCTATCTATATGTCTCCATAAATTTTAAACAAATAGTAATATTCAGCCAAAAGTGATATCTGGTCTATAGGAATGATGTTTTATGAAATCCTTTTTGGTAAGACAGCCTGGTCATGTAGAGATATGAATAGTCTTCTCAGAAGTATTAAAACATAACCCTTAAGATTTCCTTATGAAAGACCTATTAATGAAAATTCTAAAGATTTTATTAAAAAATGTTTAATGATTGATGAAATTAATCGTATTGGATGGAATGAAATCTTTACTCATCCACTTTTTACTATGAAACAATCTGGATAAATATAATAGAAACAATAATACTAATTATCATAGTAATGTATTAAAATCTTAAGGAAGATGTAAACAGTTGTTACTGAAAATAATATAGATCCTCAATTTATTTTCTCAAGATTTGATAAAGACAAAAATAATTTTTTAGATGCTAAAGAATTTAAAGATCTTATTTTAGCTGTTGATCCAAATACCACTTAATCTGAAATTCAAGCTTTATTTACTAGAATTTGTGGTCAAGATTAAAAAGTTAATTATATTGAATTTTAAAAACTATTCACTGAGTTTGATTTCTCAGATCTTAATGATAGAGCAGGAATCATTATTAATGATATTTAAGCTGTAATCAAAGCTAATAATATTAATATTACTTAAATATTTAATAAATATGATAAAAACCATTAAGGAGATTTAGATTATTAAGAATTTTATAATTTAATCAAAGTTATAGTCCCTGGAATTAAAGATTATGAAATTTAATTAATGTTTTCCAAATTTGATAGAGATAACAATGGTGCAATCAGCTTTCCTGAATTTTAATATGTTCTTTCTAAAGGCACAGGTTAAACATAAAAAGAAGGACTTAATTAAAGAGCATCAGGAGTACTAAAACAATTGTAAAATACAGTGAGAATTAATAAATTAGATATTGCTAAAATTTTTCAACGTTTTGATAAATCTGGAGATGGTGCTATTGATTAAGAAGAATTTTTCTTATTATTAAAAGTAATAATTATAACATATTTAATAGGCTATTGATGGCAAAATTAGTAAAAATGAATCTGCAAGTGTTTTCCATATTTTTGATAAAAATCATGATGATTAGATCTCTTTTGAAGAATTCAAATAGTAGCTATGAAAATATTCAATAAAATAAATCATTAAATAAATAAATTAGAAAAACGAGATCCTAATTTATCATTCATTTGGATGAGTTTTTGTCTTTCGATATAACTATAACAATTTATTTATTATAATATATTTATTCTTCTTGAATATATTTTATTATATTTAAAGCTGTAAATTAAAATTAATATTCATATTTATGAGTAAATTAATATAATTGGCAATCAAACCTCATTATTTTGTTACTAGAGTGCAATCAATCAATAGCAAAGCTAAATCATTCACAGCAATAGATTTTTATAATAATTTATTACTGAATACTTAAACAAATAAGAATGGAAGATATTAATTTTAGACAAATGATGTAGGTCATTTTGTTAATATGGTTGAAAAGGATAATATTAAAGAAGCAATAGAAGTATTATAAAATATAATTTGATTAGGGATTTAATAATATATTAGGTCATAATAATTAAGTGCATTGTGGTATTAAAGATAAGTTTATGCTTAAATGTATTGAATTTGATTAGACAAAATATGTTTTGGATGCTTTAAAATTTCATTCAGCAATTAGATATTTCCCACATCCTTCAGTGATAACAACTTTAGCTAAAAAACTTGATGATGAATCATTGATTGAATTGTTTAAGATTTTGAAAACATGTCCCTTTTTGAAAATTGATAGTTCTGATCTCTCAAATTTGATAAAAGATGATCCAAAAATATCATATGAAGTTTACAGAGTGGCATTATAAAAGAAAATAAAATTATAACCAAAAGATTTATATAGGATTGCACGATAGTTTTTATCTGGCAACAAAATTAGAAAAGTGTATACTTATTATCCTTATTATAATTTAGTGGTTTTATGACTTAATTTGCATAAGAAAATGGAAACGAAAATGATATATATAGTTCCTTAAGTATATTATTTACTCATGTTTATTTAACAAACAAATAATAAGCAATAGTTGAGTTAGCTAAAATAATTGAACAAAAAGATGGGTAAGATTATTTTATAAATTTTAGTTTGACTATTTTGAAACAAGAAGAATAATATTTTAAACCCCTTTTAGAAATTTTGTAAAAATAAGTTGAAAACGATGAAAAATGGAAATCTAGATTAGATGAATTAATATCAAAATTGAGTTGATTTTTATAGACCAATGAATATATATATAATATATTGATCATCCTTGTTTTTAGATGGGTAAGAATAACTTAAACTCGGGAGGTAACTCTTCTTCACTATAAAGACGATCACTAAAATAGATTCTTCTAATTCTGCAATTGGCATGTATTTGAACACTAAAATTTAATTTTGATATATATACCGAAGTGTTTCTATATAGTTTGTACCATATGCTCTTCTAGTGAAATCAGACAAGTTAAATTAGATTTAATTCCATCCTTCATCTAATCTCATAGGCATTGTACAAATGAAAGGCTTTACTCTTGTGGTTGACTAATTTCTTATTAATATATACTTAATAATTTGATGCTCTAAATCTTCTTCTAACATTCTTATCATCTAAAACTTGTACTTCAAATGTGAAATATTTTTTGAGCTAATCATAATACCATTTTAATACATTTTTAATGATCATGACTAAGAATGGCAATTTTATTCCTAATGTTTCTTTAGGATCAGCCGGAGCAGTTATGAAATTTGTACTTACATTTGTACCCATTATTTCTAATACTGATGATTAAATATCTTGATCTGTAATACGTTTAATATGTCCATTCTTAACTTAAATAATCCAATTATTATTTACTTTGCTTGTCCCAAATTTACAATGGCTTTGATCCTATTGAATATAATATTGAAAGAAATCCACTTTAGAATGAGTTCTTGAACATCAGTTATTTTTTATTTTATTAAACAAAAATATATCTCACTTAATACACCTTTTCAATCATTATTCATTTATTATACTCAAATAATTTAACAATCAATTACTATATATATTCTTCCTCTTAATTTATCAATCTTTAAGATTATTAATTTTTCAAAATTTATAAATTTCTAAATTAATTTATTACTACTTATTTATATACCTTTAAACTATAATCTAATCATATAAATCTAAAAGAATATATTTTCTCTATCTTGCCAAAACCATTTTTAAAATCAATAATCATTTTAATAAATTTTTTGGGAGAATTCATCAAAGAAAAATACTAATAAGAACTAAAATGTAAGACCAATGAACAATCATGATCTAAGAAAGTGTAATTTATTAAATCAATCTCTAAATTCTAATTTACCAATTAAATATCTTAGAGTGTATCTTATTATTATTTTCTTCATATTTCTTATTTCTGCTATTTTTCATAGTTAATCTAAACAATATAATCATTTTTATTAAACTTCTTTATGAATTTCAATAAAAATATAAACAAAAATATAATATAAATAAGATTATTGAAACTTTTATTAAGATGTTAAAGATATTCTCACTATTTTATAACTAATTGACTATCTTATAAATAACATACAATATTAAGTTAAGTAAACTATCATAATTAAAATATGAAAAAATGAACTTGAAAATTTATATTTATAGACTATTTAATTGATTAATTATGAATTTAACAATTTAATTTTATTATAATTAATTATCCAATTCGATTCATTTCAAATTTTTAATTTTATTTTTAAGCTCTTCTATTTATTACAAGTGTGTGTTCTTTAATCTAATCAACATTTAGTTCTATTAATTCTTAATATCTAATAAATTAGTGTAGTCATCTGAATATGTTGTTCCTTTCTCTTCAAAACCCTTTGCTTGTAATTCAACTAATTTTTTATTCAAATTCATAGAACTAATATAATCAATTACTCTTTGGTTAAGTTTCTTTTGTGCATCCAAACTCTTTTACAAATATATTTTACTATTTTCCAATTATTTAATTTAATTGAACAAAAGTTATTTTTCATCTTCAAAACTTTATTTCAACTCTTAAACTTCTTTTCCAGATAAAATATTTATTCCTCCAGCTTATGATAATGACATTGATCTATTATCTTTTGAAGTCTCTTTTAATTTAGCTTTATACCTATCGATTTATTTTTATTTTTCTTCTATTTATTTTTAAGATTATGCAAACATTAATTGAAAATCTTAATTTGCACATTCTTTATTTTAATATTATTGATTTTCATAAGCTAACTCATCTATTTTGGATAATAATCCAACAATTTCCTCACTTTTTTATTAAAGATATTTCTCTCTCTTTTATTCATCAGGTATTTGAATTTGAGATATTTAAAATTTATAACTTTCAATTTCATTATCCTTCAACTATAATTATAATTTTAGATTGGAAATCTCTGTTTTTAAATCATTAACTTAGGTTGGATCTTGTTATTCAAAAACTGAAAAAGCTTGACTCATTTTTGATTGTGTTCTCTCTATAATATCTGATTCTTATTTTGTTTGAAATTATTAAATTGTTTTTAATTTCTTTTCTACTTCTATACTTCTAATATTTCTTAAAATATAGACTTCCAACTCATTAGAATTAGAATTTTAAAGATTTGGGCTAGCAAGCATAAAAATAGTAGCTAATCCACGTAAGAAGTAATCATATTTTTATATTAGTTCAGAAATTAAAAAGAAAGTTGTATCAAAATTAAACATATTAATTGAAAATGTTATCAAGTATCTTTCCAATTTTTCTTTTAAAAATTGTTTCATTAAAGATGTATCTTTATTATCAGATAAATTGAATCCTTTAACACAATATTTTACTATGCTAATTAAACAATCCTCAGATGGCTTTTATTTATATATGATATTGAGTAATTAAAAAGCAGATGATTCAGATGAAAAGCAAAGTAAAAAATTAGCCAAACATACCAATTATGGAGTAAATTCTATTTGTGGATTCTTTGAACAAAAAGTACTGCAAACATTTTTTAATTTTATATTATCATTTCCAACAAGAGAATAAAAATCCTTTAAAGAATAATTAATGTTGTCTAATCCATTAATATCTACTTATTCCGTTTTTAGTTTTGTAGGATCACTGACAATTTTATACTCTTAAGAATTAAAATCATTTCCAAGCCATTATTTTGAAATAGTATCAACACCATAAACAATATGATTTTAATCAACAAAAGATTTTATTGAATCTGATTCCTGAAAAGTAGATATGAAAATTTACCTCTTTACATATTTTACATAACCTTTCACCCTTATTGACTTCTAAAGAAATTTTATAAGAAGCACAAGTACTGCAAACAATTCTTAAACATCTTATTTTAGGTTAAAATATATTAATACCTTTTGCACATATGTTCTCTAGTTGTCAATTTATGGAAGGCTTTGGAACATATTTAACACTTTGGTATTTTACCACGAAGCTCTGGAATATTAATATATGTTAAAAATTATTTCATTTTTTTATTAACAATTCATATATTTTTTATTTGACATATGGTTTTTCTAAGAAATCTTCAAAAATCCTTCTTTTAGAATACTCTGAGAAATTGTTACAACATGTTAAATCTATATTTGTTGATGCATCACTCTATTCTGTAACAGTCAAGAGTGATTCATCAAAACATCTCTCTAATTCTGATTCTTGTAATTCCTCAACTTAATTAATTTACTACTTTAATTTTGTATATAATTCTTGTTCTTATTATATATGATAGGAATTTCTTTTAATTTAAGGTAAAGGCATTAATTTAACTGATTATAACTATTGCAGAGATTTCGGTTATCTTCTTATTTAACTTTGAATATTATGTTCTTCCTCTCCTAAACTATTTAATTCCTCTTGCAATATTATATTATGTTTATCTGCATATATTAATTATTCATCTAAAAATTTAATCTCACTTTGTAGTTCATTAAAACTTTATCGAATATCACGATCAATTTTACCCAATTCTTTAATGTTTTCACTCAATTAAATACTCCTCTCTAAATACAACTCTCTCTCTTTAGCAAGCTCTTCTCTATGCTTTTATATTCTTTTCTCTATTTCAGTTTAACTTTCCTCATCCCGAATTTTAACTAATTATCTTTAAACATTTAGCATTTCTTATTTATATAACTTCAATAATTCTTCTTCCCTTTTATTAAACAACTATTATAATTGTTAATTTGCTTATTCTATTAACTCATAAATCTGTTAATTAGTTTCCTTTAAATCACTTTTTAGTTCTGACTTTTTAGACTCAATCATTTATATTATTATGTTTATTTTATTATTGCTTTATTCTGTATAAGCTTCAAAACAAGATGCATCAATAATTACTCAAAAATTGAATTCAACAACATATTATGCTATTATGAATCAAGTCAAAATATTATATGAAGACCCTAATAGCTTTTAAATCTTATTATGGAAAAGAAGTGAATCTGATCATCGAGTTTATTCCTACACAGATAATGATTATGATTTATTAATTTAAGAAGAGAATAAATTAAATGGAACACCTGGATGCAGAGCAATATAAAAATCTTTTCCTGTTTAATAACTATTGAGAATGGGATTACCAGCTGATGAAAAAATCTTTTATACTGATTTGATTGTTTTATAAAACAGAGCACTCATTATCAGAAATGACTTCACATTGCATGAGATAAATTTATCTCCAGATCAGTTTATTAAAACAATATAATAGAAAAAACTTTTAATATAATAAACATCTACTAGTCATCCCATATTTTTATAAAACCCTATAAATAAAAGAGTATATATAATATCAGAAAATGGAGGTGTCAGTATCCCAGATTGGATGTATATATAGAATTTAATTATTTAGTTCTTTAGATTCAACAGCATTTTTTATAAATGAAGAACCTTTCAAAAAAAGATCAATAATTTATGATGCATTTCTTAAAAATGATAAAATATATGTAGTTTGCGGAAATGAAGGGATTGATATTTATGGATATAAAGATGGAATCTTAAAATATGAAAAAGTTCAACTTAGAATTGATAATTAACATTTAGATGCTGTTGATATTAGTGGAGATGACGAAAGTATTAAGATTATTAAAATTTTAGATTTATTTATATTAGATCATAATCGTGGTTTATATGTATGTGATTATCAATTTAAGATGAAATTTAGAGTGCCAATATTAAAGGGAAGTGATTTTAATCATTATAACAATACTTTTTTTATAATAGCTGAATCAATAACTAGATAAGATTATGCAGTTGAGGTTTTCTTAAATTTCACAGATAATTCATTTTACATAAATCATTATTACTTTGATGATATGTAATTTTATGATGTAAAAGTATATGAAGATTATGCTGTTTTAATTGGCTATGAAGTTCATAAAATCATTCAGCATACAATTTATTCTGAATTTATTAGATACACCAGTAACAATTATTTTGAATTTCCTTAACTCTTATAACTTAAATCATGGAACAATACAATAGTTGGTTTATCTAAAAAACAAATTAGATTATTGAATTTAACAATGGCACCTGCTCATATAGAATGTGAATCTTAAGAAATATTTTAAGAATATTATTTAGTAGGAAGCTATTATTAGAATTCATCATATCCCTTTGAAGTAACTAAAGTAAATCAAGTATTCAAAATAGTAATAGATGATGTATCATTACTATCAAAAGCTAATCTTATCCTTTTAGTTATTGCATTTATAATAATATTTATTATTGCATGGTTATTAGTTATAGGAATGATATGTTATAAAAAATGCAAAGATCGAACTGAGAAATTAGAAGAAAGCAAGAAGTTTTTAACTAACTAATATAAAATCGATAAAGAAGATGGACCTGGTTAAGAATTATCAGCATTATGATATTATACTCATTAAACATATCTATTCCTCAATAAATTATTCTTTTTCTTATTATGCTCTGACTAATTAGTTAATGATTAAGTTGCAAAAGGATCTTCAGTTATTTCTTATGTTGATTAAGTCAATTATTCATCCTGTACTATTGGTTTAGGTGGATCAATCTTTCTTCTAGGTGGAGGAGGTGCTGTCACTATCACTTCTTTCTTTTATTCCTCTTCAGGAGGAGCTATTTATGGAACACCATTTATCACATATGCTTTTAGTTATTTATCATAATAAAAGTTCTAAGGTTATGGTTAATAACTTTATTATTATTATGATTATGGTTATTTTTATATGTTTTTTACAGCATTTACAGCCTACCCAAAATAACCTAAAAGACCACCATTTGAATTGTTATTAGTATTTGATTTATTTTTCTCTTTTAATTCTATAACATATAGAATTCTTTCTCTCAAATCTCTTGCCTTTGAATGATAACCCAAATCAATTGAGAATTTGACACATTCTAATGCTTTATCATAATTTTCTGATTCTAAAAAAAGCAAACTTAATTTATAATATAATTCTGCATTCTATTAATTATGAAAACACATATGAGAATCTCCTAATAATAATTAAATTTCTGAATGACATAAACTATAATTTAATTTGGTAAAAAAACTTAACAAAAATACATCTAATTAAGTATTTTGAATCTCCATCTTTAATAATATCCACAATAATCTAGCTTAAATCTATTCATTTGAATATAAATGCTATAATTATATAAGTAATTCAGAATAATAGTCTTAATCTATTGGAACCATCTTAAGCAAAACTGCTAATCGAATCAACCAAGCCTCTTAATCATCATGATATGATCTCTTTTTTATATATTCAATTAAACTCTATTATTATTTTGTATTAATTAATTCTCCTTCTAATATACTTACTAAAAGTTTAGTTTCCCAATCATTTTAATTATGTATTCTTTCATATGCCTAATCTCATAATAAATATATTTACTTCAACAAAAGCTAATCCACTTTAATTATTAAGTAATTTAGATTCAATAATTTATAAAGCGCTATTCTTTTCTAATGGTCTTTCAAGATGATCTATAGCTAATTATAATAATGCATTATTAGGATTATATGAAGACCAAAAATATCGCAATTATCTTAAATTATCTGGATTTCTATTCTTAAAGTATGGACCTGGATATTAAGATGCAATAGAACCAAATCGTAATTTAGTGATTTAATTTGATTCTAATTTATTATTATTCATAATTACATATATCATAGCTTACTAGCCCATGATAAAATGTTTAGGCAGTTATAACTGATGATTGGTTTTAATTATTCTAATTAATAATCATCTTCTATTATTATAATTAGGGTTATTATTCTTTAAAAACATTCTCTATAATTTAAGTATTTTGCTTTTATTCAGTTTCTTTGTTTTTTGGAACAGGAATCTATTATCGGGTTTTTTAGACTTAATTTTATTATATTTGTTCATTTTAATTATCATTTAATTAAGTATTTGGAGGATCAATTGACTTTTTTAATTATTAATCATTTGGTACTTCAACCATTTGCTAAAAGTTTAAATCTTGATTTTATTTTTATGAGAATTAACTTTATTCTTATAATTGTTGCTATTATTGTTATTATTGAGATTACTATTACTTTGGTTATTATAATTCCTATTGTTCTATAGTTTAAATTTACGGTCTTTGAATATTCTCCTCAATTTTTACTGATTAATTAGAATTAGGTTGTTAATAATTAGGAGATGTATTAAATTATTACTAATTCTAATTAGTATCGCTTTTTATAAATTAGTTTTTTACATCTAATGCTGCTATTCTTATTATTTTGGTTATCTTCTTCTTTGTATCAATTATTATGACTATTAAATTAATTATTATGCTCGACTCAATTATTAATTAGATTAAGTTTATTAAGTTTATTAAATAGTAGTCTAGGTCTGTTGAGGAGTAATTTTTTCTTATGATTGAAATATTTATTATTAAACTTAAGGAGTACTTTATGTTTCCTGTTTTTACATACTATCAATTTCCTTGTTGAAAGTATAAGATTATTACTTGAAGTAATGCTTCTCTAAAATCAATTTCTTAAATTGGTGCTAATTCCTTAACTTTGGGATTGGTAGGTACATTTATTTATGAATTAGACTGAACTGGCTCCTGGAAAGGTTGGTTTGGTACTTAAATTGCGTAATTAACTAACCATAATGGATCTCCCAATATACTTTATGCTTCATCGAATGGACTTCCAGCTTATATTTATCTTCTTTTCATTTCTCAAATTAAATATATAAAATATAATAAGCAACTATTTTATTTGTGTATATAAGTTTTAAAAAAATAAAAAAATTAGACTAATAAATTTTATTTAATTTTAAAAGTTCAAACATTTAAATGGCACCCCTTCCAATTTCTTCTACTAATCCAAATTTAACATATTAACCAGCACTCTTTGGATAACCCTCCACATATTAGCCAATTTAGACAACAGTACCTATCTAATATCAACCTATTAATGCTCCTTTGGCATATAGTGTTGCTGCACCTGTTTAACCTGTTGTTTAATAGATGATTGCTCCTCAACCAATATTAGCTTAATCCTATGTAGCCTAACCAGTGATTGCTCAACCTGTCTAACAATCAGTTCATGTATTTATTTTAAATGATAAATAGCCAACAATCAAAGGAGAATCAAGAATTGAGTATATTCCTTATTAAAAACCAATAACTGAGTATGAAGAATAGGAAGTTATTTAATATGTTCCAAGGGAAAGAAAAGTTACAGATTATTATGCTGTTGAATATTAAACTGAATATATCCCTCAAGTATTTTAAGAGAAATATACAGGTAACAAGATATATTAATATTTTTAGAATATGTACCAGTTGATAGATACTAAGAAAGAGTTGAATATTATCCAGTTGAAAGATAAGTAGTTCATTAACAGGTTGTACAATAACCAGTTTAAGTTGTTCAATAACCAGTTTAAGTTGTGCAATAACCAGTCTAAGTTGTGCAATAACCAGTTTAAGTTGTGCAATAACCAGTTTAAGTTGTGCAATAATAACAAGTTCAAGTTGTCTAACAACCCGTTTAATATGTACAATAACCAGTCTAAGTTGTATAATAACCGGTTTAAGTTTAATCTATCTAAACTGTACCTGTAGCATATGCCCCATAATATGCTTAGTCTATTATTTCTTCTAGAGTGATTCCAGCTTATCAACCATAATAATATTTACCAGCACCTTAAAGGGCATAACCATAACCATAAGTTCCACAAAGATCGAATTGAATAATAATATATGAAATTATAAACATTTAAATGTTCATATATATTGTTATAATTCAAAATAAATAAGATTAGAAACTTATATTTGTTTTTATATAAATATGTAATTATATATTTTTTCAAAATCAAATTTCTGGCCAGAAAGGTTTATTAGATGCCGTGTTTGAACGTATTTCATCATTTGTAATATAATTTACAATTTTTTAAACAGTTTTTGGAGCATCTGATTATTATCCATCAATTTAGAAGACCAACCAAGTTAAATCAACTTTATCCATTAAAAAATTGATATCTAAATTAATTTAATATCTACTTTATGGTAATCGAAAATCAATTAATGGATAGTTTAATTCACTCAAATACATAGTGATATGAGGATCTGCATCAATCCACTCTTAACTTGCTAATGAATTAGTCAAAAGATTTAATGCTCCATCTCTATTTAAGAATCTTTTCACAAATATTGTATAGATTTATGGCTCTATTTAATTAATATCAAGTATTTCTATGTGTTTATCAAGTTTGGATATAGATGTTATTTACATTCCTCCACATGATTTTGATAAAGCTCCTGTTAAACATGTTTATTCTCCTACCTTAAACATACCATATAAATTAAGTTAAAGAGATTTTGAAGTCCATTCTAATAAGATTCGTGCTGAATGTTTAGGTATACTCTTAATTAATCTGAATATATATTTGGTTTTTGGTACTCTTCTTTAAAGATCTAGAATAGAGCATGATTTTTTAAATCCTTTGAATATTTTTTATGCTATATTTTACCTGGTTTATAGATCAAAACAGTGTATGAAAATCCTTAACTTAAATTATTGATTTCAGTAAACCCTTCTGAATTAGTTTTAAGTTCATGCAAATTATTTTCTAAATTTCTAATGATTTGACAAGATTAAGATAAGAATTTACCTTCATATACTTCAACAAGCTAAAGTAATAATTAATATTTACAGCATTTTCTATGGGGGAAAAATCAACTGCATTTTCTATTGTGATCTTAATATTGTAAAATTTAAATGCTTAATCTCCATTTTTTTATTGATCTTTGCTTAAAGCTGCTAAAATTCTATTATTATTTTAAGGGATATCATAAAAATCTATCATGAAATCAAAATCTGCACTAAGTGGATTATCTGAACAATAATTTAAATTATTATTATAGAACTTCTCTGCTTCCTCTATATCACCCTATATCACAATACCATCAAATGGTTAAGTTTAAGCTGAGAATATAGTTTTGGTAATTTTATCATCAATAATTATTTTTAATTTTTCATTATTATATTCTTTCAAAGCAAGAAATTATCCATTTGTTCCAGAAATTGCTAGAGTAATTCTAATTATTTTTATTGTTTTACCCCTTTTCTTTTTCATTAGATCTAAATAATATCCTTTGTATCATAATTTAAGAAATAGGCTAACAATTTTAAAGATTATAAAACCCAACTAATTTTTCTTATTTATCAAAGTTTTTGTAAATTGGAGTTGGTAATACAGTAATTTGATTTAACATTTATTACTATCTATTTTTATTTCTAAATAAATATACTTAACAATTGGATGTTATACATTAACTAATAATTATGGAGCAAGATTATATGCCACAACTACTAAAATAGCTAGAATAACAAGAATTATGAAAACGATTCCATCTCCTACTATATGCATTCTAAATTTCTTATATGACCCTTCAGATAACATGGCAGCATTGAAAGATTATAATATTCCAACCATGATTATAAGATTAATCCAAATAGTTAGACTATTGATTTGATTGAAAACATATTTCTTGACATTATTACAACACTTCAAATTAATACATCCTAATTTAGCATTCTTTTAATGGGTTTCCCATTAATAGCTTTATAAATCCTATTCACATGGAAGATATGGAGATAATTCTAAATCAAAATATTTTTATGGGCAATCTAATTAGTTGCTTAAACTTGTTTCTGAAATGGATTGCATTGCAAATTTGCAACCTTCTTTAGTTGAAAGTTCAACTTCCAAATATTAGACTCTTCTAACAAGCAAACCATTAATGCAACATGCTAATATACAAACACTTATAATTAAAAATGCTAGTGTAACAAAGTAAACTTTAATTCTTTTTAAATTGAACATTGAGACAATCAATGTAGTAATAAATAATGCAAACAATGTTAATTTAACAAGAGATATTTCTATGTTAGTAGCAGAGATCTAAAATAATTAAGAATTTATCTGTAATATAACCTAAATTAGATAAAACAAATAAGATTACTTATTTAAGACTGAAAGAGGCAAAAATTAAAAATAATAGATTGACAACTGAAGTTCCATACATAACCAATCTTTATATGCCATATTCTCTAATATTGAATTATCGACTAACATTTGCCATTAATAATAATAGAAATATTTCAAGTATCTAGATTGGTAAAATAAATAAAAATTAATTGTAGGAATTGTATTCAATTAGACTTAAAACTAATCCGCCTTCTATAGCACAAACTAATTAAGTAAATAGGGAATGAAGATATGGAATAGTAGTAGTTGAATGACCTTCATTAAAATTATTGATTTCATTAACAGCAGTTTAAGAAGTAAAACTCCAATAAAGAGAAAATATACAAGTGAATAAAATTGCTATCTTAAATTAATGAAAGTGTTTACATTATTGATTCCAATTAATAAATATTCAGTCAAATTATTAAAAGCATACCAGATGAATCCGATAACAATACTACACAATGATAATATGATGCATAGTGGAGCTATGATTTTAAGTGATGCGAGACTCTTTTACTTTACTTGAGTAGAATATTCATAATGATGTCCTATAGGTATATTTTTTGGATTCATAACAATTATATAAAATATTAATTATCATTCAAAAACTAAATTAATTTTTCTAAAGTATTTTGTAATATAATTTCTTAGAGAGAATAGTTATTCTTTAATGAATGATAAGGAATATGAATGAATTTCATTTGTAAAATGGAATACTTATGTAATTAAAAGTTTAAGTTGATGATAATTTTTAATTAAATAATAAAAATGATGCATTATAGATCCTTATTCAGGTTTTCACATTATCCAGTTCTTCAATCCTTATGTGATCGAGCTGACCCTAATCTACAAGCTAATTTTGAATTGATGAAACAAAGCAATGATAGATTTTTGAGTATTACTAACAAAGTGATCAATTATGGTGGTACAGTTGCTCATCGAAAATTGGCAGAAAGAAATAAAGTAGAAATGAAAAAATGATTAATAGTTTCCAGTTAGAGAAAGAATAACTAGATTATTGGATGTAGGATCTCCATTTTTGGAATTATCTTAATTGGCAGGATATGAATTATATGGAAAGGAAGAAGTACCAAGTGGAGGTTAGAATAATATATAATGATAGGGATTGTAACTGGAATAGGATTAATAAATAAGAGATTCTGTATGATAGTTGCAAATGATCCAACAATCAAAGGGGGAACATATTATCCAATAACAGTGAAAAAACATGTTAGAGCATAAGAAATAGCATGGGAGAATAAATTACCTTGTGTTTATTTAGTAGATTCTGGAGGTGCAAAGTAATTATATATGTAAATAATCAAGTTTAATGCTTTAAGATGAAGTATTTCCAGATAGAGATCATTTTGGAAGAATATTTTATAATTAAGCTAATATGTCAGCATAAGGGATTCCTTAAATTAGTATAGTACTTGGATCATGTACAGCTGGAGGAGCATAGTAATAATATAGTTATATATGATTTTTTAAGTGTTCCTGCTATGAGTGATGAGAATGTTATTGTAAGTGGAAATGGTACAATCTTTTTAGGAGGTCCTCCTTTAGTAAAAGCAGCCACAGGTGAAAAAGTAACAGCAGAAGATTTAGGAGGAGCAAGAGTTCATTGTTTTACTAGTGGATTGACAGATCATTTCTGTAGTTCAGAATTAGAAGCTTTATAAAAAGGTAGATCTATAATTAAGAATTTAAATACAAAATAAGTAGGTAATATTATTGATGATTAACCTATTTATGATATTGAAGATTTAAATTATATGATGAGTAGTGATCTCAAACAGTCTATGGATAGTAGACATTTAATTGCAAGAATTCTAGATGGATCTAGATTTATGGAATTTAAAGAATATTATGGTACTACTCTTATTACAGGATTTGGAGAATTATATGGATAAGAAGTAGGTATCATAGCTAATAATGGAATTCTTTTTAGTGAATCAGCATTAAAAGGTGCTCATTTTGTTAGTTTATGTTAATAAAGAGGAGTTCCATTAATTTTCTTATAAAATATTACAGGATTTATGGTTGGTCGTAAATATGAGACAGAAGGTATAGCTAAACATGGAGCTA